TGAGTACAATATGACATACATAGAAAATTGTTTCATTCTCCCAGTCTCCATCAGGATGCATCCACATCTTCACCTGTGGCTGAAACAAATTTGGAGGAAAATTTCCTGAGTCGTCCTCCTTATAATTCTGCTCTAGAACTCCTATTACTCCCTAATGGAAAAAAACACACACACACAAATTTTGGGGTTGACTGTGGGAGCAACAGTCCTTAACAGAGGAAAAGAATAAGGAGCAGGGAGGGACGTGTTTGGTGGTTGTCAAGAAAAAGTGTTACTTAGCAACTTGGACACAATCAGGAGCAGACAGACTTCTGTTGTGTACAGAAGAGACGATAGTTTGCAGACTTTCTCCAGACAAGCAATCTGCTCTTCTCTGTGGTTGCAGTAACTGTTTACATGGTGAGTAGCTCCTTTTATCAATATTGAATAAGAGACACATCTGGCATTTGTTACTTCCTTTGTTCAAAAACTATAGCTGCAGGCCAAACTATCCTATGCAGACCTTTTCAAAAGAATGGTTTTTTTGAGACCTACGCAACCTAGAAACAAGAATGGAAGGAGGGAAGGAAGAAGAAAGCAAGCTCCTATATCATGTTGGCATACATGCCTTAGTAACAGCAGGTCACCCTCATGAGCACAGCTAAGGGACCAAAGTGCCTACTTTGCATTTCATACAAGACATCTGAATTAAGTGCACAGTAACACTGGCTGTTAGTTGGAGTTCACTTTGATTCCTAAACACAGACCCGCATGCACATACAAACACGTCTATTTCTAGTGTGCCTTTGCAAAATGCTTTCATCACCCTTTACTCCTTTTCCCACTTCCACTTCTGAGACTTTCACTTCTCTTTGATGGTTGCAAACACTCACTAGCTGATGATTATATGGTAATTAACACCACCTTTGAAGTGTTAGGTGATGATACGCATGCACACACACATTTGTGTATGTAAAAGGAAGGTTTATATCCCTTGTAGAGCTTTAAAAGGGGAAGGAAAGTACAATCCTTTTATGAGGTAGATGGAACTAACCAGATCAGAAGCTGATTAAGATTTAGTCTAGTCAGCTCCTTGGATTTGTATGAGAAATATGAGAAGCAGATGGATCTTTATCAACATTGGCTGCAGATGTTTAAGCACACAGGAAATGTCTTGGTGGATCAGACCTCTCTATGACTGGAGTGAAAAAGTTCAAACTGTGACTCAGCTTCTTTGAAGAGCACTGAGTGATCTGGACCAATCAATCTCTCTCAGCCTAACCCACTTCACTGGGTTGTTGTGGGCATAAAATGAAGTAAGGACCATGTATACCACCATAGCTCTTTGGAAGAAAGGTAGAACATAAGTACAATGTATGAATAGGACAGTCTGACCTCTTATCCCATGGTTGATAATTTTATGGAAGAAGCTTTGATGAAAGACCTTGTCAGATGTTTTTCAAATGTCAAGTATATGATGTCTATCAGGGGGGTGGGAGATTAAAGAAGTTGATGGTTGCAGAAGAAGGCATTTGAGGAGTGGGTGTGCTTGCTTCAGTGTAACATGAAGCAGCCTTAAAAATGTCCACTAGCTAGCAAGGGAAGTGCCAAAGTGGGGAAAAATATGGGGAAGTGTGACTAATTATTGAAGAGGCAGACTTCTATTCTTGGAGGGCAGCAAAAGTCCCTGGAGAACTGGTCTGGGTTTTCTGGTGTTTTAGTGGGAGTGAAAGTGACTGGAGGCTGGAGTAGAAACGGCCCTTTGCAGGTGGGTGTGCTCGCTTCCAGGTAAGATTAATCAGCCTGTAAAGAAAAGGTATTCACTGGAAAGGCAGTCCCTGAAATGGGGTGGGAGGGAGGTGAAACTGAGAAGGACACTGGCAAAAGACATGCATCGGCATACTGGCCCAAATAGCAAAGAGGTGTTCTTGAACTCTTGTGCCACAGCAGAAGTCTCCAGAAACTCATTCTTGAGTTCCTAATGGCTTGAAAATGAACTGCACTGGGGGGAGATTTCTCTTGGGAGCCAGCCCCACAGCGGAGCAATTGAGAAAGGGGGCTGACAGAGGGGACAAGGCAGTAAGGCATTGCAGGCACTTGAGATACATGCCAGAGCCAGGGGAAATACTGCGGAGGACTGAAGGGGAAAATAAAGATCACACCAAGATCATTTGTCTGCCAGGATGTGAATCTATCCATTCTGATGAAAGACGTTCCTTCGCAGAAGCCGTGCTGACTCTTTCCCGCCATGGCTTGTTCTTCTTTATCAGGGCCACTATGGCAGGTCAAGAGGGCATTTTCACTCACACCCTGTCCCCCACCTCCCTCTGGTCCCCACTCCTGCCAATGCTACATCACATTTTGGTGGCTACTGCAAATAATCAAATCAATATGCTGCTGACCACCTATTCATTCATCATTTCATTTCATTTCATTTCTATACCACCCCACGTATAGTTTGTTTTCATGCTAAACGTGGCCATGTCAGTGTTTTCTGGTAGTGCAAATCAGAGAAAATAGTACCTCAGTCTATGGCAGTGGAAGTGTCAGGAGCTTCATTTCCCACCCCTCTTTTCTGTGTTTCACAATTATAGCTATGGTACTTTCCAGCAATTTACTCAGGAAGGACATTCGGTTAGCAATCTGTACTTTCCTGTCTGGTGCTAACATTAGAAAATCAAGCAGCTTCACTGGATCCAGTCACTTTTTGCTGCCTACTTAGCTGTAGCATGTATTCTCTTGCCACCTCTCTCTCTCTCTGTGTGTCTCTCCTGTACCATAGTTTTCCAAGACCTCTTCCCTGAAAAATTAATATCTGTGCAACACCTGCAGGCTGGGCCATGTCTAGATTCAGGCTGAGATTGCATGTGATGCAGCACAATTCAACCTATAGCCTGCACTGAATCCCCGCATAACTGGGTGTGAGATTAAAGTGCAGCACTGAAGGAAACGAACCCTTTCCATCCTTCTAAAAGCCCCTTTCTTCTGCTGGGTTGCTTCCATCACGGAGCCTCATCTGAAGAAAAATGGCTGCAAAATGCACTTGTGGAAAACATGTATTTGCCCCAGGGTGCACACCCATGCTGCATTTTAATTCTCCCCCCACCGCAGAACTACAATGCCAGATCAATAGTGTGGGAAATGCTATGCAGGTGTATTCCTTTGGCAAAAAGCCTTGTCACTTGCATGCTGTGCAGCAGGGATGGGTGGAAACGGGATCTTAGTTGGCCTAGACTTCATTTTAAACCATTGGCGGTGCTGGCCGTGACATGAGAGCTGGAGTGGAAAACATCGAGAAATCTACCCTCTGCCCACCTTGTGGTGTAGCACCTGGCACCACTTATGGATGCTTACAATAATTATAGAAACATAGACACTCCCGGGCCATCTAGTCTGATTCCCAGCTCTAGTTGGCTCTGCTCACAACATGACTACCATGATAGAAACATGGAAACAGAGCGAGAAACAAAGAAACAGAGCGAGAAACATAGAAACAGAGCGATTATAGAAATAGACTTGTAGTGGTTCAATAAATAAATAAAAGCATTTTGTTGGATGCTGTGTGTTCTTTCTTGGTATGTTGTTGTTGTTGTTTGTTGTTTTTTGTAAGCCGTCTAGAGACTCTAGTATTGGACATCATAGAAAAACTTTAAATAAATAAATTCTAGATCTTTGAAGTTTTAATTCAAATTAAGAGCTCCACAAATTCTTGCACCATTCTTTCAGGTCTGAAAAAATAGCAGTAAAAAAACCTGGCTACCCAGACCCAAATTGATCACGTATTACCTTTCCTTGGGTGAAAAAATTGATATAGGACTGGATATCCCAGTAAAACAAGGGTAGCAATATTTGTGGGGGGTGTGCAGAGAACATGAATAGCAGCTGGTATTTCTTCTTGTGCAATGTCAGCATGTTACCATCGCAGACTTTCCAGTCTCTTGCATGGGAAGTAGTTTCCATCACCGCCATTGCACCATTTCCCCAGAGACAGTGTGCGGACTTTGTTTACTGTTGGGCAACAACATTTTAAGAAACACAGTATCTGCACAAAACTGATTTGCTCTTTTCCACATAGTACATGTCACCAGCTACGTACAAAGCCATCTTATCAGGGTTCAAATTATGCTGATCTGTGTGTTTTGCATGACAACTCCTGATACAATGCTTCTGATGCGCTATTTCTCCTTTGAAACATTACCCAAAGGAACATGAGATAAGACATAGCATGCTTTAGTGACCCCTCACAATAGTCTCAACTGTGTTAATGCTGATGATGCAAAGTTCCTTGTGATGAAGAGTCAGCAAACAAGCTTTTGAGACAACCTGAGACAAAGCAAGTCTTCAGAATATGATCTAAGTGGGACTGTCAAGACTCCAGGTCACTTTTCAAAACTGTCAAGAGGAAGTTCTTAAAGAGCCATTTTTTATTTTTTATTTATTTATTTTTGGATTCTTCAGCAAATTTGCTGGAGTTTGGATGGGTCTCAGATTCCCTTCACACATGACTTGCTTTCCTCATAAATGCCCAACAAAGCCGTGTGATATAAAATCCTTCCTGCAAACAGAATAGCACATAACATTATTTTTTCTTGCTCCACTATATTTAATCTCAGCCTTTCAGGTAAGTATGAGATTCAGGATTATTGACTTATTTCAAAGAAGTGGTGGGGAAATACAAATAAGAAAACTCCTGAATTAATTTCAATGACAGATTTTGCCAGGCTGATTGAATTCCCTGGGCTATGAGTGTCAATACATAACGCTAGTGCCCAGTCAGGGCAACATATGCTCTTTTTAACCTTTTGATATCAACAGGAGGGAATAGAGATTTATTAAATTGTCTCAGTGGAATCTTTGGGAGTTGAAATTACTTGGAGTGAGGGAAAGTTGGTGACTGCATAGCCAGCCAAGGGAATTGCATCTCACAATTTCCTAGAAGAGACATCAGAAGGAACTTTAAGGCATATCCTTCTTTTTGTAAACTTGCCCTTTCTCTTTTTGATTCAAGAACTGAGGATACATCCACGAGAGAGGGGATGGAGAAGCTGAAGAGTCACGCGGCCAGCCCTTCCAAAGGCAACGACATCACTGCTTTAGCAGGGAAGCTTAAGCGTGTGGCCCTGAACATGCCAGTCTGGTTCAGCACGCAGGCCCGGAGGCCCCATTCAAAGAGCACGGCTCGGTTTGGCAGTCTCAGTCATCATGCTTTCTTCTCTCGACACAACCCCCATCCTCACCGAGTGACTCACATCCAAGGTAAGGTCGCCAGTCCTAGGCACGCTTACTCATTTCGGCATAAAGATACTTAGGCTGCATTCACACAACATGACAAGCAACCCTTCACGTTTACCAGGTTTTTATCATGACAGACAAATCCATTAGTTTCTGCATTATCATGATTTCTGTCCTCCCTACTCAGCTCCCTACTGTTGGTATGTATCCCATCAGCCACTGTGCCTGAAATTCAGTCCCAAGGTGCATTGCTCCCTGCCAACGTCACCTGCCGCTTTCTGACTCATCCACACATTGAGAGCAGCTCAATGTGGCTGCAGCAGCTCCTCCATTTGCAGCTTTTTGCAGGGGACTCTGTGGTAGCTGCATACCAGGAACATGAAAACCATGATCCTGGGTTCAGATGACACAACAAGCTATGGGGTATGGGGAAACCACTGTTTCTGATTGTGATTTCTATGGACCAAACTTACCATGGTGGAGTATCACAACTCAGTCCAGACAACACGGCAGATCCACAATGGGAAAAAAACCCTACCATGGTTTGCCATATTGCCTGAACCTAGCCATAGTCTATGCCGACTCCAGGTTTTTCAGGGCCCATGAGTAAAGGGCCTCCCATGGGCCCCTTCCCTCAATCAGCCTGTCTCAGCAAGCCATCACTGTCACCAAGCGCTGTTCCTCCTCACCCTCTTTCTCAGGCTTACTGCTGCTTGCTTGGCAGATTAAGTCGTAAGCCATTACTGCCTTTAAATGAGTAGGCAGTGGCAACTACTGCTTATGCTTCTCACCACCATCCTCTGAGCCAGAACAAGAGGCAGGTGAAGAAGAGGGTCCAGTGGAGAAGAAAACAGGAGCCCATTCCGGAGCTGTTCCAGGGGGCTCTTGTGCATGGGCTCCTGTTGGGATGGAGCAGTCAGCAGGTGCCCGATTGTGTCTGCCCTTCATGCTGGCCCCACGTCTGTTGTTTCCCAGGCCCTACCCTTAGGCAGACTGAGGCTGCTGCCACAGGAAACTGATTTATATTGTCATGAATGCGCAGAATATCATTTCAATATATTATTGCTGCATTTTATTCCCACAGAGGGGCAATTATGGGATTTCTCTGCCTCAGGAGACAAAGTTACTGGGCTGGCCTTTGCTGGGCTTTATGCTCCCTGACTTGATGGGTTGGGGAGGGGGTGCCATTTGCCCCTTCGTCTCAGGCAGCGGAATGCCTTGAGACGGTGTTTGGCCCCCCAGAAAAAGCATAGCGGTCCTTTTCTTCCATGCTGAGAGAAATGGCGAGTTCAGACATGTCTTCCCCCTGTACTTGTTGTGCAGCTTTATGCCACTCTAAAAACACATAATTAAAAAGGCATTTTTTTAAAAAAGGAAGAAAGGAAACAAGATTTTTTGCATAGCTGCAGGCTATGGTAGCATATTTATGAGCTGCTTTGATTTTAATTCAAGTGAGGTGAGATACAATCTACTAAATGTGTTTCCAAAATGAATATATATTTAATGCACTGCTGTTTCCGAGGCATAATGTTGGTAACCAAGGGGTGCCTTCTTTGAACCAAGACCATCAGACAATTCCTTTACCACACATACATGTATCAAGGCACCTCCACTGTGTACATGATTGTGTGTGTGGGCCAGATAAGGAAGAGAAAGGGAAAGGATGCACTTGAGGAAAGTTTAGGCTCCAAAAATGCATGCTGATTTCCCACCACAAATTGCCACTTCTTGATGCCCTGGCTGATGGCCACAGAAGAAGTTTCTGCTCCAACCAATGGATTAGGGGCTCACCAGAATCCAGCATGATTCTCAGTGCCCATGGTGCTGTAGACTTTGCTGGGCCTATGCAGAGAGTTTCTAAGCCAGGGCTAGGATCCTGTTGGGGTCCTGGGAGCTGGATTGAATTTTGGGGCTGGATAATGTCAGGGAGCAGCCCCCTCCAAGTTTTGCCTGTGATATCATAGGAATCCGTTTCTCCTTGCAAATTCTGATGCAGATTCTTGGTGCTAGAAAAAGGCAGTGGTCACGGATGAGAGCAGAGTCCCCACCCAGCACTAGAGAAATGCTGAATTTCGGCTGTGCTAGGAGGTAGGATGGGATGTGGGAGAGAACCCATTATTGGATGGCAAACCCATTTCTCCATTTCAGGCATTTCTAATCCCTGTCCTATGCTGCTGAGGAATTATTCTGCCCCAGGAGGAACCTCACCTCCCAGTAATTTTGAAGGCAGAATGGAGGGCTTCTGTATTTAAAATGGACCCCAGATGATAGATACCACAATTCAACAGGTGCTCAGTTGATCAATCTGGTCCTAATGAATCCTTTCTACAGTTGATTGGTGGTTGGCTCCAGCAAACCCTTATTCAAGACTGAATTTTCCAATGCCTCTTTCTTATGACTTACCTACAAGTGTGTCCTTCTTTTACAGGTCTGAATGGAGCTCCTGTTTGCACAGTTAAAGATGAGTGGTCTGTGCAGACCAGTCCTCCTCCTCATCCAATGAGAAAAAGTCAGTTTCAAACTGCTGCATTGGGAATGCTGGCCATTCAAATTCCTATTGGAGATCCACAGCCCATTCCAGTGCCCACGCTAACAATAGGTTTGTGTACAATGTATATGTTCTCCTCAATTATCAGTGGGGTAAAGAAGGGGTTATCAACATTTCTAAGCCAGTGGACTCATTTGGAATTTGAGAAATTTTTGTCTTTTATTTTATTTTATTTCATTTATTCTCACAAAATACATTGGAAAGAAAGAAAAATTGGATAGGAAATATGATGCAAAGGGATATTACACAAATATAGCACATAATTTGAGTAATGAATTCACAAAAAGGCAAGAATTTCTGTCTGCTACGGTAACATTTAGGTCATTCAATTCTTAATAAAAGTTTGCATACAGATTAATCTAATATATAAAACTAATTGTGGATAATATCCTAGCTTTAGTATTAGCTCACTGGCCAACACAGAATTTGGTGCCTCAAATGTTAGACCAGTTCCTGGGTATATTTGACCCACTGACTCCAAAAATGGCACCAATTTTTTTCCTTTTGTAAGTTTTCTAAGAGTGGGATCTGCCAGGACAATCCTGCATAAGTCCCAATAGGAATCTGCCATCATGTGTGCATCCCATCTTCCTTGGTATCTGCCTTACATTGTTTTTATGTCTTGATGAAATCTTTCACCTTGCTCTTTCCTTAAGTCTCTGGAAAGCAATCTAAGTGACTGTGCAGATAATGGATTTTAGCATTCAATTTACAGCCAAGCCTGTAGAAATGAAAGAGCATCTCCTCTTCTAATGGAGTATAGTTATCTGCCTTCTTGTTGCCCAGGAACAACTAAAATAATATACACACAGCTCCTATATGATCATAACTATAATACAGTTAATAAATTATCCTTTAGAATTCAGTAAGATTCCAGTAAAATTCCAGTAAGAAGCATGTAAACACTCTCACTATATCTGCTAAACTTGTATGCAAAAACACAAACTAGGTGACAGAAGATCACATTGATCAGCAAGAACTTTTCAAAAACTGACTAAAAAATTATATAAATTTGACCATATCTAAAAAACTAAAGCCAATGCAGTCTAGCCAATGCAATTTTCTGAATCAGTGCTCCGAATAACCCCAAAGCAGGTCTAAAAAGCAAGGGACCAAGAAAAAAGACAGTATTATTAGAGATTCTGTTTTCTTAAGCATTAGCTGAATTGCTCATAATGAGCTTTCCATTAAATTCTTTGGCAGGTCTTCTATTTACCTAATTGTTTAGTTTTGCCATTGTTGCATACTGAGCTAGCTTATGTTTCCAGTCTTCCACAGTTGGACAGCCTTCAGCTTTCCACTTTGAGGCCTTTGCTACTCTTGCCTTTGTTATCATATATCTGATTAACATAATCTTGGGAAGAGTCTCTGGCATGATATTCAGTAACATAATCTTAGCATTCATAGGAAAGTCAATTTTAAGAGTTTTCTGCATTTCCACATGTATCTGCTTCCAAAATCTTTTGATTCTATCACATGTTTACTACATATGATTAAAAAGTTCCTCTACATTGCCAACATTTTCCATTGTAATTTTTGTCTATTTTCTGTTTCTCTTTTGAAGTAATATACCACCAAAAGTGCATTTTATACTAATTTTCTCGTAATGCTTGACTAGCAGTGATTTTTATGCCCTGCATCCATAGGACTTCCCATTGATGGGATAATATTTCTTCTACAAAATTCTGCATCCTTCATGCATGTTTTAACTTGCTGAATTTCAGTACCTTATTAGAGCTGTTGTTTGAAGAGTTCTCCCAGTAGGTGGTCTTTTTGGTGTTTAACGGAATTTGAGAAAGTTTGTGAATGTTCTCTCAAAATGGCTGCTATAGGGCCTTCTTGCCCATTTATAAAATGGCTGCCATACTGGGCTTGGCTAGTCATAAAACATTCATTTCCAGAAAGCAAACATGAAGCCAAAAGAAAAAATAATTTGCCTGAGAAATTTGCCTATAATGCAGACACAAAACCCCCCGCTCTTTTGAACCCAAATGTAGATGTCTCTGGAGAGCAGAGCATACCATCCTCCAAATTACTATTATTACTATTAAAGTCACCAGGGGATATTAGTTAGTGTGTTGGACTGGGCTATAGCCTCCAGTCAGCCATGCCACTCACTGGATGGCTTTGGACAAGTCACAGGCACTCAGCCCAACCTGCCAACATAGGGCTGTCATTATGAGGATAAAATATATAAAACAGAGAGAAAGATAACATTGTAAGCCACCTTGAGTTCCCTACAAGAGGAGTAAAGGCAGGGTGTAAATGTAATATACCTATAATTATAGTTATAGTTGTTGTACTTATGATTCACTATAATTCATTATAACCATAGTATCATTATAACCCTACCATGACCACAGTTCTGTTATTGTTATTGTTTTTTAAAAAATAAAATACAAATCAGGAGAGACAGAGAGCATGATGGGTGTCCGATGAGAAAATCCCCATGGTGGATTCTTGTTTAATCTGAATACTTTGTTTATGGCTGGTTTACATTTTCTACAGTAAAAGCCGCTCTGGGAATACCTGCTCCCACGCCGGTCATTTCTCAACTAGGAAAGCATTTGCATGGAGTGGCAGAGAGCAATTTGCAGGGCACCGAGCAACCTGTGCAGGGGGCATCCCTTTACTGTGCCTGCTCTGCCTTGTTATACTGTTTGGCCTCACATGACCTGAGAAGTCCTGCCTATGCTACACAGCTGAATTGCAGGAGCCTTCACCTTTCTCCAGGGATTGTTGGAAGCAGGCCTAACTGGGGATGACTTGCTACAAAGCCTAAATTATCTTCGACCTGATACTGAGGAGAATTTCAGGATGAAGACTTTTCTTGTCCGCATGAACCAGTACAAGTGCCATTTGCCATGAATATAAAATAAGTATTTGGCCTCTCAAGAAGTATTGCTGAGGACTGGTAGACACCTGAAACAGACCTTTTGTGATTTGTTGTTCCACCCTGGCAGAGGTCTTCCAATGTTCTAACCACACAGAGTATCGCAGGGAAGCCTTCTCTGCGAGCGCATTCATGGCTTGCTCTCTCCTCATCAACAAGGCTTGCTAATGCAATTAAAGCACAGATAGTGCTTTTAAGTATCTTCATGATGCATTCACTTCCTGAGAACTCAGCCTGAGTAATGATAAGCCTGCTGAAGGATGCAGAGATTGAGAGAAAATGCTCCTTGGATGTTTCTGAAGGACTCAGAGGATTGCCTTTCATCTCTGGATTATTTCTGAACCTGCCATCCCGTTATTGCTAAAGGTGCACAACTACAGCATTTGTCTTATTAATTTAACAGTGTGCCAGGAAGAAATCTGTGTAGTATGAAATATTCCCTTCACGGTCAAACCTGTCAGTAAGAAGACCACGGCAGAAACTTCTGCTTAGCTTGCTAATTTAGAAAATAGAAGAAGCGTTCCGTGTGTTAAAATGTTCAGACTTTCTAAATCCTCTCCATCCCTGTCCCTGCAAGTCTGAAGTGTGACGGTCTGGCAAATGATCTATCACATGAGACAACACATCCACACATCGGGCAGGTTCAGGCAAGGGGGTAACCCACAGTCAGTGATAGAAATTGGCTTGAGTATGGGTTGTTGGACCATGGGTTATCATGCTCTCTGAGCCCAGCCGCACTAACAGGCCATCACTTGTTAACCATGGAGAGAACCCATAGTTCGTGTTGGGTTCTGAACTGTGTGTTGTTCACCCTGATATGTTATCTCAGCTGTGTTCACACAACATAATAACCTTTATTTTAATCATAGCCTATGATTTGATAACAACCCACCCTCAACCCATACTAAGCTCTTAAGTGAAGATTATCTTGTCATCAGAACTCAGTCATTATAGAGAAGCAAGCTCAGTTTTGCTAGTTGCCACTGAGTACACACTCAACAGGAGCTGCAGCTAATCCTGGCTCCCCCTAGGAGTGGGGAAGACTTTCTCCAGTTCACATTTTAATGTGAATTTAAACTGCTATGTGGACCAAAACTCAGTTATTGTCCAAACAATGCACTTCTCCAGTTTTTGCCATGAAGTTCTCCACTCAAAAGATGTGTACAAAAATGTGCGTGTTTGGGAAGATGATCTTTAAAGCTGCATTACATTAGGAAGATTGCTTGAAAAAACTATTAAATCCATTTCGAATGCATGTGCTAGGAGAAACATGTTCAAAAATGCTTTTGAATCATCATGTAAACTTAACCTTTACAGCTCAAGACAAACTGCAGTCAATACTGGAGAAATTCTCAAAGTTTGAGATGAACTAAACAGAAGAATGGAGAAATGAGAAATCATTATGTAGATTTCTTATGTAAGAACCACCCATTCTTATCTCCCACCCATGTGCTGCAACCTGTCTAATACATGTTTGCAAATAACAAATGCGTGCTTGAAATGGGCTCAAAGCACAAGTGGCAAACGTCATGTCAAGATTCTTTTTACTGAAGGTGCCAGGAGCGGTTTGTAGACAGGTGCATGTGCTCTGCCTTTGGACTGTGACATTGTTTATCCTCAGTCCCCTTTTAGGGGTTGCTCTTTTGCTGCCTTCCTTGAGTTGCCTCTTCCCTCTCACACAGGTTCTTTGTCCGAGGCATGGCGAGAAGAGCTGAGGGAGCTCGCTGCAAGGGTGAGAGCTGCCTCTTCCACTGGGACAGAGAAAAAAGAGACTGTGAGTAGAAGAATGGGGCATTGTGGTTGCAAATCACAGCGCTGCTTTGCCGGGCAATGTGATCTGTTAGACACTGGGGAGATAACTCCAATGAGAACTGGGTCATTGTTGTCTTGGGAGGGGCCATGGGTCCATGGCAGAGCAGTTTCTCTAGGTGCATCCAGAAAGAATCTCCTCTGAAAGCTTTGGCAGCTGCTGCCAGTCTGTGTCAATAATTCTGGGCTAAATGGGCCATGGCCCACCTCAGTATACAGTAGCTTCCTGTGTTCTCAGAACCTGCTAACATCTTATTTTGTATATTTATTTATTTAGGATGTTTATAGGCTGTCTGTCACTGTAGCCTCTGGACAGCTTACAATATATTATAATCTAAATCCTAAACCAAATAAATTAACTATGCCACAACTGAATACATAAAATAGAATAGTTAAAATAAGTTAAATAAATAAATATACAATTTAAATCAATTAACATTAAAATATTGGTTAAATAAAAAGTTCTTGACCTGGCACTGAAAAGCGTATAATGACAATGTTTGTGTCCAGACAGCAAATATTCCTGTCGCATCCCAGTATTACTGTATATTTTTAAAGAGAGAAAGAACTTTGTGCTTTACAGAGAGCAAGAGAGAGAGAGAGGCTAATGGGTGGGGGGGGGTTGCCTCTCCTGTAGCAATAAGCTTGAATGTTGAGAAGTTGTGTGTCCAATGTGTGTGTGTGCAGAGCATGTGTGTTTCTTTTCTAAGTCCCCGATCCTTGTATTATTTCTCTCTGAACATGCGTCTGTGGGAAAGACACATGTGTCTCTGAGTTTCCCAGACTTGTGCTAATTGTTGCAAGAGTGCTGGACCGCTTCTTGATGGCCTTAACTATTGTTTGGCTGGGAAAGAGGTGAGTTCTTTGTTCGTGTTTGCTAGTTGCTATGGGTGAGGTACTTTTGAGGTGTCTCAGGACAACGGGTCATCCTTCTTGCAGGGTTGCTTTGCCAAATCTCTTCAAGGGAGAAATGCCTGACCTTTTCTCCACAAGAATTCCAGCATTCATCCTTGTCTTACATTGGCTCACCCAGGATACTTGGTCCTTCTTCCTAAGTTCAAGCCTACCCAACATGGCCCAGGCCTGAAAGCCTCTTCTGGCCTGGGAGTTTAGGGTTATGGTGCTAACATTCTACATGCATTACACCTGATACTTATGGATACTAGCCATTACTGCTAGTAGCCATTGCTAGGCTTCTCCTCCATGAATTTGCTAATCCCCTTTTAAAACCTCCCCTTTCAAAACCAGCCATATCAGCCATCATTAGTTCTTGAGGCAGAAATTTATTTAGTTTGACTATGTGCTGTGTCGAAAAAAATACTTTTTCACTGGCTTGAATCTCACACCAATTCATTTCTCTTAATGACCCTAAGGACTAATATGATAAGGGGAGGGGAATCCCACCAAGTCAAGACGTATAATACCCAAGGCAAGCCAAGTTCCTTTTTCTCCTGAGGCAAAAAAATCCCAGAATCCTCTCCTCTGCACCCTTCCTTCCCTCCATAGGATGCTCATAATCCCCTGAGTTCAGAGGGTTACAGGCAGCCACACTGGATTGTGTTGCAGGACTCCTTTGTCAACAATGTAAAAGCACAACTCAGTGTATTTTCCCCTCTGCTCTTGGTCACCAGTAGATGACCCACAAACCTCAGCTATAAATAAGAGCGCACTGTCTTTTTCTATCATAAGTCTTTGCTTTTGGGTGAAAGCCAGGGTAACTTTTGGAACCCTGAGAAACAGTATACTCCTTAGAATATGTATAAAGTAAAATGGGCCTTGAGGTGCTTATTCAAGTCAGAAATTCCATTCTGCAATAGGATCTTACATGCTAACAGCAATGAGAGTGCTTCAAACTACGCAGTGGGCAACTGTCACCCTGCAGTCATTCCATTAGAGGAGAAAAACAGGGCCCATCCTCAGTCCTCCTGAGAAGCTTCATCAGTCTTTTCCTCTCCCCAGATAGTCATCTAGCAGCCATTCCATCAGGCCATACAACAGGAAGAGAATGGAAGAGAGGTCAGTCCATCAGTTCAGCTGAGAGCCAAGCCATTTTTGGCTCCTCCTGTCTTGAGCAGTTTCTGAGATGTGAAAGGAACCCACAGGTTGGATTTCTCGGAATCTGGCCTGTGGATACCTCTGTGGGCCAGCTTTCACCAAGTCATACAGATTCTGAAGATTTGTGGACAAGTTTTTACTTGAGGGGCTGGAGAGTTTGTGCAAATGCACACTTGTACTAAGGCAAATCAGTTCTAGTGCTCAATAGTGCTGACATGCATGTGACTAAGTGGATGCTAGTGCAAATTTGCATTTGCACAGAGATGAAATTCTTGTACATCATAAAAAATCCAATCCCATCAAACTTTTAACAAAACAGATTTAACAAAATCGAATCCACTGCTTCTGTTAGAGAAAGTTGTGCTAAAAAGAGCAGTCTTATCCAACAGAATTACAGCCATTGCAGCTAGACATTATATAAGAACTTCTAATATTAAGACCTGCTGTCAAGGTTTACTTGCTTTCTTTTCCCATCCTTCCTTTTGTGTCCCATCTTTTTAGATAGTAAGCCTACACTTTGGGACTCCCTTGTTTTTATTGATCTATAGGCAGCTCTGGCAGCTTTTCCAGTTGAAGAGTGGCATATAAATGCTTTAAACAAATAATAGTGAAGTATCAACAAGCCTGGACATTTGCAGAAATACAGCTTATCTTTAGAAAATCAGCACTCCCGAGTGGCAGGAAACCCTAAAAACAGCTCCATAAGAACTGGGCATGCTCAGTGGGCAGAGACTTCAGACTGAACATTGCAGAAAAAGAAAGAACACCAGGGATGAAGAGAATGGCTTGGGGCAAGAATACCTGAAGAATCCCTTCCTCCCATATGAGTCTGCCCACGATTTGAAACCTCTGTCTCTCCAGGACAGAGAAGGTTGGTGGTAGAAACATTAAACAAGGTTTTTTTTCTGTACCTCCCCCTCAGCTGTGGACTCCCTTCCAAGGGAAAGCAAGCTAGCACATGACATACATAGCCAGGGAGTCTACAATGTTTTAAAATGTGGTAGTAGATGTTCTGGCAGCCCACACTCTTCTCTTGCACCCGTGCACCACCGGAGGGCAACCTAGCTTAACACCAGCTGGCCAGTAGCACTCTTGAGGAGGTTGTTGTTTCTCCAGGCCTTTGCCTTTTAAAATTGTGTCTTTTTTTGAGAAAAATAATATTCTGTTTGTTGTTATTGTTGTTTTGTTTTGCTTTGCTTCGCTTCTGTGTTCTTGTGATTTACCACTTTGAGTGCCCTGGTGGACTGAAAAATGATGCATAAATACTTTGGATAGAATGTGAAATCAAGTATCTAGAACCCAGAACAGAATCACTCCGTATGGTAACATTTGTTTCAGGTTGCTGTTGTTCACCCTTATTTTGCTTTCTCAGCCTCCTAACTTTACTGCATCTTGTTGCATTTGAAGACAGAAAAGTCCCAGAGGGAAACACAGTACTCAGAAGAAACAGGGCGTCTCATCCCGCTGTCCTCCCGAGCCACAACACGCCATTCATCCCACTGCCTGCGCAAGAACAATGCCAGGAATAAAGGGAAAGATGCTATCTTGTCTTTCCAGGGCCAAGAACTAATCGTAAGCAGCCACTTCTTATCATTGTTATTCCCACACCACCAGCAGATCACAGTGATTTCCATCGTGCATGCATGGACATAAAGGGATGCAAGGCCAAAAAATGAACAGATAGAGAAATAAGGAAAGCTTCTGGTCAGAATGGGTTATGAAATGAGTCAGCCGAAATATATTATTCCATTAGGCATCGGTGTGCAAGTAAGAGAGATCTGATGTTTAAACAACAGGAAGGCAACACTGCCTTGGGAAAAGTATTCACTGCTTCTCCTGCAATTACACACGCCCACACAAACACCCGCACCAGTATCTGGTGTTGCACAAGCGATTGCCATGTGGCTTTTCACTTGGCGGAGTAGTGAAGTGACAGAATCCAAGTGAGTGTCAGTGTTTAGAAACTGGCACTCAGCAGAATAGTCAGTCATGTGAGAATCTGCGATCATTTCAGAGACATATGTGTAAATAATAATACAATCTGAATCATGATGCCCATTTTCTGATCATGCTGCATCCACCTTCTATGTACTGTGAAGGCAGAAACAAAGAGTCAGCAGATCCGCAGCTGTGCCACAGCTTTTGCTGGAGTCTCTCTTCTCAGACCCAGATCGCAAGTGGAGAACTGGATGCCTGAACACTCCTTTGCATGCTGTAAAATCCCTTCCTGCCCCTGCAAAGTTGCCGTGTCAAGTATCAGTATTTAAACCTGGTCCTCCTTGAGTGCACTCATCTTCTTGCTCCTCCTCTTCCCCATAGCGACCTTCTTGTTCCCCTGCCTTTCACTTGGGAGCAAAGAATTGGGGTGGTCAGGAAGGGAAGCACAAGATGCCGTGGCCGACTCGCTCCCAGGTCTTTACCTGCTGAATTGCACGTGGTAGCACTTTGGAGGTACAGCAGCCCAAGAGGCAGGCAGTGGGAAGATGACTTGCAGGGGGAGGGTGTCCAGAAAGGGTGTCTTTTCCAAGGCCCCTCCAAACCTGGGGCCAGCGCTGTTCCTGACCCTGCATTTTAGCTGCTGTGAGCCAAGTGGCATGAGCACAAATCAAATTTGGCAGTCTATAAATCAACAGGAATGATATCCCACCTCTCACAGCCTTTGCAAAGGTTTATCACTGGCCAGATCCACCTTCTGCTCCTAGGATGAAGCAAGACATTCCCTGGAACCCTTGAGCTTTCTCCTAAAATGCATGCACACGGCTTGTAGCAGGGCCCATTCAGGAACTGACATGCCTCTCCCTCTGTCTGGGACTGCAGGAAGGAGTGGGGGATTCCATCAGATGAGCAATGAGTGGCAACTTGAGACAAAGTCCACCAGAATATGAAAAGAGACTAAATAAGCCTCTGTGTATCTGCCCTCTTGACCCTCTGTTTGCTTCTTTCCTGGTGTCACTCTGACCTGGTCCTATTGACAGAAATTTCCACTGTCTGTTCTTTCAACAGATTTTGGAGCTGCTGTGTCAGATCTTGCAGACAGACTCCTTGATGGCTATTCAGCAATGGCTGCTCACCGCTAGCCAGAAGGGTGAGAACATGGAGCCTGCAAGGGGCTCAGCCTGCCGCTTTTCTTCTGAGCCCCAGCCAGCTTGGCTGTGCATTGAAAAGCTTAGGACGTGGAGCATGCGTGCCATGTGTTTGGAATGCCATCTCTATGCATAGAGGGAAAGCAGTTGTTGTGGGGCAGGAGTGGGCGACAGCCTCCACCACCCCATACAGCCCTCCCGCCAAGACCTAGACAGAACACCTACATTCGAAACAAACATGGAACAAAATTGCATCCATAGCTGCTACAAAGCATCAGAAAGGTTGGAAACAGGCTAGGTCTAACTTATGCAGCCCTCTGGAGCAATACAGAGTCTTCTGCCACCGGGCGAAGGATATTTTGGAGGGTACCAAGAGACTGCATAGTGCCCTGCAGAGTACAACACATGCAGAGGCCGTCCAGGGGATTAAAATTAGCTCTTCTGCAATTGCACATATGAGAAGTTTTCAATAGGGTTCCCAGGGCCAAAGTGCTCCCAGAAGCACCTCCTCTGATGCCCTCCAAGCTTCCTTCCCCTCCTCATTTTGTTTCACTTTGTAAAGATCGTTCCAATTTAAAGTCACTTGGAGCGCGGCACACTGCAGTGCAGAAAGCCAGCATCAAGGGCCATCGCCAGATGTGCTCCTGTTTCTCAGAGCCTCAACCAGCCTTCTGTGAAATGGGAATTTTATTCTGCCTTGTAGAAGCAAATACACTATTTGCCATTTGCGACTCAGACCCCACTTCTGCACTGTACGCAATTGCTTGGCTAAGTGACTTGCCTCAGAGTCTCATCAGTTTTCCTTCTCAGAAAGGGACATTAGAGCAAAACCATGTGGCTTCAGGCAATGGGTTTGCGGCTTGGTATGCAGATCCCACCTCTATCTTGCACTCTGGTTCTTGGACAAGTTGCCTTTCTTTTAATCTCATGAGTTTCTCATCTGAGAAATAGGTGCTTTCTGGCCATCCATCATGGCAGATATTTTGTGAAGTGCCCTTAACATGCCAACACTCAAACTTTCAACACTTGACTCAAAAAGTTTGGACACCCCGGTCTAGACTTTTCCACACATTTTGTGGCAGTAAATACAGATTTGTGATCAACTGTACACTCGGCAAGGAGAAATCCTGTTTTGTTGGTTAGCGCACCTCTGTGATGCATATGCTTTCTAGCTAAATAGGTTTAGCTCATGCATGCACTACATTGTTAGAGACCTACCTACAAACGTAATATGTGAAGAATTCCTAAGCCTTGCTTTGATCATTGTATGGGAATGAAAAATGCCTGGGTAACTCTCTGTATAAATGAAGGTGCAGGCAGAAGAAAGGAGACGAAAATGTTTATTTTACATTGAAACCAAAGATGAGACCTTCTGATTCCAAAAGTGTTTGCTTTCCTTTCACTGTAGAAAAGAATATTGCCATGGGATTGTTGCAGATTGCAACTGCCAACCTCCAGCTCGAGCCCCAGGAGTTAATCACAAGCATGGAAGAGAGACTTGCATCACAGATGTCCTCAGATGCTTCCAAACTACCCAGCCTTGGGCGAAATCATTCCACCAGGTGCTCTCTTTCATGTCCTTTGCATGTTGGCTGAAGTAAAAGTAGAGCTTTATGAAGTTTGGAAAAGAGCAGTGCAGTGATTCTGGAACTGCAAAACACAATACAAAAAGAGTTCCACAGAGATATAGATATATTCATGCACACACGTGCATGTTCCCATGTATGATTTGCAATATAGCCTGGGAATGGATATCACAGAGCTACTGTATTCAAAGACTGTTGGCAGCCATAATAGAGGCCTGGCCTTTGAGCTCAAGTATAGCAAGGTTTCAAGCCTATTGACAGAATTGGTTGAATGCCTGCAGTTCAGTGTTTGGAAGAAAGATAAGTGCTCGGTTAGGCAATGCAGGGCTGCATAACCTCAGGCTCATAGGCCAAATTCAGCCCACCTGAAACCCCAGTCTAACCTTTCAGCGTTTTTCCTGGGGCCAGGGGAAACAGCCTTTGTACAGTCCTGTCTCCCCTGTTCTGAAAGGTTAAAATGCCTCTGGTAAGAACTTTAAGCAGAAATAGGCTGGCCTTTCTGGCACGTTGGCCACCTCCCTTTTCTCTTCCTCTTCCGGCACCAGCCACCACTGAAATACAGCCCACAGCCATTTCCCTGAAACTGAGCTCACCCAATGAGTTGAAAGAGATTCAGCGCTCCTGCGTTAATGCTTCCCTGGCATCACTGGCTGGATGGAGACCATTCAGAATGCTCTGTAGCTATCGAAGGAGATAACAAGCTGGCCAATCTTACTAGTGCAACCTTTCCCAACCCGGTGACCTTCAGAGGTATTTGGACTACAAATCTCAGAATTCCCATCCACCGGGGCCACTGACTGGGAATTCTGGGCGTTGCAGTCCAAACGTGTCTACAAGGCACAGGGCTGGGGAAGACTGTGCTAGTGCTTTATTTTCAGGGCAGTTTTGTTGCTCAAAAGACTTGAAGAAGAAGAAAGTGTTGGTTTAGCACTGGTTTCTTTTGTTACAGGCTGTCTGTGATAAGGCACAAACAAGAACCTACTGCAGAGGAAGAGAAGCCAGGTAAAATACTGTAGCAAAATGGGATACAGAGGGGATACCAGGTTGTCATTAGGAACACAAGGAGGGCTGTGTTGAATCAGCTCCAAAGATCCATCTAGTTAAAGACTTGGTTCCCACAGCAGCCAACCTGATGCTTATAGAAAGATGCTGGGTAAGCCACTGGGCTTGTGTTTCCAGCAACCTGCATTCAGAGAGATGTTGCTTCTGTTACTGGGGCAGGTATAGAGGCAAATATATGATGTTCCTGCAGTGACAAACAAAAATCCCATGAAAGGCACCATTTCAGGCAAAATCCAATGCATGTTTAGACACGAAAAGTCCTGCATCTCCCAAGAGTGAGCTTTTTTCTGTTTAAGCATGCATCAGATGGTGCCCTTAATTAACACTGTTCCACCATAAAGAAAGAAACTCCTGAACATGTTTCAGATGGTCCCATTGTGGCTTAAATCAAGACTCAGAATGGCCCAGACAAGAGAACTCAGCTTCAAAACGATTGATTGATTTGTATTGTTTTTATACCACCCAATAGCCCAGACACTCTGGGCAGCTAACAAAAGTTAAACACACACACACAAAACTAAAAGAACAAAACCATAATAGCAATTCCAATTTCCTATTGCAGCATAGAATCAGTGTCTGGACTGGATGAGGGCCAGTAAGCAGAGACTCAGTCCAGACAAGGCAGAGGTGCTGTTGGTGGGTAGACTGCCTGTTCTATGGGGAGATATTCAACCTGTCCTGGATGGGGTGCACTCCCCTTAGGGGAAAGCTTCATAGTTTGGGGGTGCCCCTAGATCCAGAACTCTCATTTGAATCACAAATGGAGTCAGTGGCACAGAGCACCTTTTATCCGCTTAGGCTGATTTACCAACTACGACCCCATCTGGACAAGCACAGCCTGCCCACAGGATCCATGCTCTCATCTGGATTACCGCGATGCACCCCATACGGGGCCGCCTTTGAAAATGGTCTGGAAATGCCAACAGATTCATAGCAGAGCAGTGCAGCCACTAAGCAGGACGGACTCATGAGACCATACCCTGCCAGTCCTCTTTCAGCTGCATTGGCTGCCGGTCAAAGCCTGGCCCAATTTGAAGTGCTGAGGTTAACATTTAATGCCCTAAATGGCTTGGGCCCAGGAGCACCTGAAGGAATGCCTTGCTCCACATGTTGCCACCCAGGCCCTCAGATCATCTGCAGAGGTCCTTCTCTGGGAATCACCCCCACAAGAAGTAAAGGGGGTGATAACTAGGAGAAGGGCCAACTCGGCAGTTGCGCCCTGTCTTTGGAACATGCCCTGCAAGCAGATGCGCCTGGCACCATCCTTGTTTTCTTTTCAGCACCAGGTGAAGACCTTGTATTTTCCAGATATTTTAATAGCTAAGATCTGTTTTTATTATATCCGCTGCTATGCTGGGCATTAATTTTACCTTAACTGCTGCAGGTTGTTGACTTCTGTTACACTGGTGCTATTGTTTTTGTTTATTTAAATTTGATTATTTTATTGTTGTTATATGTTTTTAAATTTATAAATGACCCAGACAGCCCCAAGGACTATGGGGCAGTATTAAAATATAGTGAGTAATTAAGCACAGAGCAATGTTATGACTTCTGATCACACCACCTCAAGAACCCTGCTGAGATCTCATGGTAATTGACTGACCAGCAAGGGAGGCTGCAATTCTAAGAACACGTAGAATCTTGGAGAGACGTTCCACTGAAAGCAAGGGATCAGTACCCTTGTCTGCATGTGGTGAAGAGGAGGCCAAGCTGGTGGAACTTCATCCATGCCTGAACAGCAGGGGTGGGGGATCCATTGCCCTCCAGATGTTTGTGGACACCCAACTTTTATCAGCACCAGCCAGCACAGAGAGTCGAAGGATCATGAAAGCTGGATTCCAGCAACATCTGGAAATTTTCCAGGTTCCCCAGCCTTGATGAACAAGAGCTGGAGGGCCCATGGCCCATGGTATACGGTCAGGTCTGTCTTTCCCTTGTTGTCGCATTGTCTGCTTCTTGATCTAGCCAACTAGAAGCAAAGCTGCCCTCAGGTAGAGGAGGAAGGTTGCATAGTTACTCTGGGGTTTTACCCTGACATTCTGCCTGGTTTGGGGCATCTTGTCCAGAGATTCATCCACTGCTGTTTCATATGTCTGCTCCAGGCAAACGAGCTGGGCACAAACAACAGCTGCTCCTAAGAAGAGGCACTAGTACCCCTCCACCCTCTTCTCTGAGTATTCCAGGCATTGCCTGGACACACCTGAGCCCCCCTTTTGTACTAGTTAAGAGTCTAGAAACTTGGATCTTTGACAGCAAAGTAGAGGGTGTGAAGTGACTTGATTTCTGAGGTTGCAAGACTGTGAGAGACGGCAGAGCTAAATCATTCTGTCTGTTTGCTTCCAATATATCAAACCAGAGCTGTAATTATCCCACATTTTAATTCATGGGCATTGAACTTATAATGACAAAAGGATGATGACAAGTGCATATCCTGGATCTCTAAAATGGGACATATCCTCACTTGGTGTTTATGTGAGGCGAGTCATGTCCATAAAAAGAAGAAAGAAAATGAAAGAAAATGAAAATTTTGACATCTCCTTAAAAGCTTCAGGTTTATCAAAGCAATCTTTGACCTGAACAAGATTCTGTTTGCTTTTCTGTCTGGGCACTTTGCCTGGTCAGAATCAGCATCAACACTCCACATTAGGGAATGGCATGATCTTCTATTAATGCCAGGAGAAAGAGCAAATAGCCACTTCATCCTTTACCCAGGGTGGGGAGTTGCTCATTGTATTCTTCCCAAGGACACGTATCATTTGGAGCCTTTACTAGGTATCTTGTGCATGTCACATATTTTGGCACACTGAGCGTCCTGCTCCTTCCCTGAATGGGATTCTTTGCTGCTGCTCTGTAGCTGAATGAATCAGCTGTCAGCCAGTTCAGCAGCAATGGGCCTTGTACTGCCAGCTTCCCCTGGCTCACTCCTTCCCACATCCTCTGCTTGCTAGCTTAAAAGAGCCTAAGCTGGCCATAAAATGCAACCCACGGGGGCAACTTCATCAGCAATCTGATGGCAACCCGGAGGCACAAGAGATGGCAGGCGTGTCTTTCTCCCAGCCAAGGTGTTATTATGGGTATGATGCATCTACTTGTGGAAGCAGCTAGCATTTTTTTCTCCATATTTACTGAACTTATGCAGAATATTTCCCCAGCATCTGTGCTTTACTTGACTCTTTCAGTCTGGGCCGTTCCTACTGTTCGTTAGAGGATTGTTTGAGTTTGGGATATCATTAAAGGGCAGGAAATTATCCTACAATTGTGTGGTCCTTTTTGATCTTTTACCCCAGGCACCAGAATGTTTTGGAACATCTCTGCTTTCAATTTCATATTTATACAACCCAGCTGAATTCTCGTTTGGCTCCTGTTGACTTCTGCAGATGCAACCAAGCGATCAACATTCAGTCCATGTGTAATAAACTCATTGTTTCCCCTTCTTTTTTTAGAAATGCTTCTGCACAAACAATATGACCAGGCATCCCTAAGCACCAAACCCCCTGACTTCCCCCTCTCTCAGCCTTATGTTAAATCAATCGCTGCGGGAATCATTTGGGGGATGCATAACAAGGTTCTCCCAGGTCATTTATTGGTCCATTTGAATTTTTACTCTCTGGGAGCTGCCAAGCTCCTACAGAAACGCCTTTGAATAATCTCATTCCTGTTTGCCACACCGTGCTACTTAGGGAGCAGTCCTATGCATGATTAGGCAGAAAAAAATCGCCCAACTTTGTAGGACTTCTTTGTCTAATCATGTTAGAAAAGGCTTTGTCTTTAGTTGCCTAAAGTAGGTCTGTGGCCCAGATGTTGCTCCTTTTTAGTGTTTAGGGGAGCAATTGAATTGGGTTAGATTGGGTTAAGCAAATGTGTTTACAAATCGTCCTCTAACTGTCAAGTGCTAGGTGGTAATGAATTAAATGAAGCATCTCCTTTTAAATGTGCTTTCCACTTGTAGCGCATCTCGGCTCTGCAGAGGTTTTCCAGCTCCACCTGTGCCTGGCTGAGAAGCAAAACCAACCAGAGCAGCTGAAGTAAACAGACCTGTTCCCCCTGCTGCTCTCAGGTCTGCTGCCCCAGCTGCACCATTCCTCTCCTGCTACTCGTCTGGGGACAACAGTGCTGAATGAAACCCGCTGCATTAAAGAGGAACATCTAGAATCTCCCGGCTTTCTTCTTGCTTGGGGCCACTACAACATTCAAGGGAATGGCATTTCAGGACAAGCTTTCATGAGGCCTGCAATTCTAAGGGTGGTTCCAGGTGAATGGCTCCTAGTGCTACCCGTCAGAAGATGTTGTCCAGCTATTCCATTTTTCCACTGAAATTGCAGTGAGGACAAAATAGGGGAGGTTTTCCAATAAAAGATAATGAAATCTGGATCCCTCTTAAAAGTCTTCGAATGAGACAGAGCCTCGTGTAAAACCCTATCTGGAAACATCCTGAAATTCTTGACAAGATCAATTTTACTATGCCCTATTTTCTCACTTGGCATTTGGCAGAATTTAGAAGACAGACTCCAAGAAGCATCGCATGTTAACTAGACTAGAAGCCACTATGATGACATGATCCCAGTTTTAGGACAACTCAGATCACAGAAAATGGGACTCAAAAGCACCTGGCCTGTTTTGATAATAGGTAGTATGTAGAATATATGGATAAATAGTATTTTAGATGATATCTGGGGATCATCCTACATTGCTGTATGAATATTACCTTTCCACAGTGAACAGATTGGTGGGCCCATATGGGAAATATATTCACCTCAATGCCTACCAAGAGTTTGGTGGGTCTGCCTGAAGGCAGAGGTCCAAGACTATGATTTCATAAGCTCAGAGTGAGATCCATCTGTCCTTGCTATTATGCGATTAAGCAGGAAAAGCCAAGAAGGGGCTCTGCAACATAATACAAGAACAGAAGTGTAGTATAGTAGATAATGTAACACTAAGACTGGGCAGAATAGTAGTAGATTTGGAAGGGGCCTATAAGACCACCGAGTCCAGTCCCCTCCTCGACTTCCACAGGGGGTCACCCATCCAGCTCTAGGCCTATGCCTTTCCAGCTTAGCAAAGGTGACTCAGCACGCTAGCTTGATGTATAGCTATACAGCCAGAAGTGAGGAGATGCAGCTTCAAATCCCTACTCAACTGTGAAACTCACTGGGTGACCTTGGGCCAGTCACTATTTCATGGTCTCACCCACCTCACAGGGCGGTTGTAAGAGTAAAAGTAGAACCTTGCATTTTTTGGTGGAAAGGGGGGATAAAAATCCAATAAAAAAATACCAGAGTAGATGGAAATGAAGTCATTCTTTTTATATTTTAATGTAGCTTTTCCTCTTGTGTGCACCTAGTAACAACGATAACATAGCTTTGATTCTTTTAATTCTAACGATTTCTTTGCAAATTGCCTACTTGCATATGTTAGTTATTTAAAGGATGTCGTAGCTCCGAAGACCTACATGCCCGTGATCCTTTTGGAACTTTCCTTAATGGGACAAAATCAAAATGATTTATATATACTGTACTAGGTTGTTTTGACATAATGACTGCCTTAATTAAACACAGAAATTGAAGAGGGTGTGCATGTTTAATTTATACGTCTAACAGCAGTTTCATACAGACAGAAAGCAGGAAAAATACATAATTAGCTTCGTTGTTTGCCCAAGGCCATCACAAAATGTTCTGAACTGCCTGATTATAGAAAGTGCAACACAGAGAACCTTTTGTTTTTTCATGCTGTTTCTCTTTATTTCCCCATCAGCTTTAGGTCCCTTTCTCATGTGATGCTAGTGATATCAAAATGGCCCAGTTGGCTCCATCAACATCGCTCCAGTTTTCAAGAAGTCGTGGGGTAGGGAAAGTCCCAATGTGAGCTGCTCCCCAATGGGATGCAGCTTCTCATACCAGCAATGTGGGTGCTACCACAGCTGACATTATAATGTTCAAAAGGGTCTTTGTGGTAGAAGGTTGGAGCTCCTCTTTCAGCACCTGGTCTGCACATGGGCCAGTGTGACTCCCATCTCTCCTGAAATGCTTGGTTCTCCCACCAGCTTCTTCTGCTGCAGCCTTTTCTCACTCTTTCTTGCTCCATCTCTTCCTTTGGGTTTCCTTTCTCCAGTACCACCCATACTGGGATCTGTAAGGAGGAACCTGAAGTCTGTAACCATAAAAGTTTACAAGGAAAATAATTACAGTCAAAGATGGGATATGGACAAACCTGAAAAGGAAACCTTTCATTGAATCTACCAACCTTTCTGTACAATAACAACTGAAAAATTGTATTAATATTGATCATGGGTCCATTAGGACATGTCTGAAAAGCGATTACTTTCTTTACATTTCCCAGAGTGTCTTGGTGAATGTTAGCATTTCCTGGTAAATTAGGAAAAGGCAGGTAAAGATGAATATGCAGTAAATCCACTGCTTTTCTTGAGACTGACTTGAATGTCAGCAACAGGGATGTCCTAAGGCTTATTTGGGATAGTTATCCCTGTGCCATGTCGCCTCGCATCAGCTCAAAAAGAATTCTTTTCAATAGTGCCAATTTCAATAGTGTTTGAGAGCTGTGGGCCATCAAATTGTGGAAAGCACGTGTGAACTGGCCCCTTGCACTTGCATCCTTGAGATGGAAACCTGAAGCCACAGAACAAGATTGCAAACGGCGCAGGTTTGGGCAAAGTTCTCCTTATTTATTTATTTAAACAATTACTATGCCGCCTCATTTGCAAAAAGCCTCGGGGCGGCTTACAACATAAATAAACAATTATATAATTAGCCTTAAAAATCCGGAAACATCTCAGCACGTACATAAAAAACCAATACATGCAATCAATATATAAGCCTTAATGGGAAGGCTGTTATATAAAGGGATTATTCCTCCTCCTGCCATGAAAAAGCACCCAACGTGCCATCAAATTCTTCCCAGTGTACCCTCCAAATTAATCAGATCTAAAGAAAACGGGCTGCCTACAATTGCCGCCTGGCATCTGCAAACACAGCACACAGAGGAATCTTCATGCCTCCTTAAAATGACTTTTTTCCCTGCCAGGTTTCTGCGCGTGCATCAAGTGCTCTTTCCCCCCAGGAAGTTTATTCATTCACAAAGCCCTGCTTTTGCCTTCCTTCCCTGAAGTAATTTGATCCCCGAGGCTAGAAAACTGAGCCTCCGTGAGCTGAAAAACGTAAAAGGAAAACGCGAGAGAGCACGATGGAATATATACAAGCAAATGCCAAGAGCTGGCCTGCACCACTTCTTGCAGCATTTCTTTTCACAGGACTTTTGTAATTGCTGGTAGACATTCCAGTCTTTGAGAGGTTTTTTTGTATTCACTGCTGCAGCAGCAACAGATTAATCATTTGCTTTCTTCGTGATGTGTAATTTGGGGATAGGAAGGAAGTTAGGGCTGTCCACCTGATCTTATTAATCCAGGCTCATCCACTCTTTCTTTGTTTAACTCCTCTGCACGTCCCTGTCGGAGCCCCGGTCCATCAGAGCAATTCGCTTTGCACAGTCAGCTACACCATGAGCTCGCAGGCACTTGCAAGATACCCTTGGTTCGTTGTCTTTGTCTTTGCCACTGCAGCAAAAGGTAAGCGACGCGCTTATTAGCATCTATGCTTTCAGTAGGAGGAGGACATGAAATGGAAAGGTATTTGTAAATTACTTTGCACAAAAAGCTCCAGTGCCATTTGCTCAGTGCAGCTAAACACTCTGCTCACAAAGCCTCAGCCAAAGCAGGGGAAGACGTGAAAAGCCTTACAGGCCCAGCGCCTTTATGTGAGATGTATTGGCATGGCAACTAACGACAAACCAACAGCATTCAGGGACAACTGGATTCTGAATGTTGCCTCTGATTGTCCCTGGAAGTCGGAAAATGTGTTGCTTCTTGGAAAGAAAACATTAAACAACTTAGAAAAAAACATTAGGCATTGCTTACTTTTGATGGCCACAAAATGATTGATGCAAACTTGTGCATGTGTGTGGGGGGGGGGAGTTATCTCTTGATTTTCTGTGGATTCTTTGCAAAATTAAAAAATGGATCCCTAATTGAAAATGGCTTGTGATAACTAAGGACCCCTGCTATGAATGGTGCATTACACAAAATAAGAAATGCCTTGAGAACAATAATGCTTAGAAAGTCTTATTCTTAGGTAAGGAGTCCCCTATTCTTTATGGAAGCTTGGTCTGAGCAGAATTGCCTCACCGTGCCTTGTGGGATGAAACTGATGTGGTACAACTGAAGCTCATTTGGGAGCCATCCTATGACTTCTAGATGCCGTCTAGGATCATTCAGAGGTTGGGCTCTTGGGAAAGTGCTCCAAGGCCAGAGAAGGGGTTCTGATTTGCCCATCCATATCAGGCGTGACTGAGAATACCCCCTCCAGAAAGGGGGGGGGGCAAATTAATAACTAATCGTTGATTACTATCCCATCTCTTTATAATAACATGCCAGCACCATCTCTTCCTGTTTCTCTCCAGTTATGGATGGTAGTATGAGAAGGAATTGTGTCCTCAGAGTGGTTCACACATTAAGATGCTGATATATGGTTGTTACTGCGGTGAAGTAGGGATCAAGCACCCCACCTGAGAAGTGCATGATCTGAGTTTGGAAGACAGCAAGAGGGCTGGTCGTGATTCTCAGAGGCTAGCAAACTCCTTCTCCTTCTCCAAAGTCCATCCTTCTCATATATAATGGCGGCAACTCAGAATCTCCTTTAAGAGTGTTTGTGTTGTCTTTCGCAGGGAACCCTGAAACACCCTCTTTCCAGTCAGGGATCCTGTATCAGTACCGGTACTCACTGGAGGGACACCTGCACCATCTGTCAGAGTTGCCTTTGCAAGGAGGCAGAATCCAGGTGGAAGCATTGGTTGATGTGCAGTGCTTGTGGAGGAGCGTGAAGGATGAACACGAGCAGCTTCTCCGAGTGCAGGTTGGTGATGACACCATCCAGTGCTGAGGACGATCTTGCTGTCTGCTGTTGACAGGACCTGGAGGTTTCTTTAACCGTGTTCAGATTCAGAGGGATAATTGTCTTACAGTCTGTGCCACAAAAATGTGGAGTCTGATGACACCTTAAAAATGTAACAACTTTATTATGGGATAAGGGTGACATTTATGGAGGCTTATGCCAGAATAAATTTATTAGGACTCAATCCATATTTACACTGAATCATCCACACTGATGGAAAGAAGACTTCCCTCCTGCTTCATGGCTGCCCTCCATCCTTTTGAAAAGGCTACAAAAGGAAGTCCTGCTGAATGGGGTGAGCTCAGGTGTATGGGGAGGGGGTATCTGCCAAAATCAGGTGGTAGGACCTTCCACAGGTGGAGTCTTCCTCTTGCAGGAAGTTCCTCTCATGGGCAGTAGATCCTAGATCCAATTCTTGGATTTTAAGCTGCCATATGACACTTTGCTGTTTATGTTCTGATTCTATACTTACAAATTACTTGGAATGGTGACACAATCAGCTCCATACTTGTGGAGATGGTAATGGCAGGTTAATCTGAAAGTGACCAGCTGAGGCTCATTTCCCTGCCTAATGTATCCATGCTTCTCATGAGGAATATTGCTGATCACTTTGTATCAACCTTCCCCAACCCGCTGCCTTCCAGAAATTCTGGACGACAAATCCCAGTTCTTCAGACTAATGGACAAGGCTGACTGGGGCGAACAGGAGTTAATCTCAATCACATCCAGAAGGCACTAGGTTGGAAATATAGCTTTATATGCTGCTTCAAGTGGTATTCATGCTACTTCAAGTGGTATTTCTGCATATCTGGCCAGTGAAATTATTTTCCATGGAAAGCAATTAAGCAGAACTTTATGCTCGTAGAGAGCAAGGAGCTGAGTCAGGCAGAAATGTCCATCTAACGCCTAACCAGGTGCTTAGGTCACCTTGGCTGTCTCCCGCCGCTCTATTTATTCGGTACCATCTTAGGTCATTAATTATTGTTCGACATTTCAATTAGCTGTGTCAAATATGATAAACTTCATTTTAATTATATTGTATCCAGTTTTTCTACAGTACAACAACTATATATGTTCCCAGCACAGAGATGGTTTTAACAAGAGGCAACATGAAGAACCTGACAAGAATAGCAGATATGGCAGAAGGGTTTTAAAAAAAAGTTTAAAAAAAAAAAAGTGCAATATGCTGGTGCTAGTGATGCTCAAACACCTCCAAAACGGTACCGCTTGTGCATATGTAGCACACGCTTCTCAGTGTTGAGCCCTACTTGGAAGGAAGAGAAATGAGGAGGAGGAAGACGGGGTGGAAGTGGGTAACAGTACAGGCCATGACCCTGTACTTATTTAGGAGGAAAAAGGCCCCATTGAAGTGAATGAGAATTAAGCAGATAGGGCAGCATCCTTTTGGCCTCAGGCAGTGGCAAAGCTCAGGTTAGCCTTAGGTATGTACAGATAAGCTATATATTTCCTTTGGAAACGCTTTCCGTTTATGAACAGCGCAGCACCGTTATCTGGGAGAAGTGAGGGACTCCAGGCTGAGCTGGGTTTGCAAAGGGCCCATTGGATGCCTACTGTGAGATAACACGAAAGGGCCGTCTTGCTGTCCCGGTCAGACCCATCAACCAGAGATGCTCAGGAGTGGCAGCCATGTCATATACAGGATCGAATTCTCCTATTTTCTTCTGCCCATTTTGGGAACTTAGATCCATAATGTGCAAATCAAACATGATGACGACAAACATGACGAAGCCGTGACATCTTCAATGAATGTTACAGAACTGCTGCAGCCCATCTTCCTCCACTGGAATCATGGGAAGGTATGTGAATATTCCCCCTTGGGTACACATTTTGTTTGCTTGTTTCTTTTGTTTAGACCTGTTTTCACACACAAGGTATTGTTAACAAAGTGGAAGATTGTCATCATTTGTTGCACAATAGCAAGCTAATTTTCAGTGGACAAAGTATTTTGCCTTGCTTACCTTAGTAGGATGAAATTCCCTTCAGAACTTGCAAGCAGAGTATTTGATAAACTATGGAAGCAAGTGCAGATATCACCTGTTTGGATTTTTATGAATCCAACCTGCAGATTCCTCAGTGGATCAGCTTTTTTGAGTGACATGGATTCCAACCTGTTTTTTTTTTACTTGCGGGTGTTCTTGCAAGTACACACTTGTGCAAATGAGCATGTGTCAGTGCACATTTCTGCAGCTACACATTTGTGCAAACCCTGAGCCCATCAATGAGCAGGTGATGAAATCAGATAAGCTGACAATCTACAAAACATGGACAGAATGGATTTAATGAAATCTGTGCATTGCTAGACATAAGGATGCATCTGGATGATGCTTTTATTTGGCAGTCACCCACCCTCATTCTCAGAATTTTACAGAGAGTCCTGACCAAGTTGCCTTCCATTGATAAAGCTCCTTCATTGTCCCATCACTGCTTCTTCTTCCCTTCCATAAAAAATCCTAACCCTAACCCTGTGCCCACCGCCATGGCTTGAAACAATTGAAAGGGGCTGGAGGAAGGTTACCCAAAATATTATTTACGTACACACAGAGGTTTGAGACACAGAGGTTTGTTTGTTTGTTTGTTTGTTTGTTTGTTTGTTTTTGTGCTGTGCTGTGCTTTGCTTTGTTTTTCTTCCAATTTAAGTTTATTTTATCCTTGTGTGTGTGTACGAGTGGGTTTTTGTCTGGGATAACTGCGCGAGTGAAAGGAACTGCAGGACAAACAAGGCAGGGGACCAAGGTAAGGTCTTGGAAGGGACACCGATGGCAGACCGGGAGATGGCCTTGGCGGGAGTCATGGGTGTTGCTGTCCTCTGTGAGAGCTGCAACATGTTCGCCCTTCTCCCCCAGGAGAGGCAGGGATACATTTGCCCTCAGTGCAAGCTGGTGACCCTGCTAGAGGAGGAGGTGAGGTGCCTGAGGGCCAAGAGAGCTCTCCAGCCCCCACCCCCGGAGCAGCCCCCCTCTGGACAGAGGGTTGAGGGAGAGTCCATGGGAGGAGCAGCTGCAGAGACATGGAGGTATGTCACCCACAGGAGGAGGAGGCCAGCACAGCTCCTCCTCCTCCTGGCACCAATCTGGAGCTGGGAAACAGGTTCTCTCCACTTGGGGAGGCTGGGGCTGATGAGGCCTCGGGGGACCAGCAGGATCCCCAGCCTGGGACGTTAGGCAGCAAGGGGGCCGCTGCAGGAGAGGCGAGGGCCAGGGCATGGCCGCTCACCACCACCAGGAAGACACGGTGGCGGGTGACTGTTGTTGGGGACTCCCTGCTGAGGGGCACTGAGCCGGCAGTGTGCCGCCTCAACCTGGAGACCAGGGAGGTTTGCTGACTGCCGGGCGCAGGCATCCGGCATGTGAAGGACAGAGTGGAGCATCTTGTTCACTCCGGGGGTCACCAGCTGCTCCTGGTGATCCATGTGGGCACAAACAATGTGGCCAGGCAGGGTGTGGTTGGGACCACCAAGGACTTTGAGGCCTTGGGGAAGAAACTCAGGGAGCTGAAGGCCCAAATGGCCTTCTCGTCAATCTTACCTGTCCGAGGATTTGGGCCAGGAAGGGACAGGAGGGTCTCCAAGGTGAACGACTGGCTTAGGGTGTGGTGCCAGAAGGAACGCTTCCGTTTCCTCGACCACGGCACTTGTTTTCTTGCCAATGGACTTCTGGCAAGGGACAGGTTACACCTCACGAGGATGGGGAAAAGGTCCTTTGGAGATGTTCTAGCAAGCTTCGTCCGGAAGACTTTAAACTGAGCTGGGGGAGGGGGGGTTCAGGCCCCCAGTAACGTGTCTGCACTGGACAAGTATGGGGGAAGGATCAGGGCTCTGGGAGCAGAGTTTTAGAGGTACTGCAGGGACTGACAGGACTCCTATAGAGAGGGGCCAGGTATCAGGGAGGATGGAAGGAAGGAGGAGGCTGGGAACTCCAAGGAAAGGAAGTGGTGGGAAGGAATTGAGGTGCATGTACACCAATGCTAGGATCATGGGTAATAAGCAGGAAGAGCTTGAAGCTCTCCTGGGAATAGGAGGGTATGACCTGGTGGGAATCACAGAAACTTGGTGGGATGAAAGGCAAGTCTGGAATGTGAACATAGAGGGGTAGCACCTTTTTAGAAAGGACGGGAAGGGAAAGAGGGGTTGGGGGTGTGGCTTTATAAGTCAGGGAAGGGATAGGATGCAGTGAGCTAGAATGCAGCACAGATGGGGATTCGGTAGAGGCAGTCTGGGTGAAACTTAGGGGTTTTGACAGGGAAAGAGACCTGACAGTGGGGGTATGTTATCGCCCTCCAGGTCAACTTGAGACCCTGGATGATGTCCTGACAGACCAAATTCTAAGGATATCTTGAGGGAGAGACACAGTAATTATGGGAGATTTCAGTCTCCCGGATATTACTTGGGAGACTCACTCGGCGATAACAGCCAGGTCACGTCGCTCCCTAGAAGCTATAGAGGGAGGGCTTTTCACACAGTGGGTCCGAGAGGTGACGAGGGGGGGGAAACATCCTTGACTTGGTCTTGACCAATAGGGAGGAGCTGATAGATGAAGTACAGATTAGGGGAGCTCTGGATGCGAGTGATCACTCCATCCTTTGCTTTGAGATCAGGGGACTGGGGACGTGCAGCAGGTCGAGCACTAGAAGCTGGGACTTCAAGAGGGCCAACTCTGGCCAACTGAAGGCCAGACTGGGGAAAGTCTCGTGGGATAGGTTACTGGAAGGTAAGCGAGTTGAGGAGGGGTGGATGGCACTCAAAAGGGAGGTTTTGGAGGCGCAAGCCTTGACGATACCTCTAGTCAGTAAGATGGGGAGGTGGAGGAGAGCATCGCCATGGATGCGAAAGGAGGTGGTTAGAGGGATTAGACGAAAGAGGAACCTCCGTAGGAAATGGGTACTGGGGCAAAAAGACAAAAGGGTGTACTGGGAGGAGGAGGCCCGTTGCAGAAGGATTCTTCGCAAGGCTAAGGCTGATTACGAGCTGAGACTTGCCAAGAATATCAAGAGCAACAAAAAGGGCTTCTTTCAGCATGTAAATAGGAAGAGGAAGGGGAGACAAGTGGTGGGACCACTAAATATGGAGGAAGGAGATCCAGTGACTGATATGAGGGAACAGGCACAGATGCTAAATGACTATTTTGCCTCTGTGTTCTCCTCAAAGCAGGATGGGGGATATCCGCATAGGAGATTAGATGAGGCTGGGGACTTAGGGGCACAGATTACAGTCACCCCCCTTGAAGTCGAGGGGCTCCTTGGGGCATTGGACATTACAAAGGCACCAGGCCCTGACGGGTTACACCCGAGAGTACTTAGAGAGTTGGCAAGGGTTCTCTCACGCCTGCTGGCCTCCATTTTTGAGGCCTTGTGGAGAACGGGTGAAGTTCCAGAGGACCGGAGGGTGGCATCAGTGGTCCCAATTTTCAAAAAGGGTAGTAGAAAGGACATGGGGAATTATAGACCTGTTAGCCTTACATCCATTGCAGGAAAAACAATGGAAAGGCTCATAATAGAGAGAGATCTAGTGATGCTAGATAGGGAGGGGAGGCTGACAGCCACACAACACGGCTTCCACAAAAACAGGTCCTGCCAGACAAAACTTGTGGAATTTTATGACAAGGTTTCGAGATGGCTAGATGGAGGGGATGCAGTGGATGTGGTATACCTGGATTTCAGCAAGGCCTTTGACAAATGCCCCATGATATCCTGGTGGAGAAACTGAGGAGTTTTGGGATACACCAAAGCACTGTCCAGTGGATTAGGGCATGGTTGACTGACTGTAAGCAGAGGGTAACCATTAGCGGGAAATCATCGGGATGGAGGCCAGTAACAAGCAGGGTCCCCCAGGGCTCTGTCCTGGGGCCGATCCTGTTTAATCTTTTCATTAACGACATGGAAGAAGGGGTGAACAGTCTGCTGATCAAATTTGCAGACGACACTAAAACTGGAGCAGTGGCCACAACTGAGGAGCAGGTACTCCAGATCCAAAAGGATCTGGACAGACTATGGAAGTGGGCAGGAGACAACAGGATGGCGTTCAATGTGGATAAGTGCAAGGTCTTGAGCCCCTCATTATAGAAAGGATATAGCCAGGTTGGAGTCAGTGCAGCATAGGGCCACAAGGTTGGTGGCCGGTTTGCAGGGGATCGGGTATGAGGCGAGACTGAGGGAACTGGGTCTCTTCAGCCTGGAGAAGAGGAGACTCAGAGGGGATATATTGGTGACATACAGGTATGTGAGGGGGTGTCACATGGAGATGGGTAGAGACCTGTTCTCCCCTGCAGAGGAAGGCAGGAGGTGCTCCAATGGAGCAAAACTCAGGGAGCCAAGGTTCCATTTGGATACCAGGAAGCACTTCCTGACAGTTAGGACCCCAAGGGTGTGGAATGGGCTTCCACGGGAGGTCATTGAGGCCCCATCGGTGCGGGTGTTCAAGGATAGGCTGGACATGCACATGGTGGGCATGTCATGAGCGGAGCCGGCTGGTGCCGGAGGTCAGACTAAATGGCCCGGGAGACCTCTTCTGACTCGCTCTGTTTCTATGTTTCTATACCTCTAGGCCTTACGTTGTTCACGTGACCTTTTGTTGGGGGCTTGTCATCCCTTGCTTTGCTCTGTTCTTCCCCAAAGGCTTGTTTCTCTTTGCAGGTTGAAGGCATCTACCAAGACAAGGCAGGAAGTCCCTTAATTCTGGAGTTGAAGCGGGGCCTTGCCAGTCTCCTCCAGTTTCAGACACATGCAGGGACTGTGACTGAGGTACAACCCAGAGTCCCACTGATTTTTGGCAAGAAATACTATGGGAGTTGATATTGCTGTTGTCCTAATTAATTCATATGCTCGGTGCATTTCATCTCTTCTGAAAAGTACTTCCACGTGTCATAAGGCAAGGCCAACGATTAATAGCAACACACGAGTTGATTGCCTTGTGCCCCTGACTGGCCAATTCCAATAAAGTATCGACTCTGTTTTATTTTGTTTCTAAAAAGGAACTAGCACTTGCAGCTCTCACAGAACCCATGTAGAGCAGTTGTGCATTTTGTGCCACTGAACTGTTGTCCAGTGCGGTCCTTCTACCAGTGGAAGAGCCATCCTGATGGCAGATCAAATTTCCACTTGCCCCTGCAGCCCCCTACATGCACCCAAGCGCCTTTCACTTACGAGGCTGCAGGGGAGAGAAAGGAAAAGCTCATGTGGCTCTCAATTTAGACCCTTAAGTTGTGGAAGCTTTTGAAGAAAGTGATTTTAAAGCACATTCCATCACAATTTTGTGGTTTTAAAGCACAAAATCACAATCCGAATCACAGCAACAGTCTGCCATATGGTGTGGCCAGAGCTATACAGAACTGATGTTGCAGCCACTGTTCAGCTCATACTGTATCTTTCTGTGCAATCAGGGGGACATTTCTGGAAGCTGCCAAGTTACTTATGTGGTCTCTGAGGATTCTGTTCTGAAGATGAAAGATCTGCACAGCTGCACAAGACCCGCATTTGGATTCAGCTCTGTTAACAAAGCAAGTCACTGTATTTGCATGTCTCTCTGTTTTATATCTTTCATATAAGCATGCTTAAAAATATGACAGCGTGTCACTCCAAGGGATGTGCAAGGAACCCATCCAGGGCTGAAAATCAGTTTGATTTCCTGGGCTCGACTTGCTGGATTCTAGTCCACTTTGCAGAGGGCCACAGCCTGAATTCCTGACAAACACATGGAGCCTTTGGGGGGCTACCACTAAGTACTGAACCCCACACAGTGCACAGGCAGCTCCCCGTTGTGCACCAGAGCATCCACTAGAATGGCAGCCACTCCTCATGCTGAAGAAGGTTACTCATGGGGCACTGAGTCACAGGGCACTTACCAAGGAAGCAGCCCCAATTGCTGACCAAGCAGTGCCTCTTTTCTGCACTGTCCACAGCCACCTTTTGGGCTGCTGCTGTTGGCACAGAAGGAGGTTGCCAGTTGTGCAGCTGGGGCTCAGCGAGCATGTGCAAACTTCCTTTTGGCTCAGTGCTCTTCAGGAGACCAGGCCAAGCACAGGAGGGAGTCCATAGTTGCTAGGAGGGATGGATTCCTACGGATTCATCCCATCCCTAGTCATTACCCACCCTAAAAAGCCATGTCTGCATTCACACATAGCAATAATCAGAATTCCTAGTTAATCTTGGCTTATTGTGAATGAGCATCATAGTGGTGCATGGAACCTGTTTGCTCTCACTTTGCTGCCCCCTTCACTCTGAGTAGGTAAAATTAACTAGCAATGGGTTAATATGGCATCTCAGCCTAGAATTATGATTTATTGTACCCAAACAAGGCAGGATTACAAACCAGCTTTAGACCAGGATTTGTGTTGATTTACAAATCCTGGCTTGTTTGAGCACAATAAACCACCACCTCATATTCAAATGTAATATGAAGTTCTTTCTTTCCTGGTTTTGGTTACCTGTACAAAGAAAGAAGTGAATGGGCAGTGTGCATCAGCATGTGGCTTGATAAGCCATGATTCCTGGCTTATCATCATGTGTGATTGCAGCCTCTGCCTCATTCTCTCTCTGTTCCAAAAAAAACCCCTCAAACGATTGTTAGATTTCACACACCTTAGCCCCCTTCCCTCAGGTTGGACAGGGGGAAGGGAGAGGACCAGTCAACTCCCTATGGAGTCCCCTTCCATTCCAGGGACTCTGTCAATTATCTACATGGAAGAAAATCTATACTAGCCATTCTGGGCCATTAACCTTTAGTTCCCCACACAAAAGGATAATGCTGGCTCACCTTAGTCATTGACCTTTAAGTAACATCAACCAGCCATTCTGGTTCATTAACAAACTTTTGACTGAACTCCAGGCTTAGAGCCTGCAAATAATGCTCCTTCTTCTGCCCATACTCGACAATGACCGTTATAATGCTTAAGACCCATCAAGATATTCTGGTACCTAAAGCAGAAAATAATGCAAACACCTCCCTCTATCCCTTTACAATAATATAAATAATATAAAGGAAATTGATGATGATCATGATGATGATGGAAATATATGAAATCAATAAAATTTACCACCATTTCATGAAAGCCCAACACAGCTGTCTGTGGTGGACCCCTCACTCTACCTTAAGCTATGGCTGGCTCCACCCTGGCACATTCATAAGAACCGGGTGGCCATTCACAATAGCTTGACACGTAATGAATCAGATTCAGCCTGCCATACTTCCAATCAAGCTTCAACATCAGAGTCAAGATCCTAAGTCAAAAGATGTCTTTTCCGTTCACAGATTTTTGGAGTCTTGTGGCAACCCACAAGTAAAACCCGTTATTCAATGGAAGGAAGTCTCATCAAGTCTGCATTGTCTGAGGAAAGTCACACCATCTCTCTAATCTTGAAGTCTTCTATTGGAGCTAATATCACCTCTAGGTTAGTTCTTCATTAGTGCTTCTGAAAACCAGCATGTTGGAGAAGGTGACAAATCTAATTTGGTTTGGCTTAGCGAATGGGGATGTCTGTAATCCTAATTTCCTTGAAGCTGAGACTAAGGCATGAGGAGAAGCATACAAGCCACCAGCTGAGGCAGCAGGATGGAAGCAAGCTGGTATACATGGCATAAATGAAGACTTCCTCACAATTTCTCAATATTCCGATTTTGTGTCACCAAAGATTTCACCAATATCATATACAGTATTAACCGTAAATACTGTATTTACTGTATACTTAAATATACAGTATTTGAGTGTGGCTGAGTGGCTACTTATGTAACCAAAATGGCACCATCCCAGCATGAGAGAGAAATATTAACAGGCCTGAGAGAACCTCAAGAGTTTTAAAAGGACAAAAAGTAAAAGAAAACATCCATACGGGAACGGGTAGAGAAGAACCCTAAACAGCTGGTAAGAACTAGACATGCTTGGTGGCCTCAACATGTTTGCTTAGTGTTTGAGGAAAGAGAGAAAACCAGCTGAGGGTGAGGGGATGAATATTTGGACAAAGACGTGGTTGGAATCCTGACCAACAGCACTTCATATCACTGTAGATCCAACACATCCATCACTCTTTCACCAGCCTTCTTTTTTCTCCTCAGGCAGCTTCTTGAACTTGTGACTCAAGGGCCTGGATCAAATGAATTACCTCAGAAGAGTCTTCCAGAAGCTTTGGCTGCTGTGCTGGACAAAGTCCATCCTATGAACATAACAAGTGAGCCTTCCAAGAGGCTCTGCACTAAGTGCCCAACAGTGAGTTGGGGGAAAACTCTGACATAGATCCAGGTTACCCAATATCCTAAGTAAAGTGCAGAGTAGAGGTCCAGCTCAGTAATAATTATCTGGAGGTGACCAGTGCTCAGGCCTCCCCTCATGACTCCTTCCACACTGCCAGCAGCTGTGACTATATTTAATGGCTACTCCCTCTTCACAAAAGAAAAGGGAGAAAGATATGCTCCACTTTGATAAGGGGACCTAGTCCTCTAGCTATAACATTTGTTTTCTGAATGTATAGTGTTTAAAAAGAAAAATATAAAACCAGAGTGAAATACAGTGGTACCTCAACTCACAAACGCCTCAGTTCATGATCAAATCGGGTTGTGATCAGAAATTTCAGAAAAAAATTTTCTCAGGTCACAAACTCTGCATTGGGTGATGATCGCCCGTCTTCCCTGCATGATCGTGCTCGGTGGGAGAGGGGAGATGGCTGCAATTGCAGTCGTGCTCCTGAAGAGAAGACGGTGCGATCGTGGTCATGCGGGGCGGGGGGGAGATGGCCACAATCACGCCCGTCCTCCCTGCACGAGCACGACTGTAATCATGCCTGTCTCCACCCCCCCCCCAACCAAAACTGCACCCGCAATCATGCCCATATTCCCTGTGAATTATTTACATTGAACCTTATGGGGAAATTTGCCTTGGCTCATGACCAATTTGGATCGCGACCAAAATCATGGAACGGATTAAGTTCGTGAGCCAAGGTACCACTGTATAAGGTGAACTGATGTAGGAAAAATGTTAACTACCATCAATTCAGAGCCACATTGTGCTATCAGCAGGACCAAGTGGTAATTCACAGACACGGACACACAATTCCCTGTCCAAAATTCTGCCATTTCAGATTATAGGTGAGGGGAGGTTCTGAACACTGCTAACAAGTCTTGCCCCATGAAGATTCCTCGGCGTTTCAAAACATTCCCATCTGTGGTGCCAATTTGCATTTTGGAAAATGTGGCATCAACTGCTGATAACTTAATCTTGAGAAAATGTTGTCGTTCTTTTAGCTCAAAACCTATTTGAAAGAACTTCATGAGTGGTTGAAGATGGATCGCTTCAAGGCATCAACTACTTGGCATTTTTGCGGAGTTGTCTACATGCTTCATGGGGCCAAGAAAAAGGATATTCTTCTGTTGCTGAAGAAAGCTCCAAAGGATATGGTGTAAGTAAAGAGACTGAAGGAAAATTGAGAATTTCCCACCTTGTAGAGAAGAAATTGTTGGTGATCACCAAGTACATCGTATCCGAAGTTGCTACATGTCATGCTTCTGACAGAACTTTTCTATTTTTCCAACCTTGCTCTAAAGAACACTTACAACAAACAGTTTTTCCTGAAATATGGCGACCATTACCAGAGATGGTTAAATGTCTACCATATGCCACAACTGATATTTTTCCCTGCTGATGCAGGCATCCTGCAATCATATCTATTTGACAGCACCATTTGAAAGCCTATGACAGTGATGGAGAACCTTTTAGAGACCAAGTGCCCAAACTGCAACCCAAAACCCACTTATTTATCGCAAAGTGCCAGCACTGCAATAAAACCTGAAAACTGAGGTTTTAGTTTAGAAAAAACAACTCACAGCCAGTCCAAGCAAATCTCTCTCTCTCTCTCTCTCTCCCTCTCTCTCTCTCTCTCTCTCTCTCCTTGGCAGTGCATTGGCTGGCCATGCGAAAGCTCGGACAACTCACAGCTAATGAGTGGTGGCTCATGACATCATCGCAAGGTGTTGCTACTCCTTTCTGAGTGTGCGCATGGCCCCTATGTGCGCTGTGATCCGATGCTTGGCTGCTGGGGTGATTCTGGAGAAACTTGGCTCACGTGCCAAAAGGTTCACCACCACTGGCCTAACCCTACCCTGGTGCACACCCCTAACCCTAATAGAGGGGTAAAATACCATTGAAAATAATGTGATTTAGAAAAGACCTTCCTTGAGTAGCTCTTTCTGCACATCTCATCATTTCTGCCATTCTAAACACATTCCAACCATCAAAATAATACCAGGAAACCATGTTTTTGTAACCCTAACCCTGCCCTGCTGCACACCCCTAACCTTAATATAGCGGTAAAATACCATTGAAAATAGTACGATTTTGAAAAACCTTCCTTGAGTAGCTTTTTCTGCACAGCTCAACATTTGTGCCCATTCTAGGCACATTTCACCCATCAAAACCATGCCAGAACACCTCATTTTTCTAACCCTAACCCAGTGATGGAGAACCTTTTAGAGACCAAGTGCCCAAACTGCAACCCAAAACCCACTTATTTATCACAAAGTGCCAACACTGCAATAAAACCTGAAAACTGAGGTTTTAGTTTAGAAAAAACAACTCACAGCCAGTCCAAGCAAATATATATATATCCTTGGCAGCGCACTGACTGGCCATGGAAAAGCTCGGGTGAGTCACGGCCAATGAGTTATGGTTCGTGATGTCATTGCCTGACGCCACTACTCCTTTCCGAGCATGCGCATGGCCCCTATGTGATCTGATGCTCAGCTGCTGGGGCGATGCTGGGGTGACTTGGCTCGCATGCCAACAGAGAGGGCTCTGTGTGCCCGCTGTGGCACACCTGCCATAGGTTTGCCACCACTGGCCTATGTGGTATAGTAGTTAGACTGCTGAACCGGACTCAGGAAATCCAGGTTCCAGTCCCCATGCAGTCATGAAGCTCCCTTGGGCCAGACATTCTCAGCCTAACCGACTTCACAGGATTTTTATTGTCAAGATAAGATAGAGAAGAGGAGAACCTTAGAAGCCACTTGGATTCCTTGCAAGAGGAAGAACAGTGGGGTGTAAATGTAATTGTTATTATATATATTCAGTTTCTGTGTTGCCCAATAGCCAGAGCATTCTGGGTAGTTAGCAGTATACAAAAACAATAAAATACAATACAAATCCCATAAAATCATATGAAAAGAAACATTAAAAGAATTAGAAACAGCTGAAAATATGCAGTGAAGAAAGACCTTGTAAAAGAAAAGCACCTGTAATAGGTAACCCCCTGAAGCCCCTGGATGAGCCAGTAGATCTTTAAAAGCCTCAGCATAAAGGGCCATCTCAGTTGGACTTTGAAAAGGCAACAAGGTTGGCACCTGGCAGGCCACAATAGGAAATTTATGCTGCAGGTTGGGAGCCACTGCAGAGAAAGCCCTCCCTCTTGTTGCTGCTCTCTGAAGCTCCCTTGGAGTTGGAACACAACGGAGGCCCCAGGTGTTGAGAGTAGTGTCCAGGTAGACTGCAGTTTTAGGAAGGGGAAGGGGAAGGAGACCCTTCTCTCCTTGAGCTTCCTAGATCAAACTGTAGCAAAATCAGGCAGGCAGCATCTTGGTACACGGCAGTTGCTTGAAAAAGTACCTTCTTTTTATTGATGCAGAATATTTGACAGAGTGAGAGGCCAAAGGAAAGCACGTAATCTGTGGGGCTCGGGGGGCAGGGAGAGACTGGAAGAAAAAGAAAAGGGGTGACCCAAAGAGTAAAGGGCCGACATACCCCTTTTTGGATCTAGCCCTGCCCATCGCTGGGCTCAGTTCTCCCCATGTATCCTCCCATCAGATTATCCACAGAACAATGAGACCCTTGACAGAAAAAAGGTTGCCCATCCTTTCTATTTCTCGGCTGGGTTCACAACTTCTTCCGGATGTGCAGAATGGAGGGGAGGGGGGCTGTGTCTGCAAGGGCCCTGGCCATCGTTGATGCTCCGCTGCAGCTCTCCTTCCCGCAAGAGCCCCCCATGCCTGATCCTTTTTCTCTCCCCACCCACCTCTTGCAGCCCCTTCTATATCGAAGCTGCAGTTGCTGCCCAGACTAAGGCTGCCTTGGCAGCACTGTCCGAGTTCCTGGATATGAGGAACAAGGAGCAGGTGCCCCTGCAAGAGAAGTTTCTCTACGCTGCAGCCTTCTCCCCTCGGCCTTCAAAGGAGCTTTTGCGGATGGTGATAGTAAGTACCCGCCGTTTCTGATGGGTTCCTTTCCCAGGTCAGGATCTTTCCTTCACCCTTGTGCCTCCTTTAATTTAAGGCTTGGGATAAGCAGACGTGTAGATTTGGCTGTGGAAACCCACATTTAATCTTCCTTACTGAGCTACCGGGAAGTTAAACTGGGACAACCTCATTCAGCTGCTCTGAGGAAGGATGGGATGCGAATATAATATAGAAAGGAATCTGGCTGTCTGGAAACTTGAAGTACACTTTGGTATAGCAGTCTGTGGGCCATCTAGATACTTTGGCCTACAGTTCCTATCACCGCTAGCCAACATAGCCCATAGCTAGAGATTGATGTGGAGCCATCATGGGGTCTGGTTGCCATTGCAAATCCAAGTGCTTCTGCCCAGTGATGCAGGAGCACCTTCCTGTTCCAAGAGAAGTTCTCATCTCCCCCCTGGACTGGCCATGCTCTTACTGCCTTTGTTTTGGCTCCTCCTCTCTGTGCTTTGGCCATCGGAAGCTACATTGTGTTTCAGTGAGGTAAAGGAGTGTGGAAACTGCATGGTGAGGAAGACTAAGCTTGTATCGGGGCTAAGGTTCATGTATATGCAGGCATTATAACACGTGAAGCACTCTCAATCTCCCTTACACACACGCAAGGTAGGGATGAACAGATCACCCTGTTTCTGGTCCATGGCAGTTTTATACCTGTTCATTCCTAAATCTATTTCTATAGTAATCTGTATGTTTAATTCAAATGAAAATTTGCACATATATGCACACACACATCAAATTTCGTTTTGCAAAATGCGAGTTTCTAAACAGATTTTCTTTCAAAACACAATTTTTTGACTTCCATTTTGATACGCTTAAACTTCTTTGTATTGTGCCTAAGTGCATTACAAAATGCAGGGAAATGTGAAATTCAAAGAACAAATAAGTCCTGTTTGGCACATTAGTCTGAGAGATGCCAATCAGGTGTTTCTTAACAGAAGCTGCGAAAGTTAAATGGCTCAAGCAAATCTGCCCACCCCCCCACCCCCACAACTATGATCTGTTTTCTTTTCTCTTGCAGGATTTGCTGGGTGGGAAGAAACTGGTGACATCCATTTGGGAGACGGGGAATTTAGCTATTGGCAGCCTGATCGGCAAGTTGTGCCAGATGCAACTGTGTGAGCTGGAGGTGAGTGGAGGGCTCCTCTGGCCACCAGCCTGTAGCATATTGTGCTTTCCCCTCTAACCCCTGCAACTTGGATTGTGGCTGGTATCACCACAGTGCACTCTCCTCCTCCTCGTCTTCCTCCTTTTCTCAACTAAAACAGGAAGTACGGCTCCAGATGGAGAGGATCCTCCACAAGCTGAAAAGCACCAGGAGCAACTCAGAGAGGGTGATATACCTGTTGTCCCTGAAAAATGCACTGCTCCCAGAATCCATCCCCACCTTCCTACATTATGCAGAGGAGGGTCCTGCACCCATCTCAGCTACAGCGCTGTCTGCATTGCAGAGGTACCCAGCACAGCATATCTCAGACACGGTATGAGACAGCCTTGCTACAAAAGAACCTTGTCCTTAAAAGAAGCTCTCCCCTTTGTTATGGCTTTAATGGTACATTCTAGGTGCTTCTGTGCCGTGGAGGCTAGAACTATATAATACATCAAACAAGAAGACAAATGCCCAAATGCACCTATGCACCAACCTCAGATTCCTTCTCCTTGCATGGATGAGTTTTGCTCATTCCTATTCGTTGATGTATGAATCAGCAAAGTACGAGTCCTTTGAGTTCTACCTCTAGGTTTGTACCCTCTCGGGACTGTATCAGATTGTGAGCTAGTTCTTTTTCTTTTCACACCAACATTTGTGCAGTTTTCCATATGCATGTCTCTAAATGCACACATCAATTCTGAACATTATCCAGCCTGCGGGATGAACTCCATTGTGAAGAAGCTTTGTGGGGGCTGCAGGCCTGAAGTGGGCAGGCCAATTTTAAAATGGCAGAGCCAAATTACCAAATATAGTAATGTACGAAAGCTTAAATCTCTTACAAAGGCCAACAACTGCCTTTGGAGAAGTATTTCAACTGTTCAGAATGAAGGAAACCTCTACCCACAACCTGGGAAACCACCAAGTGGTTACTGGTTGGGCAAAAGGGGATCTGGGCCAAGAGAAGGGGGAAAAATTGTCTGGGGAGACCCAGCGTGGCAGATTTGTCTCTACCCCTAATGCTTATGGGAAAAGTCTAGACTTAGAATGGCTTTCAGCTGTTTTCAAGAAAGCTGCAAATGCAATCTAGTTGCTGGGTGTCGTTATAGTAAACGCAGAAGCAAAAATAAATGCATTCAAAACTTGTGTGGTATATCTGCTTTTGGCACCAGGTTAAAGCAGCAATGAAACGCATTTTCTATCAAGTTCGAAGAAAGTATTCAAACGTTTTAAGGCTTGCGGCTGCAGAGATTCTCTTGGACAATGATCCCTCCCCAGCAGACTTCACCCATGTCTTGTTGGTCACCAGAGAACTACAACCAGAAATGGCACAATTTCTGCTCTCAAAAATCCAAGGCATTTTACGCTCCCCTCATCATCCAAGCAGGTAAAGAGCTCCTTGTCTTCTGTAATAAGCACCCATTTACTCCTAGATGCTGTTCATATGATTTTTCTTGATTTCCCTTGTCTCTTCCTTCATGCTGTCTTTGAAAAAAGAAGAACCTGAAATTATGTGCCCGAGTTATTGTTACTGTTGAGACACAAGTTTGATCCATTTAGCCCAGAAATGTCTCATCTGGCTGGTAGCAGTTCTTCAATGTCTCCAGCGGAAAGCTTTTCCATCTCCACTGCCTGAGCTCCTTTCGATTGGAAAAGCAAGGGATTGGATCTGGATGTGGGGCATGGAAAGCATATCTGGTATGATAGGGCCATGGTTCTAACACCCCCTGAATGGCCATGCTGGCTCAGAGCCATGATACACATAGCTTGATTTTCTAGGTACTGGACAGATGCATCAGGGGAATTCACAAGCACCCGGCAAATTCTTGTTTTAAGTATGACCTGCTTCCAGGTAATTGCACTTGACGTGGAATTTTATTATTCCAAAGGCTAATTCCCTTCTTTCACTTATTTTACAATGGCAAACAAAATATCATCTAAGAATATAAATCAATATGTTCTGTATTCTATGGTTAGCTGTTCATGAAAATGAAAATAGCCTGACTTTAGGCTTATCTTAAACACAATTATTAGAAGCAAATTCTATTTGTATCAGTGGGTTCTTTGGGGCTTGCATAAATCAACTGGTACAACTTAGTTTTGCACATTCTCCTTTCCTCTTGCTCCTCCTCCGGTATGGCTGTGGGTCAAACGAGTCATTAATTTAAATTTTTATCTAGCAGACACATTACTACTCTCAAGCTGGCACAGACTGAACCCACAGATAGGGTCCTTCTCCATGATAAGGGCCTGAACAGTACCTGTGCATATGCTAAAGTAAAAATGAAAATAAAAGATTTAATTGCTAGATACAGATCTACAGTAATGTCTGTTTTAATCCTGCAAATAAGAGAGTGGGAAGCTTTCACTTCCACTGTTAAACTAAGCAGAATTCATCATTACATCTAATAGTGAGTGAACTTATTTTTCACTATGACTAGTGAACAATGACCAGCATCAGAAACCATAGTTTGAACATGGCTAGTTTCAACAAACCATACATTTAAACCAACTAGAGGTCACCTGAATTCACACATAAGAAGGAATTCTGCTCATTTGAAAGTGCAAATGAAAGCTTTTGATCCACGTGGAGTGTGAAAAGGGAGGGAGAGGGTATAAGAGCCTGAGGCTTGTGATGCTGTGTGCAAATAGCACTAAACCATTATTCAGCAGAATGTCCAAACCGAGCAAAAGCTGGAGTTTGCATGTACTGTTTTTGTCCAATAAAAAGAAGGCGTAGGAAACATGGTGGTGGGCCTGGATTTCTGGACCAAGCATCCTGTTCCACCCCACTCATCCTGTCACCTGACATGGATGCTCCACACTGACTCTTACATGCAGAGAGGCCCAGATGCCATTGTTAATTCCATATCCCAAAAGGAGGAAGGGAATTATGGTGGTTTGGTCCTCCGCACACAGGTGGGTCCACTTGGGACATCTATGGCATGTTATGAGCTTAAGAAAAAGGATCTGTGAGCTCTAGGCAGACTTTTGCCTGAGACACTAAAAGATTCCATGGAGACAGAGTTATGGCGGTGGAGTAGAAGGAGAGAATGAGAGAGTATGTCTGAGAAAAAGAGCTCTGAATCACCAGAAAGAAGGTACATTCTAACTCCATATCTCATTTCTTTCAAGCTGCTGTCTGGCAGTGGGGAGAAAATTGCCCCCATTACTCTGTATTTCTCATTTCTTGAAATGCTAACCATCATCCCTCCCAAAATGGCAATCCACTTTTCTGAGATGTGCCTTCCTCAGATGTCGAGATGATTCATATTCCCCATTTCTACTCTGCTTTAACATCACTAGCTCCTGTGTATGTTTTCCTCCAGGCAAGTGATCAAAGATGTTCTGAAAGATCCACAGATAAATAATTACTACTTCCTCTCATCACTAGCTGGGAACTCCATCTCCTTCTTGGGACCACTAGCAGGTGACTTCTTTTATCTTCCTTCTGCAAAATGGAAAGAGCCATTTATATAAAGGAGCCTTATTAAGATGTGGAGTAAATCTTTTCTGGAGTACTTGACCATCACAATGTTGTGCTGTTTAACTATAATCACACATGCACATACAGTGGTGCCTCATAGTTCAAATGATTCTACCTTCAAACGATCCGGAGTTTGAATGCTAGAGACAAGATAAAAGCACTCCAAAGCTCGAACAATGCTTCTATGTTCAAACTGCAAGCGAAGTAAAAAAAAAAAAATGTGGTCACAGTTTAAACGTCATCTATTGTGTTTTCAGTGCATGCATTTTCAGTGCTTTGTTCCACTTTATTTTTTGGCTATATACAAGGTGTGATCAAAAAAATACAGTGAATGCTTAAATTAAAAAATACACTAAAGGACACGTTGCCATTAATCCCCCTCAAAATACTCCCCCTTGCTTCGAACACAGCCTTCGAACAAAGCATCCTTGCCACTTTCTGGAGCAGTCCTGGAAGTCCTCTTTCATGAGTGTCTTTAGTGTACTCTCAGGGCTGCTGCGATGTCCTGAATCATTGCAAAATGTACATCACTTCTGGTACAGCAGCTTCTGTCAAATACAAACATCGCAGTGAGTCCTCATCCACCTTATCCACCGATCTGGCACCATGAGACTTCCGGCTCATCCCCAAAGTCAAAATGACCATGAAAGGTAGATGTTTTGAAGAAGCAGGCCAAAGGTCACCTGGTCATGTTTTTCCATGCCATGCTGCAATATGCAGCATATCTCCTCGAATGATAATAATTACTTCCAGATATGCATCTCTGTGTATACATTAGCACGTTCACCACTAGACTGTTTGTAGCATCAAGTGCTGATGTGCATCCTTGACTGGGCTATCAAATGCGCAGAACTGCCGGCCTGGTCCCAGCCCAGCCCTCCAGGCTCTCCCCACACGGCCCTATGGCTCCCCCCACAACCACCAATCAATTCTTGTTTCCCCATTTTTCTTCAGTCTTTTCCCCACTGCTAAAAGTTTGGAACGCCTCGCGCAAGACTTAATCGGTGGGCACAACTTAAGCTGGTGTTTTAGGCATTTTTGACTAGGGTTAAAGTGGTGATGGTTTGATCAGTGGAATTCCTTATTCATTGAAGCCTTTATTGTGAGCTTTCGGAGCTATCTGTGGTACTGAACATCATCCCAAACCTACGTTTCTTACCATGGAATGCCATGCACAACTCCCGTAAAATAAAAACAACACTGGATAAGGTGCCTCACTGGCATAGGAGGCATCGGCCTCCCATTTTTGGCCTGCCAACCTTTGGAATGGAGCCCCTGGGACCTTCTCCAGTAAGTCCAATAGCCTTGCTACAGATGGAACACCCACATCACCACTGGTTCTTCTCAAACACAATGCTTTTCGGCAGGATCCATGCTTCTGCCCAACTGTGCCAGCCTCCTCTTCATCCCACTTTATGGGACCCTTCCAGGACCTTTTCCGCTCGCTCATATGTTGACTTCCTTCAGTGAAAATGCTTGAAGAGCGTTTGATCTTCTCACAATGACTCCCTACTGCTCTTCATATGTGGTTCTCTTTCAGTTACGAATGACACACTCTCAACCTTTGGTCTGAAGCTTTTGTTCTCTGACATTGGTTTCCTGAGGACGAGCACCACGAGTTTTGATGTTCTAAGTCATGGCCACCAATTCCAAGCTGCTCAGGTCTTTTGCTTTTTATTGTCAATGTAATTCCCTTCCCTTCCCACTTTCAGGTTCTGTTGTTTATAATTTATTTAGAAGATCTGAAAGGTGGCTTTGAAAGTCAATCCTCCCAAGGTGGTACAGAACAAAATGTGAAATTGTGAAACACAGAAAAGAAGCACTAAATCAAAATTAACTATTAAAGAAAAAGAACATAGCATTAGATGCACCATGGCAGTCAATAAGGTACTGATACAATCATACACCACAATAAGTAAGGAATTTTAGAGACTGCTTGAAAATTGTAGGGCCTAATTTCTTGTTTTCATTTCTGTGTAACCAAACAAGTAAGGATCTCTGGGAGGTTTGCAACAGCTCTGTTGTAGCTTGAGAAAGTTCTAAGGATTTTTCAACTTTTACCTTGGCCTGATTAGCTATTCCTGATAGCTTCCCAAATGCCCTTTAATTTATACCTGTACATTTCTACACATAAAAATTTTTCCAAAGTGCATTGGGGAGTGCTCTCTCCTTATAGATCATAGACCTGAAATATAATTAAGGAGCAATGGTGGAACCATCTAGGAAGTATTAAGACTTTGAATCACCTGCATAACCTTTCCATTTAAACTAATGGGACTTAGCATGAAATTGACTTTGTCTGAAATGCCTTTCCCAGTCCGGTGCCCTCTGCTTGTTCTGGGTGGCGCTCCCAGCATTCCTGACCATTGGCCACCGCTGACGGAGTTGAGGTCCAGGACTTGTGGAGGAAGGCTAATCTCAAACTTGCATTGTGACTGCAGTCCCCAATCCAGCGCCCTTTAGACATTGCTGATTTCTACTCCCACCAGCCCTAGCCAGCATTCCCAACGCTCAGGGATGATGGAAGTGGCAATCCAAAAAACCTCTAGAGGGTGCAGATTGGGAAAACTTGTCCATGCATTTTCCAATGCTTGTCCAAAGCAATTGAAGAGGCACCAGAAATATATATCCCACTTCAAGGAATACAGCCAATAAACACCTCCTGAGTCATTTCTTAATCATTTAATTCATTTAAGTAATTCCTTAACTCCTTAATTCTTGTGTTCCTTTCCTCTGCCTAAATAGGAGAGGAAGTGGGTTCTTTTGCTGGGTTCTTTTGCTGGAACTGTGGAACTGGAGATTACACATCCTTGAAAAGAAAAGGAAATACCAACCATATTGCATGCAAAAAGGGAAAAAAACCCACCCAGAATGGCCTGAAATGGTGGCCCCTTGCTGCAGAAGAAATGCTAGTCCCGTGAATCACACCCTCCTCTGTGTATCTATTCCTAGGTGGCCTTTGAAGCGATGGGACTTGACAGTGTTCTAGCAGGTGACACACCTGATGAAGAGGAGGGATTCAAGGCCGGCATGTCTGTGACTTTGCTTGGTGTCCAGCTACGGCCAGTGGTCTTCTTTGATGGCTATACAGACCTAATGGCAAAGGTCTTTACCAGCTCAGGAAAGCCCACAAGTGTGATGAAAGGGAACGTGCTACTGATGGATCATCAGCAGGTATCAGGCCACCCTTATCCACAGACGCAGAAGGCAAATGGTAGCTATCAGGAATTGAAGGGGTGGTTCTAGCTCTTTTTAAAAATGAGTCTAAGCCAGAAAATTGGCTTTCTGGAAGCAGAAAATTGAGAACAGGTTGATTTAAGATGGTTGGCAGAATAAGGGTTAGATCTGAAATATTCAGTCAGGCGTTCTCAGTCTGAAATATGAGTCTACAACTATTGGGTTGGATCTAGATTTAATGGTTCTTGCAGCAGACCCATTAGGATCAATGGAACTGAAACTAGTCATGACTAACTTTAGCCTCATTTCAGTGGGTCTACTCCATGCCTGACCAAGTCTGGATCCCAACCCGTTTGCTAAAAGTAATTCACTTGTGTTCTGATCACCAGTATGTATTGGAAGTGGTACTTACAGGAACATCTGTTCCCATATGCATTTCCTCACATTAACATCTTCTGAAAAGGCCCTGCTACTCCATGTGCCATCACTTTTGGAGATTACCCTGGTGATTACCAGAAGCAGGACCTTTTCTGGGGTGGCACCATATTGGTGGAACTAGCAGCCCTATGAAATCTACTTCTTCCACTACTAGGATTTTATCTGAAAAACTTTGGTGAATTTCCTCTCTAGAAGACATTTGACCTCAACTAATCTTCACTCTTAATCTGTGCTCTTTTCCTGACATGACACACTAGATTTTACTGTATTATTTTGTTTGATTTCTCTTATTTTTGGTTTTATTAACATCCAGCCTGCCTGGATCTATGATTTACAGCAGCCTTCCTGGCACCCCATCCCCATATATGCTGGACTACAATCCCCATCACATGTGGGGATGTTGAGTGTTGTAGTCCTCCACATCTGAAGGGGACCAGGCTGGAGAAGGCTGACTTACAGAAAATCAGGTATAAGATAATATTATTTTTATTAAAGCAGTGAGCAAGGACAGTTCCTTCCAGACAAGCTGTAAAGGTTGAGGAAACCTTTGTGACTTAGGCTGGAACGCTGTACTCACATTTCTGGGCATCGGCACCTGTGACTCCAATCCAGCAGTACTTTCTTCTGAGTAAACAGGCATAGGACTGCGCTGTTAACATTTGTAGCTCTAAGGCAAACGTCTGAACAGTGAGCATCACTGTGCTGCACAGGCTGTCCCGCTTCAGTCTGGTCTCCAAGCTGTGATTTCGCTCCAAGGAGGACTTGGGCTAGATGTTTCAGCTGACATCCATGTGAATGTATGGAATCAGGAACTCACAACAGACGTTGAAACAAGGTATGTGAATAAGGACCACTTTCGCCTCCTAAGTGTGAAGGGGACTTACAGCATTTTGGCAAGAGCTTGAGAATCGGAAGCCTTGTGGAAGCCTGGAAGTAGGAATTTTCTGCTGCCCGCCATTCTTCTCCCAACCACCAGTCCTTTGGTGGTGTCCAAGCGTTTGTGCAGTTCTCCACCTCCTCAATTACAATAGGCTGAAATTCCTATTCTAAGGCTTAATTATTAGCAGGAGGAGATTTATAATGCTGGTATTGGGGAATGTCAGCCCTTTGGTCTTTGGCCCTTGGCCCAGTCCACCACTGAAATGAGCTCCAGAGAGCTTCCGTGAAATGGACTTTGGCCCCCAGACTCAAAGAGGTTCTGCACCCTGGCATTAAAATAGTGACTACCTGTGTAGAGTTTCATCCCCATCTCTGGGCATTTTTATGCCAAGGAAGGTATCCTTGGCCTTTAACCCATTGACCCAAAGCAGCTAGCTGCGTACTGTTTCCTGTAGCATTCTAGGCTATGAAATCAAAGCAACTGAGTCAATGCTAAGATGTTCTCTTGCTGAAGCAGCTGACTCCCTTACCAAGAAGCATTGGGAGACACGAAATAACAGACCCAGCAGGTATGTTCTTCATGTGCTGGCCAAGTTCTTGGTTTAGGGATCAAGCTTTGCAACTGAGGCTAGCTTAAAACCAAACAGGTGCTGAGTGTCTGCTTAGCAGAATGAATGGAAAGACAGATGTAGAAAAGTTCTATGTGAGGAAATGATCATATAAGACTCCCCTGTTCAGTGGATTGCAAGCACTCTGGATCTATGATTTAGAGATGGTGGCACATGGAAGATAGGGAGAGCAGGCAGTCAGAAAAGAAGAGTTTGGGCACTCATCAACTGCTGTACTGGGTAGGAGCCAGGACTCACTGGGAGACCACATGCTCTGTATGGAGGAGGTCTCAGATTCAACCTCGGACAGCCACAGGAAGGGCTTGGAAAGGCTGCATCTGTAAAGTTGCTGCCTGTCAGTGTAGACACTCCTAGGCTAGATGGGCCAGTAGTCTGACTCAGCATAAAACAGCTTCCCCTAGCTCAGCCAGGCTCGTACTGTAGCAATGAGGGCAATTCTGCCCTCATCCTCAGTACAGATAGCCAGGCCAGAGAGAATGTCAGAGGATTATCAAGGTAGCATTACTGGAATACTCCCAGAGGGGGAGCAGGAGAGAGAACTTAACATTTTGGCTTGCTATCAGTGCCTCACCTCTGCTATTAGAGGACAGTCTTTTCTAGCTGATTTAACAAATGAAATGGTAGGCACGGCAAAAGATCTTCAGATAATGAACTTTAGTCCTTTTAATTACAAGCGGCTTAGCAGGCTACCCAGATTAATGAGTTTTCCCCTGGCTTCAACATATCTATCATCTCTTACCTCTTGGACTCAACTCAGGAGAGCATTGCTTAACTTTTGGCACTGAAGCAAGACTTGGCATTTCAACAGCTACTCCTGAGGGCCACTGTGCGCAGCTTCCAGGGAAAGAAGGGAACAGCAACTCTGCAGACATGGCTGGCTCCAGGTCTGAGAGGGTCTTTGGGCAGGACCCTCCCATGCCCCACCTCCATCAGGGAGTCCAGCTTCTTCCCGGGACTTCCTCCAGCTGCTGCAGCTGCTCCTCTTCTTCCTCATCACTGCCCCTCTGCTCCTCCTTCCCACCTGGTGTTGTGTGGTCCAGGGAGAGGGACAGGTGAACAAGCAGGTGGCTGTGATGAGGAGGAAGAGCCAAGCCAGCAGCTCCTGTCCGTGGACCACGGCTGGGATGTGGGTCCTCAGCAGATGCCCGGCCAGCAGTGCTCCGGACGCCACCCTTCCCCTGAACAGCCCTTGCTGGGAAGCGAAGGCAGGCTTCCCAAAGGCCCCTGGCCAACCTGGAGGACCTCTGCTCTGATCCGGCTGGACTGTTCTTACAGAAGGACATGGCATGGAACGCGTTCTGAGCATCGCTGCCCACGGCTGCCCACGCTTATCCACTGCTGTGATTCTCTCCCCTTGCCCTGTTGCAGGGGTGCCATGACCATCGACTTCAAAGCAGAACTCGATGCTCCATTCTTTCAAGTGACTCTCAAAAGCGAAAATGAGATTGAGATGGCCACAAATTTCTATACTACTGCAACTGTTACCAGCCTCCCTGTGCTCATGTGTCTGCAGGTTACAGAGGAAAGAGTCTCTCACGGGTAAGCTATGGGTCTCAAGCCAGAAGGCACAGCGTTCCTAGCTGGGGGATCCAAAGCAGGGATAAAGGGCAATGCTCCAAACCATTTATATGCATAACTTTCTCCTGAGTCATCTCCGCTTGTCCTGGAGGGCAGCTCCCTTCACTGACCTCAGCCGTATGCATCTGTGTATGGGTGCAGCCATAGTCCTGGGCAAACTTGCCTATTTATCCCAAGGATAAACGTTCTGTATACAGGAAGCATCCACTCTGATGCCCCCCGGACTGTGTGTTTGCATTCGAAAGAAACTGAAACGGAACAGCAGGTCCTCATTTTCCAGGATATTTCCCTGCCTTTCAAAAATATTCTATCATTTTTGCCCATGTTATGGGTCATACAATGGGACACAGAAATATTCGTGGTGGCAGTGAAAGGAGGATGATGTCAGGTTGCCACGTAGCCGATCAGGTTGGACTTTGCGGTGTCATCACAGAGAGCGACTTCCCATGTTACTCTCTCTCACTCTGGTGGGAGGACATGGGGAGGGGTGGGGGGACAGCTGTCGATCCATCGCCAAGGAAACCCGGGGCAGCACCAAGACAACGATCTCCGTCTTGGCACACTAGCCCAGGTGCAAAATGGCAAGCCAGGGGCTTGTCTGTCTGGTGGCCTCAGTCAGGCTGGCATGTTCTGTTTTCCTCACAATGCTTCTCACAACCTGGTTCCCAGCAAGACAGTGGCAGGGGTGGTAACTATGGCCTTGTGTAAGGCCCTCATGCTCCCATTACATGTTAGACTTTCCAGCGCCCGTCTAAAAATATTCCGTAAGAACTGGACAAAGAGGTGTTGGAAAATACAAGTGAGATTCTTGCATCCGCCAGAGAAGTTGGATAAGTTGTTGGTTTATCACAGAGAGAGAGGGAGAACCCAGCGCTGCTGCCTCTACCCTGGCCTTCAGAAATAAGAGAAAATGAATTCAGTCACGCAGTTTGAGCTATGTATATTCTCTTGAAGCTCCCACCTAGGAAGATGCGCAGAAAGCCTTGGACAATGCTGGACTAAGAAGCATTAAGATGCGCACCACCTACAAAAACCATCAGCGTCCGTTTTATAGCACTGTAGTGATAAATCTCCCCCGTGGCATTGCAACTGCGGCATCTCGTGCCAAGCTTGATTTCCCATCAGAGGTTGCATTACTGCCCTGTTCTGCTCTCACTGGTCAATCTTACTGGCTGCCTCTTGAGCGAGATAGATCCCAAGCAAGGTGCTAATGTTGCATGTGAAACCAGAAGGTCCTTGGCAATGCTCCCAGGAGAGGTGTGAGAGCTTTTGCTTCTCTGCAAGACACTCTGGTTCTCCAGGAGGGGCCTTGGCTCCTCCGTGCACTTCTGTGGTGTAAAGCAGACATCACCTTCAGGTTTAGAATCAACCCTAGGGAAGGGAAGGAATCGGGCCACCTCTCCCATTGATGCCAGGTGAGCCTGAGCTTTCATCGTTTGTGCTTGGCTAATATGGATCCCCCGTCGCTGAGGCCTTCAATATTGTTGCCTGACGGCTTCCTGTGCAGGCTAGATGGTGGGGAGGTTCCAGTCCCATTACTGCCAGCAAGCTCATTTTCCAAGCGTGGCCAAATGGCTCTGCTCACATGCACAAGGGAGGTTTGTGTGAGCCCAAAGATTCCCGAGGGACAAAGGGTTAGGAAGAAGAAGAAATCCCAGGGGCTGGTGAGGAACCAACACCAGCTCAGAGAGCATGTGCAGCAAGGACAGAACATAAAGTGACTGTCAGAGGGGAAAGGGGAAAGGGGGGGATGGAATGGGGGATCCTGAAAGAGCAGGCCAGCTGCAATCCTGAGCAGGAGCACTCCATGCTGCAACATTGAGCTGCAGGTCCCCTTGCTAAGCAAAATACTATGAGCTGCCAAGAATTCCCCAAGATAAAAGACTTGCCATTATATATATCCATTTGCAAAGGAGGGATAAAGGAAAACTGTGGCGTCCTGCCCGCCATCTAACTAGAGAGACACACTGAAGCAGAGTTTGTCCTTCGAGGCGGAAGGGGAAGGCTTCTTTAGGTTATTCTGTGGCCAGAGGGCAGATCCAACCCTGAATCACCATCTCTGCTCCAGTCGCATGGAGAGCGTGTATGTGCCCAAGGCAAGCTTGGAAACTATTCCATGGACCTACAAAGCAAGGGCTGAATGTCATGACTGTCTGTTGGGCGTTTCCCCCTCCCTCTTCTCTTCTCACAGGCAATACATCTCGGTCAGTCAATCTTCTGCCAACCATGACGCGACTGCCCACGAAGAAAGGAGGACCAGCATGCCCGGGCGCGAACTGGCCTTGCACCCGGCCAATGCTGTAATGTGCAAAATACTGCTCGCGGGCCAATAAAAGTAGTATCCATCTGACCTCAGCTTGAGTTTGCTGCTCTTCTTTCCCCCCTTTATGCCTAACCTAGGCCAGAATTCCAAGTGGGTCATTAGAGCCTTTCCCTCTCTCTTTAGCAGCCCATGTTCTTTACTCTGATAACAGGTTTGTGGACTAAAGTAGAGGACTGCAGACCAGTGGCCAGGAAATCCTTAGAACCCACCTTTCTGATTTTGCGGACGAGCTCATGTTTAAGCAGTGGAGGCTTTTAAATGCTTCTTCAAATGCATCTGAGATGAAATGCCATATCAAGGAGGAGTCACGGCATGGTGCCACTTCACTTTCTCCAGACAAAAAAGCACACTTGGTGAGCAAGCTGTGAGGGTCTTTCCTGGCGTTCTTCATTTTGTGCTCAAAAAGCCACCCGAAGTGGAGTGGGAGGGGATGCGTGGCGCTTCCTCCCACCTGCCTTTCCTTGAACCAAAGTGTTGCTCCAAAGAGCAGCTTTAATGGGCAATCTAAACTGAACAGTGCCTTGACATGTCTTCATTGGCTGCATTTGTGAATGGAATCATGCCCTTAGGAGCTTGACATCACACGCATGTATGGTGCCTGAGATGGCAGCCACTGGCTCTAATGATGTGCATCTGGGTGCATGCAGCTAATGGCCCTCGGTGGGAATCGGCCGTGCCATCCGCAGCGGAGGATGCAGCCCTCCAGTTGAGTAAGCCCTGGCCATGGAGAAGCCCTTCCAGGTGCGCGTAAGAAGGACCCTTCTGCATCAGGCCAAAGGCCTAGCTAGCCTAGCATCTAGTCTGGCTCCTCCCAGTGACCAGCCAGGGGCTCCAATGGAAAGCCCAGGAGCAGGTCATGTGCTTGACTGCACTTCCATTCCACAGCAACCCGTACTGAGAGGCAGAGGAGGCTGGGGGCGCCTGTGTCAGTGGGGCTCTTTAACCATTGCAGCTTTTCCTTTGAGCTTGGAGTGAGCGATCCATGGCGCTCCAAGGTGGTGAGCCTATTTGGGGATCGAGCGCATTTCCACGGACAGCTCTTGTAAAGCTCCAAGGAACCATTAAGTTCTTTGGAGCTGGTGAATGCCTCAGCAAAGAGGGCACTCATAACCTGGTGCTGAAATGATAGTAAAATTGGTGTCAAGTGGGCTTTAATGGGGAGATCATCCCATAATTTGGGGGCCACCACAAAAAGGCCCTCCTTGTTGCAACCAGTCAAGCCTCCCTTGGCAGAAGCTTTCAGAGGAAGGTCGCAGGTGTTGAGTGAGTATCTGGCTACTTTGTGGCTGTGAGAGGTGTTCCAATGGGCCAGGCTGTACTTGGCTTTAGAGATTAAAATTAATGTGTTAATTCTGATTGATTGATTGATTGATTGATTGATTGATGTGCAGGGCTGTATAGACTACAGCATTATGGACTGGGCTTGGAAGCATATAGGCAGTCCATGTAAGCGGGAGCTATATGTCTGGGCTGTCTGGTCCTGGTTATTAGTCTGTCTGCCACAGTTTGTCGAAGCTGCAGTTTCTGGACAGACTTCAAGGGAAGCTCCACGTAGAAAGTACTGTAGTAATCTGAGATCACCAGCGCCTAGATTACTAAGGTTATAGTCGGGCCACCTGCCAAAGTTAATAGAAGCCACTTCATGCCAGGGAGGCCACCTGGTCCTCAAGTGACAAAAAAGGATCAAGGCGCCCTCCCAGACTCATTCAGGGTGAGAAGTTTTCAAGGGCTGAGGTGCTGTGCTTGGTACATACTGCCACAGCTGTATCTAGGAATGTAATTCTGCTTCCAGCAAGGCCTGTGCTCCCCGAATACCTCCCTGAATGCCTTCTAAAAAAGGCCACGAAGGCCTCAAGCAGGCCTTGGACTATGTGTCTTCCCACTCTACTCGCGTAACCAACTCTTGCCCGTCACAGAGTGTCAGAGTAATTAAAATGTGAAGGTTTTTTAAGGGAAGTGCAATGTTGATCAGGCTAGGAGGAAGCACTGAGTGAGATTCAGCAGAGGATCAATGCGCTGAATGTACAAAAATGTTCGATTTACCGAAACTGGACTGGCCTATGAAGGCGTCTTCAACCACAAGACGGGACAGCATCCTCTGCTGCATCTGAAGACAGCAATAGCTTAGAGAGCACTGAGCAGGCTCCAAAACTCTCCTTCTCTTCCAACACCTCTTTGCCATCTCCCAGCAGCTGCCAACTGAAGTGATAGCTTCACTCTGCTTAATGGCCATATTACATTATTAAGCTGAAAACCCACCACCATTCAGCTCCATAGGAAGCTTGCCAGCCGTTGCAATAGGATATGGTCCGTACCTGCTGGTTGGCAAAGCTGAGCGAACGAACCGCTGAGTGGCTTACCTTCTAAAGGAGACCGACTTGTGAAATTGTGCAAGACATAGCTGCCCTCTAGTGGTGACACCGTGTACGCCACTGAAACGAATTCCTTCTAAGGTGGGACTCTGCTTTCGTGCGGGGCAGGGTGAGCAAGGAGGGAACAGGCTTCAGACCACAGATTTAGGGAGACAAATAGTTTGTTTCCAGCCACCTGAAATGGCCACAGCCATTCCAGGAGAGTTTTCTACTGCCTGCATGTGGGTTGCTCCATTCGTGCTGCCTGGGATTCACCCCTCTCGATCCCGGTCAGGAAGGGATGAAGAAGCCTGCGGTCGGCTGGTCTGCCATTCGGGGCTCTGCTTGTCCAGAAGGAATTGCAGGGTGGGCTGTGGAGGCCTCCTGGGGGCCTGCTCTGGTGCAGTAGCTCTTGCCCCTGAGCCTTCTGAATTGCTTCCATATAGCCTGCAGGGCCTGATCCTGCCTAATCTTCACAGTTAGCAGGGTCTGGCCTGGTTGAGAGCTGGATGGGTGACTTACATGTTGTGAGTTGCCCAGAGGGCTTTGGCTATGGGTGGTGTGGAAATGTCCTGGGGACGAGGCTGGGCTTAGCACTGAGCTCTGGAGCAAACAGAGACACCGGCACCCCAAAGAGCTGCTGCTACAGCCAAAAGGAGCAACTGTTGCTCTATTCCAGCTTCCCCAGAGGAGAAGTCAGTGGAAGAATCTTTTCTTCTTTAGCCTGTGAAGTTTTAGGGTGCCTAATGTGAAGAAATGCAATCAGAAGGAGAGCGAGAGATGTGAGGAAGGACAGACCTGTGAGAGCCAGGGGGGCCAAGTGTCCTCTTTTATAAAAGACGTGCTTGGATTCGAAGGGCTGCTGCTAAAGACTGTCCTCTGGGAGAAGGGACTCTGCTATTTGCAGGGCTTAAAGATTAAAGGTTTTTAAAAATAGTATAAAAAACTGCTGCCCACCAGGACAGCAGACCAGATAGGTAGGCACAAAGATCACCTGGTCTTCCACACTGTGGTGAGGTGTGCTGTATTTCTATTTAGACAGTAACATTGATTTCTGAATTAGCACCTGTATTTTAATTAAAAGATTTCAATTTTAGAATTTAATTTAAATATAAAATTGTATGTTTCATAGAAAATTGTGTTCTCTTTGTTGCTGATGTATTCCTCTTTTTTAAATTATTATTACTATTATTATTAAGCAGGCACTCCAGGAGAGCTCAACTTAAGTCCTGCTTCCTGGATATGAAGAAGGGCCTGGCTGAAAGACACAGAACCCTTCCTAGGTAGACTGGCCAGCCGGAAGGGGCAAGCCTCGAGAATGAGAAGATAATCTTGCATCTGTGGGAGAGAGCCAGGATAAGGTTTGCAGTTACCAAAAAATGGGGGAACATTAGTCTAGCAGAGGCAGCCAGTCCTTAACAAATCTGCCTTCCTCCTCCTCACAAGCCCCCACCCCACTAGAGAAATAGGGATGGCCTGTGTCCCAAACCTGCCACAATGAGCTCAGACACCCAGCCGTTTGATCCTGTGTTCTGCACTGGGCAGAGGAGCCAGCATTACGCACCCTGCCTGGATGGCTGCTCCGTGGGAAAAGCCGTCTAGGAGTGTGGCCGTTTCCTTCCAGCTTTGCTCAGCTGATAAGCTGAGCTAGGCAGCCGAGGAGACACTTGCCTGCATCACCTCACAGCACAGCAAAGTCGGGGTGGATGCTAACTATTGTCCAATCACTGTAGCCACTGTTTTCCAAACTGGGCAGTGCCTCTTCGCCATCCCTTCAGCAATCAGGGGCAGGCAACCTGGAGCTTTCCAGATGTCTTGGACTAACACCGGCTACCTGATCCAGCTCGGTCAATCATCAGGCAATGGGGAAATGGTAGCCCAAAACATCTGGACAGCACTGGGTTGCCTGCCCATTGCAGTCCTTGAACAGAACTAATCCCAATGATATTCAGAATTATGCTACATTACAAATTTTGAGAGGGCTTTTACCTAATTGCCACTGAGGTGCTTAAGCCACACAGAAAGTAACCTTGATCACTATTTTGTTTGAAATGAAGTTCGAGGAGCCTTTGGATGAAACTGACAGATCAGCAGTCTTAGAGCTGCTATAGAACTTTGGGGTCAGCAAGTGCGGAGAGGAGAGGGGAGGAGAGGGGAGGGGAGGGGAGGATGTATCCTGGCAGCCCCTCAGCAAGTCTGCAGTGGCCAGAGCCAAAAGTGAGTGGATCATTCCTTTCCTCTTTCTGCCTTCTCTGCCCCGCTACTCCCCACTTCTCTCTTTCTGCTTCCCTACAAGAAGCATTTCTTGGGTGCTCGTGATCCCTCACTCATGGACACCTGCAGGGCCTTTCCACACGTCTCCCTCCTCCCAGAACCTCTGCTGTGCTTTCCAGCCTTTCCGCTGGGCGAGGTCACCCCAGAGGCCTCATGTGTCTTCCCAGTTCCACCCTATACTCCAGCACCACCGTGTCTTGTGTCATGGAATATACAGGGACATATAGAAGGTCGGAAAGGAAATCCCCAGAAGCAAAACCTTATGCAAAATGACCCTTTAATCATCCTGCCAAGAAAGCAGGAGCAGGAGCCTTGTGGAGCAGCCAGCTCATATGCTTCATGTTGAGAACCCCTGCCTGCTACCTTTTCTCGCTCAGCTCTTTCTCCTTCCAACTTCCCTTCCACACACTAGGCGGCCAGGCAAGGAACAGACCACGTGTCGAGAGATTTCGTCATGGGGCTAAGGACCACAGTTCGCCCTCCTGCTCCACGCTGAGAGAACTACACTGAGGCTACATGTTCTGACTGTTCTGGTCTATCCCATGGAGTAATCATGCAATGTACCACAAACACGCGGGCTTTTCTACACAAGGCTGTTAATCTGTTAGATTTCAATTTCAGTTCAGAACTGAAATCTGTGTCAAAAGGGTTTCCTTTCCTGCCTTTCCTGTACATCACCCCTAGGTGGCACTATGGTGTGGTGGAATACATAAGTGGAAAAAACAATTTTGTTTTGCTTTTTAAAAATGCATTTTCCCTGCTCTTAAAAACAAAAAAACAAAAAAACAAAATCCTCTCTAAAAGGGCTGTTTAAAAAAGCAAAAACTAAAGAGTTGCTATGTAGTTTAAAGATCCTGTAGACTGAGTAGGGAATGAGAAGCGTACAATGAAGGCCTTGTTCATATAAATTACTTCCATGGACATAAAAGCTATATTTATATATACCCATGCTTATGAAGCTTCTGAGAGTGGTTATGGAGCCGTTTGCCAGAAATTTACTAATGAAACTAAATTTTCCTTCCTCCCCTTCAGATCCCAGTGAGCTTTTTGAATGTTTATGTGGAAGGGTTGATTGGTTATATGCAGACTAATAATGGAGGGTCACTATTATGTATTGCTTAAGACATGTAAGACCAAGGTTCTTATAACAACTCAGCCATGGACCTCACTGGACAGCTTTGGACCAGCAACTGATTTTCTGCCTATCCTTTCTCACAAGGTTTTTGAGAGGATAAACTGGGAAGGAGGGGAGCCACATAAGCTGCCTGGAGTTCCAAGGAAGAAGGAAAAAGGAGGGATGTAAATGTAACCATCCTCATCCCCACCACCACCCCTGTGGCTCAGTCCAGATGAAATGGAATTACCGATGGGATTACAGCAGGATTAGGTGATCTGTCAACTCCAGGAAGAATTGACACCCTCCTAGCTCCTGCACAAGAATTGACACTCCTCCTATCCTGCACAAGGAGCACATGGAGCTCCGAGGTGCCCCCAGACATGGCTTCGCTTGGCTTGGCTAGTTATGGACAAGTGTCATCTTGGGTGGGAGAACCTTATTCCAGGTACGTCTGTATCACTGAACATGATGCATCCTGCCACAGCAGGGGGCTGGACCTGATGGATGGCCTTCATGGCTCCTCCCAACTATTCTATGATGGCAGCCTTTTTTGAAGCCTAAGGATTGGACAAGGATGGTGCATCTCACAGAAATCTCAGGCATATATTCTGCAATAGATTTCACATACCTTTGAAAAACGCTGGATGTCAGCAAGGCTCCTCCTGATGGGTATCTAACTGGCAAAGATCATACTGAGAATGGTGGTTCTAGGGAGTTTCCAGGCCCACTTCAGAGCACCCTAACACTCTGAAGGCCCAGCAAGTCATCTAAAGGAGTGGATCTTCCCCTGTGCTCCTGCCAATGCATTTTTACCTAAGGATCTTTTAACTTTGACCTTTCCTTCCTCCCTGGTAAGATGCACCTGGCTGACTTCCTTGCCTGTAATGTGGGAAGCAAGATACTAGGCTAAGAGTGGAAACCTATGCATGCCTCCAGAAAGTCCTACAACTCCCAGCATTCACCAGATAGCAAACAGGGTAGGAAATGCTGGGAGCTCCAGGACTTCTTTCCTGTCCAAATGTGCATAGGAGTGTACCACAAATTAATCTTTTCTTCCTGATCCAGCAGAGAACCTTATGTCCAACGTCTTCATGCAACCTGCAGCAAGTGCAAATGGCCCTTAAGTTACCGGGGGACAACTCTGGATGGATCTGTGATTGGATGGTCCATTGCTATGGCAACCAGACATTTTCCAGTTGTGAGGTAAACAAAACCTTATAGCAGTGAGGCAGAAACCTGGCTCACAGTTTGCCCAGCATAGCATTCCAGCCGGACTCTTTTTCAAAGTTCTGTCAATGGGTGCACTCACTCCCAGCCAGCTGCAAGCTGCAGTACAGCCCTTCTAAGCAAACGAGTCTGTAGCCAGAAAAGGCTATCCCCCAACATTTCTGCAATGCATTTGTCTTGGTGGGTCTTTCTAGGCAAGTGTTAATGGGTCCGTGGCTCAGCCTGGAGCATGGAAATCTGCCAATGCTTTCTCACCGTTTATTCATCTTTTTTCTTACCACAGAAAACCCTTTAAAGAGAAGGAAATGGAATGGTGTTTAATGCCTCCTGACTGCTAGTGCTAAGAGCTCTCTGTCTGGAAGGGTCTTGTACATCCAAGGGAACTGTAGGTGGTATTCCTGGTTCTCCCTGCAGCACTTTTCCCTCAGTGCTTAGCCCTGCTGTGGGGACACGGGATTCTGGGTCAGCTCCAAAGGGAGAGTCTGGCACTGCACTGTGCAGCTAGGAAAGAAGGGCTGAGGTGAAAGATGAGTTGGGAATCCCCTCCTGCCTCTCACAGTTCCTTGGCAGGCTGTACATCGAACCATCGCTGATCAGGCATCAGGCCAAAGCATTCTATGCACCCAACTACAGGGGAATCCCACCTTAAAGGGGAAAGAACCCATTCCAGCTTAGACCTACCTGCAAATGTGTGTTAATTTATCTCCAGGAGAGACTTTTTCTGGGGAACAGTAGCTGGTCCTGATCATAGCTCTCAATTCACACAGGCCCTTTGGCTTTCAATGGGCTTGTCAACTCCCCCTCTGAGAACTGAACATTCAGCTCCACAAAAGCCAGGCTTGCACAGCTCAAGCCCCAGGGCGTACGTTTGAAAGAGCTCACCTCTCCATCCTTCCTCTTCTTAATCCAGTGCCTTTACCAATTTGCACCCAGGAGCTTCTGAGTTTACAACAGAGATCAAAATGGCTGCAGGCCTTGGTGCCCAGAGTGCAATTCCATTCCTGATGGGAACAGAGCTTAACTGCAGTGCTTAACAGCTCGATGGAAAGGCAATTAAAATAAAACCAGTTGCTTATGTACTCAGAACTATATCTAATACCTGGTAAGTTCTATACTGTCTCATGGTGCCTTTATGAACCAAGAATATTCATTATCTTGTCTGTTCTTTTCCCGACCACTGATCTGTAGGCCGAAACCACTGGGCAAGGTGTAAGGGCATGTTTTGCAAATGTAATCCCAGGTAGGGCTGGGAAAGACCTGTTTGATACCCTGGGGAGCCACTGTGGGTAAGTCAGAGGAACGCCATTTCCAACTTGGCATGCAGATTCCTATGTTTCTACCAGGCAACTGACCAGAATTTTACCAGCCAAAGATGGCTTAATGCCCTAATATCTCTTCTCCAGCTGGGACTGAGAAGCCCTTGGAGCACTGGCGCAAACTACCATTCCATATGAAATGCCTCAAGGACTTAAGTGTGGGAGGCACACTTCATTCTTACATCCCAGGAAGGTTGTGTGTGTGTATGCGCGCACACACACGTTAGCAGCACACCACTTCCATGGAGCCTAATCTCTCATTTCTCTGCATCCTGGGCAGGGCTCCTGAGAGAAAGGAGCTGAGCCTGGAGCAGCAGGTGTCCCAGCCAACCAGCCTCCTTCAAGGGCAGGCAATTCAGAGCCACCGATCCTCTTGTCCACACTGAGATGTTTGCACCAGCTGTTCAGCATGGCTTCTTCCTCAGTTTTCTTGCAGGAGACAGAGCATGTCACAGTTCTCACCTGCCCCTCAAGTTTTCTTTCTCTCCTGCCCTCTTTGTTCTCTTACAGGACCACCAGAAGACCTGGGTTTGTTTGGCACAGTGAGTAAAGGTGGCGCATTATCCTAATTCCAGAAGCAAGTGCAAACATGTTTTGCAGAACCTGGGTGAAGCTGCAGAAGATACTGCTGCATGAAGCCCCCACAAATTACTGTGTATAAAGTCTCAGGCATACACAATGAATGCCTCATATAGACAAGCTCAGTATATCAGGAGGGACGTAATGCCCCCAGGGTGGATACACAGCAAGACTGTCCCACCAAGGGGAGGCTGATTGATAGGACCAAAAGCCTTGCAGGAATGAATCCTGCGGGTATCACCCTCCCTGGGTTCCCAGGAGCCTTGAAGAATGTGTTGAATGGGTGTCTAATTGCATGCAGCCTGGGATCTCCCACCCTTGCTTCAACAGCATTTGTGTCTGCACAGGGCATGAAGGATCTCTCCAACTTGGCCTCACCTGCTCAGGCCAACAGACACACCAGAAGCAAAGAGAGACACCAGGCGTCAGACACGGGTTTCCCCAGTGCTCTTCCAATGTTGCACAAGGCATGGTACTTATACTGGAGTCAATGGAGGGCTCAAGAAAGGGCAGTGATGAAGGCTCCTGGGGTGCCATCTGGAGTGCACAGAGGGGCAGAGCAGGAACAAGGTGTTTTGGCGATCACTGGCTCAGCTCTTCTCACCTGCAGGGTTTCAGGTTGCTACTGGTTAAGCTACTGAGTTTGCAGAAGGGCCTGGCACGCCCAAGGGAGGGAGGAGACAAGGAGCTTAGATGTCAGAAGGTCAGACAGAGCAGGAAAGTCTAGGAAAGGAAGCTTAATCTGAAGCAGTGAGGTGAATAAGAGGTGGTCACACAGGAGAGCGAACTGGGAGGGGCAGCTGTCTGCACGTGGTGGGGAGAAGGCAGTTCGAGGCAAGGGAAACCCAGCTGTACGTGCCGATTTAAAATATGGCCACCCAAACCTTTTGGCTGCTGACCTCCCATATATGTGAGAGGCTTATGCAATCTGTATTCATACAACCCTCTCTGGCATTTATATGAAACAGAATTATTATGCCACATTTCCCTCCTTCCATTTGGTACCCTCATCCCCAATTTCTCACAGCAGGCGTTTCCATACAACCCCGTTAAAACAAGCAGTGTGGAGAGTATCATGTATGTGTTTTATAGACATTCAATAAAGATGGACTTTTAAAAATACACACATTTCCTTTCCTGAATGCAAACATGTGGCTGTTGGATCTGTCGCCAAGACTTTCCAGAGATTTGCCCCGGGTTCTTTTGTCCTTAGAAAAATAGAGTTGCATGATACCTTTCCCATGTTCTTAGGTTGTTGTTGCTTTCCTAGATATTAAATGTTAGGACTCTTGTCTTTTCAAAGTAATAAAGGAAGCGATGCTCAGACAAAAGAAGAAGAAGAGCAAACAGATTAGCAAATTGCAAAGTGGAGATTAAAGCAGTTAACTGGGCACTACACAAAGCTGTCTGGATCCCTGAGACTACACATGTGGCATTTCAAAGTCTGAGAAAGGGCAGGTTGCCCTTTAGGTTCCATTTGATGTAAACATGTCTAGAAGAAAAATAAAAGGGGATTGCCATAAAATACCAGCAAACCACAACCCCTGAAAAAAGAGTCTGACGTGCACAGATGGAATGGGTGGAGTTAGTCAAGGAAAGGGTTTGAATATTAAACCAGCCTGGTGGCTTCCTCATTCTTCATCCCCAAAAGACAGAGACTCCTCATTTTAACTCATACCCTTCTCCCAACCCCTGACTCTTACCCACATCCCTTCCTCAGTATAACAAAGCCTGCATCTTCAGACAAGGTCAAAGCCACTGACTGTAGTTCAATGCCACTGCTGAGCCCCTTCTCAAGGCACCTGGACTAAATTACCTAACTTCTCCAGAGTTCCTGCAGTGGGCACAATTTATTAAAACTAGTGTCATGTCCCACTTCAAGCAGAGCCCAAAACAGACTTGCCAATGCTGTGAAATGAAGTGCACCGGGAGGGATTTGGATCCTTCTTGCCTGGTTGCTTTCGGCGGAAAAGCCATTCTCCGCAACGTCTTTGCAGCAATAACATTAATTCAAACACAAAGGCATTTGGCAGCATGTTTCTGTCACTGATTCCCTGGTTTGTTCCTCAAGTCCTCTCATTTCAAGTGCAACATATTCTGGCTACCAGTTGCTAAAATGGCAAAGCCCTCCTGCATTGCTTGTAAGCTGCTAGCTGGCCACTGCAGCAGACAAAGTGCTGGAACAGATGGCGCTCTGGTCCGATTCCACAAGGCAGCCTTGAACAGGGTCTTACATTCTCCCTGTTTGTCATTGCCATGCTAAATAAAAGCTTTCTGCCACACGATCGGAACACTGGCTTTCAAAGGAGAGGTGCTCATTGCTCAGACACGGTTCAAGAGGCGTGTTTTAAAATGTGAGCTGTGGAATTCAGCAGCTCGGCGATGTAAGGATGACCTGTTGTGAGTCAGAGGGCCAATGCTCCAATCCAAGCACACCTTTCTCCCTTCCTAACCTAGGTTTCCTCTTGTCCCTGCTACACAAGTTGCTTCGGTCCACATGGCCTGAAATGCTCCGCACGCTGCCCACCAGTTGCAAACCGGGACCACATGGCCCACAGCACCGTTTTTGAATCCGCCATGCTCCGGGTGGCTGGAAAAGCAGCAGCAATGGATGGAAACTGAGGAGGGGAGGTGGGGGGCATGGTCCTTGGGCTGGGGGTTTTGCCCTGTTTGCCTTATTACTTGGGAACTCTCGTTAGCACCCTGGAAGAAAAGCCCTGCTGATTCAAAGCCACACTCGGAGGTAACCTAGCCTGGGTTGCACAAGCACACCGTGTTCAGCCACTCTCAGCGGCTTCTTCAACAGCAAAACAGCTGTTGTCACAACTGCTGGCCTCTCTGATTTTTTTAAAATATTCTTTTTAAAAGAGAAGTACCTCAGAACAACAGCAACACTGCTGTTGTTGTTAAATGAGCGTGGTGGCATTTGAAATGGGTAGTACTTCCTTTTTAGAATGGGGCCCGGAAATCTGGTGGCTTTGCCCCATGTAAACTGTGTAGGGAGAGAGAGATAACAGAAGGTTCTGGAAGGAGACACTCCTACTCATGTCACAACTGGGGAGGAGGTCCTGAGATTGGTGGGTGACTGTTCCGACTCCAGGTTGTCCTTTCTCTGTTGCCCCCTGTCTTGAGGGAAAGGAGGAGACTCGCTTCCTTCCTGCAACCCAGCAAGAGGCCTGTCCAAGACAGCAGGCAGCCACTGGAAGACTGGGCTGCCCTGGAGGTCCTTGGGAGGGAGGGGGAGCTTTGGCACCCCTGCCTTTGACGTGCCGTGCTCTGGATTGCTCTGAGACTGACAGGTGCCAAGGGCAGTGGAGCCCGCGAGGGTAGCCAGAAAGCCACGGGTCGCCTCTGTCTCTTTTGGAGCGGTGCCCTTTATCCTTTGCAAAAGACCCACGTCAGTGGGATGGGGAGGCCGTTGTGCAAAGGGGCTGGGAAGCACAGTGCCTCCGGGCATCCCTGTCTCAGGAGCATCCTGGTCGGTGGTGGAAGGCTGGCTGGTGGCGGCCTTTTTGCTACAGGATTCACAGCAGAGCTTGTTGTAGCCAGGGATCGAGCAGTAGCGAGCCAGGACTTCCATCTGGCAGAATATGGACTTGTCTCCAAGGCAAGGCTCCTCTGCAACAAGAAAAGACGTTTCTTTAAGAGGAGGGATACTCCTTAGGATAAGCAAAATGCCACCCAAATCCACCCTTCCAGATGTCTCAACATTTGCACTTCAAAGCTACGAGAACAGATCCCATATTCACATATTATACATCACTGCTGGGTCTAAATCAAGTCTACCTGTTCTACATCTCCCTGAGTATGGTGGTAGAACCACCTTCCCCACGAAATGTGTTGGACTGCAACATCCATCATTCCCAGCTTGCACAGGCATTGGGAATTGACGGACACTGCAGTCCAGCCCATTTGAAGGCTGGTAGGTTGGGGAAAGCCGAAGCAGAATGAGGCCAACATACATGGCAGTGGAAGAAAAAATAGAGAGAGAGAGAGAGAGAGAGAGAGAGAGAGAGGGGGGTGCAGAGGAATACAGAAACAAGAAGTCACAGGTCTACAGGCTCCAGTGCTATAGGCTGGCTGCTAGTTGAAGCTTGTCCTATGGGGCACACAGAATCAGAAGCAAATTGTATGTGCAGATATATACCAGAGATATATATGGGGTGGAGGTATTCCATGCCCCCTTCCCTTCCACTCAGATATTCATTTTATGATCTTGCTTGCATATGACTGCTTCAATCAAGTGCCAAAAGAACGGTGCTGCAGGTCATTTCCCCTTCCTCTTATCCCTTCTCTGTGAAGCAATGGTCCTTTTCCACACCCCAGCCGCTACAATATACAGAAGAACTATGAACCCCTTGTCCTATTTCTCTAAGTAAGTGCGACAAAACATCTTTGGAAGATGAGAAGAAAAGCCTTAAGATTCAAAATGAGGGGTGTCCAGTCACAACCACTGTTCTTTACTGTCTACAAGAGACAACAGATGTGTAAGAGCATGTACCCAAATGGCACTAGGCCTGTGGATATGTCAGCCACTGCAGAATGTCAGCACGGGAGCCTAAGAAGAGAAGACAAGGAAAGGAACGGAAAAGTCAGTGAAATACAAGTGAGCAGAGAGCTGTAAGAGATACAGAGGCAGACAGACAGGCAGACAGGAAGGAAGGAGTTCCCACTAGGCATTTGTTAAAGAGTTCTGCAAAGATGGTGTTTTATAGTGCACCATCACTCACGATTCATGCAGATAAATAAAGGGACACTAGATGGCACTTGGATTCATTAATCTCACTGAATTCAGAATTATTTCTGAGTAGGCACATATAAGATTGCATAGTATGGCTTTTAGATGGACATTAACTGTTAATGATGTCTGAACTGGAATCACACCTGAATGAATTGTGCCAGATTGAATGCTTCCACATTGTCCAGAATGGGCCATTCCTTCTAATGGATGTTCATTTAATTTCAAAAAGGTTAAAATTACTCAGCAGCATAATTTGAATCTTGTTGTACATAGATCCTTTTATAATTAGTGTTTCATGCAAGAAGTTTTTCCTTTCGCCATCCTTAATTTACAGCAGGCCTGTAAGCTTGGGAACCATCTTGCTATCTATGGTGGTTCGCCAGCAGCTGCAGCCACTTGCAACCTGCTCTGGAGTGTCAAGAAGCCAGGTCGGTGGGCTGCAACCAGCCCTGGTGTGTCATGAATTGTACAGCTCTGATCAACCAAGTACAAAACCTCTGCTGAGATGCACCCAATTCCATTTTATGACCTACGGCAGCCTTTCTGAACCTGGTGCCCTTTAGACCTTCTGAACTACACCTCCCAGAATTCCTGCTCATTAGCCATGCTGGCTGTGGCTGAGGGGAGTTGAGGATCAAAACATCTGGAGGCTTCCAGGCCAGGGAAGGCTAACCTATAGATTCAGGATTAGCATATTTACTTACCTATAGAACTAGGCAGGGCATATCTCAGGCTTTTGTTGTCTGTGCTATTTTGCAATTCTCCAAGGAAAGGATTGGAATACAGGCAGTTTGAATGGGCAGCTATCCATCCTCCTAGTCTGGGACTCAGACACACAATGAGAAACCCAAGAAGCATTCCAAGAAAAAACAGATTCGTTTCCCTTTCCCTGCCACTGCCCACACAGTGATTGACTGTGTGACTGGATGGCCCATCAAAGCTCTGACAGTAGTTCTAATATTTTGCCAGGCAGGGTTTTTTTCTGAGCAACGTTATGCATCACGGAAGAGTAGAAAGAGAAACTGCTGAGCAATTAAAAGTGCAAAACTCAAATGCAGAAGTGCACTTACTTGATGATACCTTGCTAACAGGAGCTTTGGCACTTTCCTGAGACACCCATTGGACCTTTGGAGTCACATGCTCACTGGTGCCTGTGCTTGCTGTGGCACTTGGCAGCTTTCCTGAAAGGAAATAGAGCGGTACATCAAACTATCTGGGTCATGCCAAACAACAGGTCAAATAGCTGGAGGGCAGGCAGGTTGCTACAGATGTTACTCTTTAATCTCCGGGGACATGAATTAAAATGCTTTGAGTAAAAAACCAAGATGGTGTTTTTGGACCCTTGGAAACCAGAAATACATTTCTGTGGATGCCGCACCTTCAGAGGCAGCTCCATGTCAAAGTGTTCACTGACACTTCCCGTGACTGCAGTAACCATTGGCTTCTCACACCTGACGCACCGCAGCCTTCCTCTTGTCCCTTGGGAGCCTGGTTTCCTAAGAGAGCCTGTTGCTTGCTGAAGCTGTTCCGCCTCCTTTTTTCCAAGAAGGTCTCCACAGTTGGTCCATCAGCAAGTCCTTGAGATGCAACCGTGTGTGTTGTAATAATCAAGCATGGCTACCAATCAGAATGTTTGGAAAGTATCACACAGCAGACCTCAGAATACTTTAAATTATCCATACATTCCTGTTGGAGAGGCCCTGTCGATCAGATGCAGTGGTGGCAAACAGTAAGAATGGCTTCAGAATGAGAGTGAAATATATAGTAACTGTAGAGAGAATAAGATTTTGTACTCAGTATGTCTGAAGTCTTTGGAATAACTATTTGTTTAGAGTGTGGAAAACAATAAAAATTTTGAAACCGAGAACGGCTTCAGAAGATGTCCCAGACAATTCACGGGAAATACCATCAACAGCATCTGGTTTCTAGAAGGCTAAAGGAAGACATTCACAACACACAGAACATGTAAATGTCCATGAGCTAAAAGCAGCTGTGCCATAAAATATTTGCTTACAGCTGAAGAATATAATCTTTTCCTGATGACCAAACAACAAGGATCAGTTATTTAGGGTTCTCTCAGAGAGACACGAGAGGGTCAAAAATGTAAAATAATCTGGCAAGAATTCAAAGATGAAGGAAAAAACTTAGAATGGCTCCTTTACAATCAAATGGTTTCAAGATTACAAAAGGAAATTCAAACAGGAAAAGGCACAAGAAGAAATCTGACAGATTTTGAAACTGCAATCAAACATCAAACTAGGACCTACAGTGTTTCCCCGAAAATAAGACCTAGCTGTGTTTATTCCCAGGGCCAGTGAGGAACATGAAGAGCCTTTTTAAGCTTTGTTTTTTAACTTAACTTTAACTTAATGCACTGTGTGGAGGAAACATGCTTATGCAGCTCTGCTCGCTCTGCTCCCTGCGGAGGGAGCAGAGCTGCATAAGCCGCTGCTTCCTCTGTAGCGCCGGCCCCCGTCACAGGCGGAGTGATACCAAATGTGCCAAATGTACATGTATTCATGCTGTTGTACATGAATAAGTGTGGATTGTAGTACACATTAAAAAGTAAAATAAAAAATAACACCTACCCCGAAAGTAAGACCTAGTATGTTTTTGTGAGCCAAAAAAAATATGACAGTGTCTTATTTTCGGGGAAACACGGTATCTATAAGCAACTGTTTCAATACAACACTGAGACTCAGCAAGTTAAAAATGCAGGAACAGTTGGATGCAGAATCATGAAGAAGAAAAATGGTCCCTTCAATGGGAAGTCCTGTGAATGAAGGACATAAATTCACTGCAAGTCAAGTCTTAAGAGAAAGCTGCTATGAAATGCACTTTTCGTGGTATATTACCCCAAAAGATATACAGAAAATGGACAAGAATTGCAATGGAAAATGTCGGAAATGTAAAGAGGTAAATGAGACTTTTACCATATGTGATGGACATGTGATAGAATCAAACACTTTTAGAAGCTGATACATGTGGAAATGCAGAAAATACTTAAAACTGACTTTCCTATGAATGCCAAGAATATGTTGCTGAGCATTGTACCAGAGACTATTCCAAAAAATATGCTAGAGTTAATCAGATATATGATAACAGAGGCAAGAGTAGCAATGCCTTCAAAGTGGAAAGCTGAAGGCTGTTCAATTGTCAAAGATTGGGAAACCAAGCTAGCTGAATATGCAACAATGGCAAAATTAACTGATTATATTCATAGAAGACCAGCGGAAGAATATATTGAAAGATGGAAAGCTTTCTGTGAGCAATTTAACTAACTGCTAAAGAAAATAGAATCTTTACAAATGTCAGTGATTTTTATTCTAATATTAAAGCAACATTATAATTCACAATTAGTTTTATAAACTAGATTAATCTCTGATTAAGAACTGAATGATTTACATGGGACCACAGCAGACAGAAACCGTTGCCTTTTAATGAACATGTTCAAATACCAAAATTACAAGCTATATTTGTGAAATATCCCTTGGCATCTTTTTCCCCATATATTAATCTTCTTTTTTATAATGTACTTTGTGGAAATAAATAAAATTGGGAAAATGTAAAATAGACATTTGTCAAGAAGGTCAGAATGTGTAAAGATAAGCCTGGAGGCAAATGTTTTGACACCAGAAGTGTAGATCAAGATAACCATGGACAAAAGTAACTGAATGTTTTCTGCTATGAGGCTTTTCCGATACTGATCACTGCAAAAAGCTAAGCATATCAATTCGCCGTGTATGATGAGAGCTGCAACTGATCCTGACTGGAGACTCTCTATTGTCAGTGCGCACCTACAAGAAAGAGCCTTATATATCTAAATTACTGGCTGGTGTTGCCTGCCTTTCTCATGGTCAGACAATAAACAAGAGGGGATTTTCTTGGGGTTTTTGGTCCCCTGCGGTGCACAGAGCTGATCTGGACTAAAGCATGCACAAGTGAACCCTGACCTGGCCTGCAGAGTGTGCGTGCTGCCATAATCCTGGATGCAGGGCAGAGCAATTCCAACATTTTTCCCTCGTATATTTCCTGTGTTAAGGAAAAAAATGAGGGAAACTCTGGGAAGGCACAGGAGATTGATCCGTGGAAGACAACATTGTCTGGTCCCCCTGTAAAATTCTGGCAGGACTGATAAACGCCTCATCCAGAAGCAACTTTACTCTGTACAATTGTCATTGAATCCACTGTACCTCTGACTTGCTGTCTCAGGGCCTCCACTAGGCTCATGACAGGGGCTCCTTGTGCAGATCAGTAATTTCCCTGTCCTGACAGTCAAGATCCCCTTGGAATCCATCCCATACAAACATATTGCACTCCATGCAAATAAACCCTTGAGAAACAAAGGCATCGGTTATGCATAATCAAGCCAATGTCATTTGTACAGATCTACGTGGTTCATTTTTAACATGGCAGCCAATTTATTCAGACCATACATTTGCATGGTTTAAAAAAAATCAATTCCCCGTGCAATTCGAGCGTCTCTCACCTAGGCATGCTGCCATTTTGCAGACCTGGCTGGTCCCTGGTTTCTCGCTCTCGCAATGACCAGCACTGTTATCGCTGGACTTGCAGACCACCTGGCGTTGCTGGGTGCCTTCTCCACAGCTGACGGAGCACTGCCACAGAGGAAGAACAGCAGAGTGATCGGCATGGCTACCATTTAAAACCGGAGCTGAGAAAAAGCAAAAGGGGGCTGATGGGATGCCATACTGTAGCACAGCTCTCCTCACGTGTTCTCTCGGTCCTGCCGACCACTCAAACCAGACTAAACCCGCATGTTTGGTTCGTTCTTTCTATGCCGCAGGTGGAACACACGCCACTGCCCACATCCTCCTTCCCTCCACGGCTGGCGAGCTGCTCCAGGGAGGTTGCTCAGCATGAACGGACCCAGGACTTCTGCAGCTGCCTCCCCACTGAGAACAGGAGTCATCTCAGCTGCCCCTGAAGGCCCCTGAGGGCTCAGTCTGAGGAGGGAGCCTTGCCTGGGTCTTCCCCTCTCCTCAGATACAGTCCAAGCAGCAGCGAGGCACATATAATTTTAGCTGGGGCAGGGTGGCAGGGAAGAGGACCCAAGGAAGAGAAAAGTGAGAAGGCAATTGGGCAAGAAGGCCTGGCTGTGCTCTGTTGATGCAGGGAAAGACGCCGTTTAGCAGTGTTGCGTTACCTGGGACCAGGCCCCCGTCCTCCACTGGGCAGGACAAGGCACACGGCTGCACGGCCGACGCGTGTCCGGCTTGTCTCCCGTGCAGTGCTTGGTATGCACGGTCCTGTTCGTGCCATTTTGCAGGTGTTGGATGCACTGCAGCACTCTGATCTGGACGCCCAGCTTGCCACAAGACTTGCTGCAGGCACCCCACTCCTCAGCCCCCCAGCTGCAAGGGGAAGAATACAGCCCTGCATCATTAGTCCAGTCAAAGAAAGAGACTCACTGGCTTAGTTCCCATGGAAGGGGCAAGTCTATGTCCAGGGTACAACCTGCAGTCCTGAGCTGACAGAAAGCACACAATAAATCCCTGCACATAGGAAGCTCTATGGTTTTCCCAGTTGCAATGTATGGCTGTGAAAGCTGGACCACAAGGAAGGCTGAGCGCTGAAGAACTGAGGCCTTTGAATTGCGGTGCTGGAGGAGACTCTTGCGAGTCCCTTGGACCGCAAGGTGATCAAACCGGTCAGTCCTAGGGGAGATCAACCCTGACTGTTCTTTAGAAGGCCAGATAGTAAAGATAAAACTCAAATACTTTGGCCACATAATGAGAAGGAAGGACTCCCTGGAGAAGAGTCTAATGCTGGGAACAATAGATGGCAAAAGAAGGAGGGGACGGCAGAGAATGAGGTGGTTAGATGGAGTCACTGAAGCAGTTGGTATGGGCTTGGGTGGACTCTGGGGGACGGTGGAGGACAGGAAGGCCTGGAGGAATGTTGTCCATGGGGTCGCGATGGGTTGGACGCGACTTTGCAACTAACAACAACACCACACAGAAAGCTAGAGATCGGGGAAAAGTTCTAGCCTAGGTTCACCCTGACATGCCAGATTTCCATGGGCAAAGGTTTTGAGTGTTTTTGCTTGGAATGTGAGCCATCACCCACCATCCGAAACAGAACTATCCAGGTTTATCCAGGATAACAGAACTATCTATCTAGGTTTACTGTTTCATGAAGAATAAGGCCTTGCAGATCTGAAGGATCTAAGTGTTCAAACTGCAAGACTATGATTATAGTCTCCGGCTGTCCACAGATGAAACGGAAATTGAATGCTGGGCTATTTAGGCCCTTTGCCAGTCAAGCCATATGTGCAAGAAGTTTGTTTCCCTTTGCAGCTGTGAACAAGCACTGATGCTCTCCAAATATGTTCACAAATTCCCAGACTTGCTTAGGCAGTCAACAAAATGCACGCTTTCATGCTTTCAATGAACAGAAAGAGCACACTTCTGAAAAATGCACACAGAAATGTTCTCTCTCCCCTTTCAAAACGTGCATTTTCTCTATTCAAAGAACCCTCTCCACCAAGGAAAAACAGAATGCAAATGAGAACAGAAGCAAGCTGAGCTGAGCTGAGCTTTGAAGCATCATTTGGAGAGTTTCAGTGAGCTGATTTTCTTCCTAGTACAGCATGACTCTTTCTATGGTCTTATCACCTTAGTGGTACCATCCTGAGCCCGAATACATGGAACTGAGGAAGCAGGGCTCTGACTTTTAGCCATGGCCAAACCCAAGCTTCTGTCATGGGCAACAATGGCATCCCCATTTTAAAGATACAGTGGTGGCCCTGGTGGCTTTCAATACTGACAAATAAAATGCAAATATTGCCAATATTTTTCCAGTTTTTCAGGCTGTGGAAACTAGCAATCTTATCACAGAAGTACTGTTCACAAGACCTCTATAGCATGTGAGTAATGAGGGGGGAAATGACAACTTGTCCGCCTCCAAACAGTGCATGAATGTGGCCCACAGGCGAGGTTGCATTATATTTGCAGTCCTGAGGGTTGCACGTGAGGCTGCCTTGGGGGGCATGGCCAGGGATCCCACATTCGTGCATGTGTGCCTGCCTCCCCCTCACACAAACAAGGCCCCAGGTCTTCTCGGTTACCAAGCTCCCCAACGGCACGCAGAGGACAAAATCATGGCGCTCTCTCAGAGTCATTGCCAGAGCATGTGGTTTAGAAGAAAGACCTACAACTCCCAGCATTCCCCAGCTAGCCAGGCTGGTAGAGAAAGCCAAGAGCTGCAGAACTCCTTGCTGTCTGAACATGCAGAGCTGTATCTTCCGTGACCTAGTCAAAGCCAGTCGTGCGTGTTTCTGTGTGTGTGTGCATGCCCAGACTAATTCTAAAAGCAAATTCACTAGTTACTGAAATACCCTGGAAACATTAGGAACATTATTTTATTGACTTATCAGCATTTAGACCCCCTACCTGCCCCCGGTTGAGAAGCAACTATAATGCTCTGTTAACATGGCCCGAGGCTCCTATCTTAACATGCAGCAACGGATTCCGCTAGAGCTGGCATTCAGCGCGTTGGGAAAGGAGCAGCACTCACACTGGCTGAGAGCACTCCTGCATGTTGCATCTCCTCCGGATTGGCTTTGGTTTCTTTCCATTATCACAGAAGTTCCGATGCACCATTCGGTTATCGCTCTTCCTTCGGCAGCCGTACTTGGTGTACTGTATTCCTGCAAAGCAGCGGAACCCAGAACAAGCACGATAAGGGAAGGAGCACGTCTGGGCCCAGCTTTCTCAAAGTGCGCAGCTGTCTGCCTTGCATGCTCCTCAACACACCTCTCTGGCTCAGCACGATGCTGGACTTAGGGGCCCGGGAAATGGACTGGAGGAATCTGTCGTAGACTTCTCCTTGAAAGAAAGCTGTCCGAAGCCTGGACAGTACCTGCAGAATGCCTGGGAACCTTATATGAGGTCCGTTGTATTGATCCCAATATTACAGATCGATCCTGGAATAGTGCACCTATGCCACAGACTGCAAGAGGGAATGCTCTGCAGCCTACCAGCAGCAAGGCAAAACAGAACTCGTTTACACGATCCATTCATGCACAGTTCAAAAAACTTAATTTCGGACCAACTAACATCCCATGGATTTCAGTGGGTCTGCTTTAACTATGACTTGACTAAGTGTGGCTCCAGCCCAGACTGCATGGCTTTAAAATGCACCCTCGCATACATATTTTTTAAAAAATGAGAGTTAGTTGACACAACAGAACTGGCACAAAAAAGATTATTTTGAGTCCCATCCGTAAATCTAATTACCATAAGTAAACCAAGTTCTTTCACATCTCTATACATGATTATCTCTACTTGCAAAATGGTCAGCAGAAAACCTCACCATTTATCAATTCAAGTTTATTTGTTTTGAAGAAAAACTATTTTCAGAATATTTTCCACCTCTTAAAGTTATCTCTCTCCCCAGCCTCTGCTCAGCACAACTACAGGCAACACAGCAATTGCCTGCAAGTGCCTACATGGGGGGAGATTTTCTCTCGAGTAGTTCTGTAGCCTGCAACCCTTCCTTGTGCAGTTTCTGGGCTGGCCATGCTGCTCTAGCACTTCCTGTCCCACAAAGAATAGTCACCCCACAAGCTCCTTCACACTGTCTTCTGATCAAGAGAAACGGACTTGATCAAAAGCTTCCACTTGGTGCTGGAGTGAGGCCTGCAAAATGCAAACAGTTCTGGCCTTGCTGCTTTATCAGAATGATTGTTCCCAGTGACCCTGTGGTGAGGGATGAAAGAGCGTCAGTTTAGTAGACTCTCACTTCCCGGCAAGAGAAGCAAAAGCCAAGCAGCAACACTAATCATGACCACAACCTGGGAGGTAGCACGCATTTCTTACTAGCCCATATCCCTTGAAATACAGCTTATGTAGCAACAACAGTAGAAACGCAGACTTGAGTCAGCAAGTTCTTACTGGGCTTTTCAAAACCTGCTTTGCTTGTCTAAATGCTCTGGACACAAGCTTGTATTAATGCAACTCAATATTTATTATTCCACTTGCTTCCAAAATGGGAACTGTGAAGTATTGCAGCCCTAGCTAAAGTTTGAGTTTATCCTCTCTAAAAAGTGATCTTAACACATGATCAACATGAGAATATTGATACTTCCAGCTTTTTTCCTTTTATCTTGTGGGTAAGATCAAAAAACCTACAGAAAGCAATTCCACATTAGCATATCTAAGACCCTTTCTCCATGTGCTATTTATTGTGTACTTGTGATTCCTCACTCCATATTTATTGTGTACTTGTGATTCCTCACTCCATAGTTTGCGGGTGCTCTGCACAATGTCATTATCCTCCAGGGCCTTTCCCATTCTTTGCAACCAGTCCAGAGGATCTTTCTTTTCTAACAAAGGTAAGTCTGTTATATTTGTGAATGGTGGCATGGAACCATAATGCACTGGCCCAGCTCCACTATCACACAGCACCACCTTGTGCTTTTGTAATGAAGCAACTAGAAAGACAAGGAAAGATAAATCCCAGGGGGAAAATGTGTGGAGGAGCCTTTCCTAATCCTGCAACAGAGCAGGACAGTCACTGCCAAAGGTGCTCTCACTTTTCTCAAGATTTGACACTCAAGCACTGGTTTCACGAGGCATGCTCATCACTTGATAGACCAAGGAAGCTCTTTCAGCCAATTTCTGTTTTGGAGAAGCTCATAGGAGCTGTGTTCCAGTGCTGGGTGGGGGCAAAGGCAAAAGGAATGGGGCCAAAATACTAAAATACCACCAGGTTTTAGCGTAATGTTCTTACACCCAATGCATAAGTCTTAGGAGAGGCATTTTGACCTTTTGGAGTAGGAGAAACACTTTCCAAACCCAAGATGCCACCCACTGATTGGTGTTTGGGGGAAAGTAACTGCAGCGCACAAAAGAGCGTGTGGTAGAGCCCTGGAAGCCTCACCTGGGATTCAGGGAGGACCAGATCTATCTCACCAGCCAGAGATATCCCTCTCATGACTGGCCGAGTGCAAAATCAAGTGTGGACTTGCATATATGAACTGACTGTCACAGAGTGAACCCTCTCTCCACATCACCTGAAACACTTTGCTTTCCAAAGACAGACTGTTCACACATTTAGTGCATGCCTAGGTGAACCTGTCTTGTCTGTACGGATGGTGGACCACCCCCTGGAAGGGTGTGCAGGACCCACCATGAAAAGAAGAACAAGGTAAGAACTTGCCTCCTCCACAAGCTTTGGAGCACTGAGACCAGCTCTTCAGAGCCCACTCATAGGTGTCCATTTCTTCAAGGAGGACATTGTTGTTTCCAATGACTGGAAGAAGATCTTCATGTATGATGTACTTATACATCAAGCTGCTCTTGGAATCATCCTCTTGTGCGATGACCTGAAATCCAAGGGAAGGGAAGAAACTGTACTGAAAGAGGAAATAGTCTCCCCGTTCTTTGCACAAATCTCCAGGAATAAATAGATATGAAACACATCTGTTATTTCTACCAGATCCAGGTTCCACAGACCTCATAGCTGCAATATAGCTTTCAAAGGAGCTTCAAAAGGATGACAAATTTCAGAAAAACAAAGCATCTCCCACTTTTCCTTTTCAACTCCAGTAGGAATTTTTAAATGGTCCAATGAAGAAAAAGGGCAACTAAGTTGCAAGCAGCCCAGCCCAGCCTTCACCAATTTTGTGCCCTCCATATCCGTTGAACTACACCTACCATTACCCCAGACATGGGCCATGCTGTCTCAGGATGATGGGATCCGAAGTCCAGCACAGCTGGAGAATGCTCAGTTGGGGAGGCTAAGATAACCTACCTCGTCTAAGCCTCAGCTCCCCATTTATAAAACAGAAATAGTCGTGTCAGCTTTCCAGTGCTGCATGGATTTTGCACACAACAATGACTGTGAGCCAAGCTCTTAAAGTAAATCTACCAAAAGGAGTCAGATGGGTGAAAATCAGCCAACGATGTACAGGGCAATGTGCTGCTATGCGAACTCAAGCATTTCTACATGCACAATAGGCATCAACCCTTCAGGTCTCTCCAGGGCTCACCAGAACACTGATGGCTTCGTGCAACGGGCCACAGGTTTTCAAGCTCTCCTTGCCATTCTCCACTGTGTACTCCCATTCCAGGCCCATCTCCAGGAAGACGCTGCTCTTGGCGTTTTTGCCCTTAGGATTAAAGATGAAGTTGCCAGAAGCTTGGTTCTTCACAGCTGGGGAAACATGTCCATAAGGTGATTTGCTTACATCCGCACCCTTTGCATGCAGTGTCTACGTCAGCTACACTGAGTGTTTTCCCTTTTAAAATGTCCGTGTAATGGACTGGCCTCATGTCAGTGGCTCCTTGGACCAAGCGCCCTCACCCACACACCATGGCCCAAAGGACACGGGCTTGTAACTGTGAGAGCCAGCGTGCTCGAGTGGCTGCAAGTCCAAAATAGGATGTTCCTATCTTGGCCCTACCAGAATCTTCTAGAAGGCCCTGAACAGGCTACTGTTGCTTAGCTTTAACCCCTCTCCCCCACTTCCATCTGCGATGTGGCAACCACAAGAGCACCCCATATTATAATGGCATCGTACGGACTGCAGAGACTATGCAGAATGCTCTTAATCATTATATAAACATTTGTTATTAATACCTTCACCAGGGCAACACAAAGCCCCATTCATATCCTTGCAACCCTGTATAAGAATGCAATAAATTCATAATCTGAGAAATTCTGAGTTTGGCATTCAATGAGGGAGCAGCTCCATGATTTTGGTGAGCTGCTGCTTTTTAACAGATTGTTAACGAAATTCATTGTGCGTGCATTTCTGCATGGATCTGCATGAGGAGTTTCCTTCCCCACAACTCACACACACACAGTTTTCCTCTTAGGGCGGCGCGGGGTCAAACGTCTTTCAACACAAAGGCCAAAGGCCATTTCTGAGGAACTCCGGATGTGCCTTCCAGGGGCAGGCAGGGCCAAAGGTAAAAAGGAGCTATGCAGCTCGTTTGGACTGAAGGACGCGCTCTGAGCTGGCCGTTGGAGAATTCCAGGCCCCGGCTCTGACTCTGAGGCTGCAGCTCGGGCCTGAATTTAGAGCACTCTCCTCCACTCTTGCAGCCCGGAGCAGGGAGTGAGAAGGGCAGAGCGAGGCGCCGCAGGGATACAAGGAATCCCAGTGGCGCCCAGGGCCCTCTGCCTTGTGAGCAGGGGCAAAACACAGAGATGGCTCAGCATCCCCTTCCACGTGCTTTGCTGAACTTTAGCACAGCCTGGTGTCTGATCCTGCAGCAGCTGACCCTTTGAAACTAAGCAGAGCCAGCCCTGGTTAGAAGCTGGATGGGAGACTTGAGCCCTGGATTGAGCGGGCAGTTGGACCTGATGCTCTTCAAGGCCCCCTGCCACCTCTCTGCTCCTCATGCCCTCCACTGAATGCCCTAATCCTCCATGTTCAAAGGGTCGTGGGCAGCTCCCATGCATGGCATCCCAACTCTCTTACTGCTAGCAATTCTTTGACTTAAGGGGAGGGGTGGGGGTCCAACTTTTGCAGGTAGAGAAGCAGCATTCAAAAGCCAGCAAACGGCCAAGCAATGGGAAGACTGGGATCCTCGGGGGAACACCCTAGGCCAGAGTAGGACCCAGCAAGGCCTGCAAGCCTCACGTTCAACACTGCTACCCCAGGAAGCTGAGCTGACTGTTGTCTAGAGCAGGGACGCTGCTGCTTACAGCTGTGGGTGCCTTTCCCCAGGAGTTCCACTGATCTCATCCTGCCTTGTCTGAGAGAAGGTAGTTTTACTCTGTTCACATTTCTGCAAGTCTGCACTGTGGTTTGCTACTGAGCTTACTAAGAAGCAAGCTTTGCCCCCATCCCAGCAGTGACCCTGAATCACTCCTCAGTTTTCAGCCATATAAAGGGATTGTTGCCACTCACTTGAGAAACTGATACAATGAACTGCAGCAAAACGTGGTCCTCTGTGTGTGTGTGTCTTTCTTGCATGCACACAGGAACACACACCAAAGGGTCCTTGCAGTACAGAAGTCCTGCTACTTACATGCACCCCATCCATAAGGATGGATTTCTATCGTGTAATAACGGAGATGCTTAAAGCTTCAAAGTTAGCAATACATCTGGCTTTTCTTTAGTTTGTTTGTTTTCTTTGCCGGAAAGGAGGAGGAGAAGCAGAAGCCAATCCAGTTGCTTTAACTTCCTCATTGTCCACGTGCTGTCTGGTTGAAATTTAAACTTACTTTTCATTTCCTTCTAAATGCTTACTTGGCTTTTTCTTATACCACTGACATACCAAGTCTTGCCTGTTATTCCAAGTCATACTTTAAATTCATAGAACTCCTGAACAGAAACAGAAACACACACACACACACACACACACACACACACACACCCTTCCTTGATTCCTGTGAACACAGGAATCAAGATCAGCAGATCAGCTCTCCATATTTGAACCACACCTGGACAAACACAGTAAGGACACCAATAAGTGTCTCAGCCTTCGCAATTCACTTGCCAGTTCCATTATAGGTCTCAACTGTAATAGATTTTACAGACATGTGAGCTCAGAACAGAGGGCGCAGTTGCTTCAACTGGTTCAACTGCCCATGTTATCAACTGATTACGAACCATCCATTTCTAATATCCAGATTCATGTCTTATTCCCAAGTGCCGAAGCTCTCTTCCCTCACTTACACATGTGTATACATCTGCTTGGCTCAAATTTACCACCCTTTGCAAAGCAAAATTAAATACATCAATATCACAGATTACTAGAAGCATGGGTGGAATGCTATCTAGACTTCTGTTGCAGACAGAGTTGTAAGGTACTGCATTTTATCAGCACGCCGTCAGGTGTAGATGGACGAGCAATATTCACTTGCAGTTGACATATTTTATCCATAGCGGACAAGAAAAATGGTGGTCTGCCGATCTAACCCTTTGCTACCCCTTGTGCCTCAAATGGTCCTATAGAAACACGTTGCCACTTCTCTCACTTCCTTTACATTCTCGTTCTGTGAAATTCTTGGCTTAAATCTGAGTCAATACCCTCTTCTAAACTCAATGGAAACACAAGTAACCGGATTTGCCCAAGCCTAGCCATAGTTCCCCTCATCTCCCCCTTTCTTTCCTCTCTCTGCTGTCTCTCCCACTGTCAACGTTTATGGCTGCAAGCCTGCTAGCACAGGGACTTGGCCTTTTTGCTCTTGCTGCTCTGTGAAGCCACATGAAAGCAGCTGGCATGACAAAACCAAACACTCAGTGACAACGCAGATCTAGCACTCATCGCATGCAATAATTTGCAGCTCTGGATTTAGCAAAAGTTCAATGAATATTTTGTGTACCCCAGTGCTTTTTTGCTGTTGTTAGCAGTCGCTCCCATTTTTTTCTCTGCATATATAATATATACAAATGCATGAATCAACCCTGTAATGCCTATTTATGCTATGGAAATGATGACTAATAAAATTGGCACAAGATAACAAAGAGAAAATTACTCTGAAAACACCAGTATACACTGGCATGCACTATTAGGATCGTATGGGCTCACTGGAAAATCAAGCTAAGTCATTGGAAAATTACCCTGTGTGATTCATTCAGAATTAAGCCCTTTGAAGTCCAGCTGAATTAACTGGGATAGTTAAGCATCTCTTTTTCTCCATTACGATAAGCAGGATTGTAAAGTACAAAATGTTGGCTAGACTGAACCCTGCAATTTTTCAGCAAACCCTTTTGGAGGATTAGACTGTGAAACACCTCTCTACATAAACAGGGTAAGGCAAGATTGACTTGCAGTCCACCTAAGCCCACGTTTGGTTCTTACCAATTGTATGGGATGCAGGCTCCATCTCTTCTATCTGAACATGCCTGGCACCAGCCGGAATCTCAAACATTTTCAAAGCACCCACTGAAAATTGCAAAGAAAAGAAGCCATTCTTAAACTGGATAGTACTCCAGTCAGACATAAGGTCCACAAAAACACTCCTCTTGGATTTGCAAGCTGCAGAAAGCTACAACCGGAGGAAATGCTTTTTAAAAAACTGCTTTCTGTTTTGCTGCAACTACAACATATTAAGTTAAGAATGTGTTTAATGCCTTGGGAACTCTCCTGCACAAACCACCTTGAAAGGTACGGAGATATCCCCTGTGGACTTGGTAACACAATCCAAACCTACAGATCGTAAGTATAGTTAAGTCATTGAAAAGTCTTCCTGAGCTACTAGGTAGAGGGTCAATTATAATGCTATTTTTTATTCTGTGTACAGAGAGTCATTCTTGGGTAGCAAAAAGTGTGCACTTGTTGTAATTAATGAGAACTGAATGGAAAACATGTCCAGGGGCATTATATAAACAAGACACTTCATAGATTGCACAGTCAAATTTTGTACTGCACTAATAATTTGGTCTGTGTGACCTCCTATGTTAATTCAGGTGCTGTGTATATTGCAGAGAGCACTCTGTGCTTGGAAGCACTGTATGATGCTTTCTGCTTGTTTCCAAGTCAATGTTATCTTTCTATTCTCACCTGATTGCTTTGGGGTTTTGGCTAAAGTCCCCTTCACTGTCCGGCAGTGGGAATTGTCACCTCCACAAACACCACACTTGTCGTCCTCCTTCAGAGAGCCAATTTCTTTGTCACACCCAACATGCTGTCAGAAGAAAAACCACAAAAATACAAAGAAAATGGTATGAAGGGCAGAATGTTGAAGTGGCAGCCTTATCAGCCTCCTCTCCATAGTACTTTACTTTGTATTCTGCTCAGCAATATTATTTTCCATGAAGTGGTGAAGCCAATGTGGAACTTTAGGTCCTATTCATCTTTCAATAAAGGCCTCAAGGAGTCAATTGATCCTTGATTCTTGCTATGCTTATAGGATAACACCTTGATAAAACCCATGCTCCTTACAACGTCATATCTTGTAAATGTAGCATGCCAACTACTGTTGGTGGATGACAATGACATCTGGCAGCCTTCCCAATGTGTTGGCCTCCAGATGTTCAAGACTTCAGCTCCCAGGATTCCTGAGCATTAGCTATGCTGACAGGCACTAATATGAGTTAAAGCCTAAAGCATCTAGAAGGCTCCAGGTTTGAGCAGGCTAACATATGGGATGGATGGCCATCAGGTGGGCAAAACCAATCCACAGTTCCTTAGTTTTATTTATTTATTTATTTATTAAAACATTTTTATGCCGCCCCATTCGCCGAAGCCTCGGGGCGGCTTACAACAATAAATAAAACCAATAAGTTAAAATATACATATAGATAATCATAATAATTTAATAATTTAAAACACACAATATAAAATAAAATAGTTGCTGTATTTATGTTTTTTTAAGACTTCTTACAAATCAGTAAACAAAACATACTTTCAAATAAATCAAAACCTGGAAAATGTGTTTCTTATTACTAATTTTATTTGTGTAACACCCAATAGCTGAGATTCTCTGGGTAGTTTACAGTACCACAATTATAAGCTGTCACAAATATCTCTGTTGCTAATTAAACTACTAATCATACATTACATGGATAATATACTAATAAGATAAAAAGCTGAAAAAAAAGAGAGGAAGGCTAAGATTTGGTTTCTTGAGTGCAACTTTCATATAAGCACACACCAGTCTCTATTTGGTCAAAGGCTCCTGAGAGATTCTTGGCAGCTGATTAATTGACTGATTCCAGATGAAGGGATCCAAGCACTACCAGTCTAAAGGAACGGGGCAACTGCTTCACCCAGGCCGTCTTAATAGACTTGTTGTGGGGAGAAAAAAAGACAGAAGAACAGTGGGAAGGCAAGGGAGGGCTACAAATGGCAGACAACAATGCCTGGGCAACTATCAGTGCCCTCATAAAATTCTGTGAATGCAAGCAGGGCAATCGCACAATAGAACTCTTGTCTGGAAGCACCCTTAACAGGAACAAATAAGAACCCCACTCAACTTGCTTGGCTGTAGAAGAATCTTTAGAAAGGATTCGTCATCAAATTAAAGAGAGAATATCCCAGATACACATTCCATGATTCTCTTCTGTTCTCTTCCAAATGTTCAATACAACAAGTAAAACCAAACCATCCAAAATTAAGTGGCTTCTGTATACCTTGGGCATGAAGATTGTATTTGTAAACTTGGGAAGGATGCGGGAGCAAAAATGGTCTGACAAGCTATGCTTGATGGCTTTCAGGACCAATGGAAAGTTTAGGCAGTTGGGTCATAGAATATCACAAGGATCAGTGGAAGTGGGAGAGGAAATGGTGGATGAGGGGACTGGTTTGCTTCATCACCTTACAGCTTTCTGAACACTGGAGTGGGAATGGAGGCTGTGTCCCATGACAGTTTTTAAAACCAGAAAATTCCTCCCTGAATTATATAGGGGGGTATCAAGAATGGGAAAGAGGGGGAAAGGATACATCTTTTTCCTTGGTGACCAGAAAACTTCCCCCCTCTCCAGTGACAAAGCAATAAAGCGTTTGCTTAAAGCCCCAAACCTTAGCACTTTGGTGCAACACAGAACCGTGAAGGGAGGCTCCAGGAAAATAGGAAAGGAGAAACTGCTTGCATTTCCTTCCCTCTTTTGCAAAACCTCCTTATCCCATCCCACCTGAAGAGCCCTGCAGTGCTTCTATTAGAATATAGTGCAACATATTGTTGCTGGTCCTAGCATGTACCTTTGGTATTTCCATTCTTTTATTTTATTATTTAAAACTTTTCTATACCTTCCCATCGCAGATGTCTCTTGATTCTTTCAGCTATCAAGAATAAAACAAAACCCTTTCTGTCTTTCCTTCTTTCTTGATCAATCTGCTCATACAGTTTCTCTTCTTAGGAATATTTCCCAAAGGATCTGAGTGACAAAGATGTTTAGGATTTTGTATGTAATGACCTGGTTGATAGCTACTTGGAGGCTTTATCAAGCAGTCATGTTGTCAATGACAAGGTTGGATTGCAAGATAAAGTGCACTTCCAGTAACTGTATAACAGTTCAAGGCGGACTTCCATAACCTGGTGCCCCCCCACCCCCCAAATGTTCCTGACATCTTCAGCCAGAGAGAAATCATGGGGTTGATCATCCCATACATCTGGAGGGCACTAGTTCAAAGAACATCGGTCTAGTAGCTTTCAAATGTTCTTCCTCTAATGGAATGCTTTTCACATTGATTCATCAGCCAAGGATACCCTGCATTTCAGCCATAGTACTCCAGCTTGTTACTGAGGACTGGCAGCATTCTTTAGTTCATGTACCCCATTCATGTGGGGCACATTCCAGGCCTCACTTGAACTGAGTCTTAGAATACCACCAACACTCCTCTGCAGTTGCGCATTTCATGAGAAGATGATAGTGGCAGGCTGGCTGCCTTTAAGGCAAGCTTGAATTTTGTTGCTATTCTGAGGAACTTCAGGTAAGGTTTTGAGGTTTCCCGGAACACATCTGAAATTCACTGGTCAAGGGAATGGAATAGCCCTAAGATTTTAAAACTGTAAAGAACTGCTTATGCAGAACAACCTAAGCATGTACTAGTGTTCCTGGCATAAGAAGAATTCATTGTATTGTTCTGGAATATCATAAGACATTATTTATTTATTTATTTATTAAAACATTTCTATGCCGCCCCTTGCCAAGGCCTCGGGGCGGCTTATAACATTGAATACATTAAAACTACAACTGTCTCAAGTTAAATACCAACTTTATCTAGCATCAAAATAACCTGTACAATCTGCTATCCAACTGGTTTAGAAGATATTTGAGGAGGAAGAATGGTATTCAAATTGCATCAGAGCATCATTTTTGTTAATCCTCAGAATCAGAATCTTTCTATTATCCTGCAGGCAGCAAGAACTGTCCAGGGTTTCAATCTTTATCTAGCAAGCATCATTCTGTTTACTGAGCAGATAGCTATAAATGCTAACGCAGTAAGCTAGAAAATATATTGTTGTCACCTCAATTACAGCCATTATTTGCGCTGCAAATAAATTGCTGCCATCCATAAAAAAGACAGGGTGGTTGGCACTTGCAGCATTTGGACTGCGGCCACAGAGGCTAGCCTACTCATGCAGCCACAGACTCTTTGGGTGGCCCTGTAGGAGCACATTAGCATCTGGATCTGCAGAATGGCAAGACAGAGAGCACAAAAATGGAAGGCCACAATCCTCAAGACACAGCTAACATGGATGGCTGAGGGATGCTCAGACTTTTTAATAGGTTGGCATTCCCTATACTTCGAGTGCTCACCAGCAGCAGAAGTGGGGGGGGGGGTTTGTTTTCCTATGTCCTATTTAAATAACACCCACTAAGATAGTTTGTCTAAGAAACTGGGCATCAACAACTTATTGTTCATTTCTCTTCAAATCAACATTATATTCTGAAGGAATTTTAAACTACGCCTGAGCCAAATAATTTCACATTCTTCACTCTCACCATCCTCAGCTCCCTTTGTCCACGTCCATGCTTTATCCTGGTGGCCAGGGCAACCTATGTGATTTGTGAAGGACATCAAGGACACTCAAACAAAACCATGAAGGGATGTGTGATAAACAACTAGGGATGTATGATGAATTCATTTCACGCTGTTTTTTAGCAGAATTTACCAAGTTCACTCCCTTTGCATCAAATGCAGAACTGTACAAAATCTGTTTGCGAAGTCCATACAATGTGATTTGCAAACCAAAATAAATGCACTCCACAGCATATGTACATTTGAAAAGTGTGCATGAAAAATGTGTACTTTAAAAATGCACATGAGTACATTTGAATCAATGGGAAAAGAATGCATAATTTGAATCAATGCGGAAAGAATCTATATATATCAAAGATGCATACAACTGATATGAACATTTGGAAAAGCACAAAAATACAGATGGATATTCATGTAAAAACCAACAAAGATTGCAATTTGATATGGACTCAAGTTGGAATAAGACTTGAAACAAAATTTGGAGAAGTTTGGTGAGTTTGACTTCTGCTGATCTGCATATCCTTAACCCACAACCAAGTGGATTCAAGAAAAGTGTGGATAAATACAATTGTGGACCACGACACCAAAAGAAGAGAAGTGATATGCCAAGAAGCTCTCCAAAGGAGCTAGAGAATGCCAAAAAAAAACGTAGGTGATTTTTTTCCAGCAGTCTATTTGCTGTCCTGAACATGCTACTTTGGAAGCAAATATGACCTTACAGTGCATTTGGTACAACTCTGTTTTAAGCCTCCTTCACAAAGATCAACAAAGAAGCTAAAGTCAGTAGTTGAACCGATATCTTTAAAAGTGTCCTTTGCTTGCTTTCTCCCCTTTGAACACAAAAAGTATAGGAAAACTGGTGAACCTGCAGGTTCAGTTACATACCACACACTCCCCCCTCACACAGACACTGTACGGGTCTCTATAGCTGCACCTGGTGCCATCATGAACAACCTGATTCATAAAGACCACGTCTCCAGTTTCCTCAGACTGGCAAATCAGCTCGCACTTCTGGGCATCTGCAGTAAAATAAACACAGAGAAAAATATTTGATATTGTGCATGGATGATTTAGACAAAAGTGAAACTCAGTATTTTGTAATTCAGTTTCCTGAGAACTAAAGCATTCTTTCTAGACTTCGTGGATGTTAAGAAATGCTTCCAAAAGGTTCTGTAGTGGTCTCCTCTTTCTATCAACCCTTCCTTATTTGCCACTAAAATAAACATGCCATGTTCCAACAGCTTAAGAAACTGAGTCATGTTAGTGTAATTATGCAAAGCTGCTCAGTAAATATATGCAAAGATGCTTAATCAATCATTTAATTTGACTTCTAGCCTATGGCTGAGAGCAGCTTACAGCAGTTTTCTAAACATTAATAGTTCAGTCCTCAAGGATCTCACTATTTGCATCATTTTATAGTCACGCATCAAGACCAAGGCATGGAGCTGGCACCCCCCAAAATCACATGCCACATCTGGCCCACCCTGAAGTGTTGAGCACAGACCTCTGAAAAGGGGAATCCAATGCACATAGAACATGGCACACTAGATTATCTTCCCAGATGACTGGCCCTGCTAGCTGGGGCTGATGGGATCTGCAGTCCAACAACGCCTGAGAGCCACACACCTCCCCACCCTGATCTTAGGGCCTAAAGGCAGTCATGCCATGATCAGCCCCTGTTCAAAGGAGCGGGTCCTCGGAATGCCTCGCTGACTTACCATCATGGTGTTCATAGGGAAGCCAAGTGTGCTTAGTGTTTTGGTGAGTATAATACGAGTTCCGCTTGGAGCATTGCTGGGCACGGAAATCCTCATAGGGGCCCCGGCACTCATCCATATTACAGACCTGGTACTCATACATGGCTCCTGGGCAATGACGCCCCCCATAGGCTGGGCTGGAAAATAAGTTACGGACTGGTTAGGAAGCAGTGTACTCACATTCCACAAACACCCATAAGCAAGAACTGCATGTAATTTGATTCTTTTCATTTCTGATACTTCTGATTCGTTATATCAGGTGCTTATAATAGCTTGTGCTTGGCCAAGCCCAAGAATTGGAAAGGCAGGGCATGGGCCCCTCGAAAGGCCAGAATTAAATCCAACTAATGGGTAGAGAGAATTCTCGAGGCTCTCCCCTTTCTCCTTCTGTCCCTTGCCTGTCTCTTCCCAGAGTTAGAGCACATATTCAGCTGACTCCTGTGAGGCCTCTGTTGCTAGGCCATACCACTGTGGACTCCAGGTGGCAATCAAACATCTGAACCACTTCCCACAGTGAATTCAAGATGAGAAGAACAAGGAGAAGCATCACAGTCTAGCCAGCTCCCTGACATGGTGCAATTATATCTAGGATGGAGTTTTATGAATAGAAGGATTCAAACATTCTAGCTCATGCTGAAAGTGTAAATCCAGCAACTGAAAATGCAGGTTTTGTGATTTTTATACTACACATTGCTCTACATTAAAGAGTGCAAATATCCTCCATTTTACTTCATTCCCAGGGTGCCAGACATGTCCACATGAGCACCTAGCAGCTGCTGGGGGGCCCACAACCAACACGGGTGTCTGCCCTGGTTCCCACACCAGGCCACAGTTGTGAACCACCATTTACAATGCTGTAACTCATGCTATGGATCGCTGTGGCATGTGCAGCTCATAACGACAGGGCAGCTCATAACCGCACCCACCAGGTTAACCACCACCGAGGGAGCCCACTGACATAGGGAAGATCTCACGGAGCACACATCTCAGGAGGGGTTCATGGCAGGAGGGACCCATCGAGTCAGAGCCGGCCCTGAGGAAAGGTTCCCCCCACCATTCAGGGGAATGGCACTAGCTCCATTTGCTGGCATTAGCTCCACACCACAGCACTGACTTTACAAGAGCTGAGCAGGACTGTCAAAGGCAGGCCATTCTCAGGGGTGTTCATTCATAGGCCTGCCCTAAGTCAGAGATAACTCAATGGCATAAAAAGGCAACTTCATTTTAAAGATTCTCAGTTGCAAACTATGAAATGCCCAAAGGCTGTAAAGGGAAAGTGGAAAGAATCTTCTTTCCATGTTCAATAAACTGCCCTAACTTTTCCTAGGCCTATGTCTTCCCATGAACACCCTTCTGATTTTCAGTTTGTTGTTTAGTCCCAAAGTCGTGCCCACCCCATCACGACCTCACGGACAACATTCCTCCAGGCCTTCCTGTCCTTCACCATCCCAAGTCCACCCAAGCTCACACCCACTGCCCCAGGGACTCCATCCAGCCACCTCATCCTCTGCCCTGATTTTATTACCAGATATATATACAGGAAAGGGGCTCTTCCACCCCCTGCCAGATACCATCCTCCAAATGGCAGCCTGATTTAGCTGAAGGCTGTACTTACGGTGGGTTGTTACAGTTCCTGCTGCGGGAGCGTACCCCACCCCCACAAGTCCTGGAGCAGGAACCAAATTTGGACCAGGAACTCCAGCTGCCATCCTGGCTGTAAGGTTGTTCCGAAGTCTTCCAGATACAGTGACCCTTGAAACACCACTGGAACAGGAGAAGAAACAGGGGTTACCTGAACACCTGCCTCTTCATAACTGTCCAGTGTTAGTGAGGAGGGCAGTTCTACTGCCACGGAAGCACCCGGCTTTACAATAGGGTTCGGAATCTGTTTCTCCCACTCTCATTGGTCAGGCAGACAGTGACGACTGTGAAGTCACGAAACCTTAAAGTAATAAAGAAAGGTCTCAGGGGGCCTGGGTGGCACAGTAGATTCATGAAAAAATGCCTCTGGAACACCAAATTTATAGTTTGGCACAAACTAAAACCATATTGAGGTCGACATTTCTATCCCTACCCTTCTTCCCAACCCACATGTCAGAAGCTTGCAGTATGTTCTTGGAAAACTTAAAAGACTGCAAAGGAAAGCAAGGGGGAAACCTGCAATTGTGTTTGCCATGACTCCAGTAAAGAGAAAGCAAGAAGTGCTCATTCTTGTTCCTGAAAATGCAGGTGGGTATATGCCAGGGAGCTGTTGCTAATCAAGATTCCCTTATGTGTGACCCTGAAGGTTTGGTGATGCCCAGCTGACTGTCACACTTCCCTGCAGGAAACATCAATTCAAGGACAGCAGAGCAGAGACAAACACAATTACCGAGTGGTGAAAAGTAAAGGCCTGTGCTGGGTTCATTTTATGCATTGATATTTAATTTATAGTTTGCTTTTCCATTCAAAGATGCTCAAAGTGGTTTACAACAAAGAATTACATCATCCTAAAATATGGCACTGTTTAATTTGAAAGCATTTCATTTTAAAGCCACCAGTTAAGAATGAATAATAACAGCATCTGAATAAAAACGTCATGGAATGGCTAGGCAGAACAAACGGTACTTCATACCAGATGTTGAAATGCCTCAATGATTGCTTGTCTGGTGGGCCCATCTGAGCAGAGAGGTCTACAGTCTGAATGCCACCAGGAGAAAAAGGTCAGTTTCTAGTGACAGTGATGTTTCTCTTGTAGATCTTAATTCACCAACTTGGTGAGGGGCTGTGTGTGTGTGTGTGTGTGTGTGTGTGTGTGTGTGTTTGCTGGATGTGGCGGGGAGAGAAGGCATTCCACAGCCCAGGGTATTCATGACTCAACCATATAGGTCTTAAGAGGTCAAGCTGAAGCCTGAGGTTAGTGTGGAAGGAAACTGTGATGAGATTTGCTAAGAAGGATTGGGTTAAGACATGATGTAAGTCTTCCTGTTGTATCTGGGCTGGATCTTTCTTCTCAGGTTGACAGCAAAAGGGATAGAAGCAGTGGCAATACGATCCACACTGATAGGGTTCTGTGAGCATGACAAAAGTAAAGCCTCCTGCTCCTGAGGCTAATTTGGGGTCTCTGAGTGAAATCTCAGCATATCGGTGTTAACAAACTAACGCCCTGTTATGATTTACTGCTGTGCAAGATATCTGGTACTTTTGCACTCATTTTTAAAAAAGATTTAAGTCAGGGGTCTCAAACTCTACTTACCTGGGGGCAGTCTGGGTGAGGCTGGGCCGCATCAAGTATTCCACCCCCGTGGTGGTGGTGGGCCGCTCATCCCGCGTGGCTCCCAGAGGCCGGCCTGGGTGCCGCCGGCGCTGTGAAGGCTGCAGGGCCCCTCCCCCGTGCCCCACCCACCCGGCAATTGGCCCGCAGGCCGCGAGTTTGAGACCCCTGCTTTAAGTATTTATATGATGTGGCAAAGTGTTTCTTTTTGCCTTCATGTGCATGCAAAGATATTTTGCTGGGGCGAAACATTCCAGACCTTTACTAAAAATGAAACTAGTCCATATTCTATTAAACAACATTGGTACCTTGCCTGACGCACACTCAGTGCCATCCAAGGGCGGTCCTTTCTTTGTTTTACAGAAGTACGGGTTGTCTGGATGGCTGCACCACAACTGCTTGCAAGGATCAAAGGTTCTGAACTGTGACGAAGAAAAAAGCATGCACACAAAAAGGGGAATCTCTGTATGTTTCTTCAGCAGAAAGGTCAAGTTTCTCATACATATCAGCATTTCAACTTCTGATCTAGCACAGTTACAACCAATTTAAAGAAACCTATCTTAAGGTGCAATCTTATGCAAGTTAACACAGAAAAAGAACCTGCAATGTCCAGCTGGCTGGTGTCTGGATGGTGGTGGTGATGATGAGCATAACAATGTAATAATAGCATTATAATAGGCCTTTTTCTATCTGAGCTGGCACAGGGTTGAGCTCTCAGCCACCAGAGAGTAACTTCTTAATCTAAGGACATGTCCAAGGTTGTGCACCATCCTTTGCATAAATGCCCCTTTGCATTTAACAGAAGCCCACCTTGAATGAAGCAAGTTAAGCCTTTCTGATCACCTTATCTATGAGATACATACCAGGAAAAGATTCAGTGGCTTTAAACTGCTCTCCAGGCTATCTGTGAAACCACAGCAACTGGGGCCTGCTTGAATGTTCTTTTAAGTAATCCCAGCCTAGATGGTTCTTAGCTCCCTATTATATCTTATTTTAAGTATCTATATATTATCCCTTCACCCTTTTTGATTTTAGAGTCATTTACAATGGCACTGCCTATCTTTCCCAGTTTGATCTCTCATATGAAATGTACACCTTCCATAAGTCCTGTTTTCATTAGTAAACGGTCCTGAAATTTTTGCATAATTTGATTTATAATTCTGATTTAAGCCTGTCATGTTAAAGCTGTTAAATAACAATATAGCTTTGTCGCTTGCAATGTTTAGAAATGTGACAGCTTTAGGGCATCTTCCTTTATACTGAATCTAGTTGTTGTCATAAACAAATTCCAGTAGGAACCAGTTCCAGATGTAAGCAGGAATCAGTTGAACTGAAATTACTAAGGCCTTTCAAATGCTTCTATCCTTCACATTTATTCAGGCCAATCTTGGCTTTCTGATCAGAATTCCTGTATAAGGCATACGTTTGTCTCATTTACATGTATGTATAGGGGTAAATTACACAAACATAAGAAATGTAATAACTGGAGGCTTTGCCTCAGCAGAACACACACTCATATGCACAAGTAAGGGCACCATGTTTTCACTGATACTCCCACCAGCAAATGTAAACCTTCCACACTGTCCCCTAAAAAGCTTCTCCTAAGGGTTGGGAAACCCTCTGAAATAGAATAATAAAGGGAAAGAAGGGGACATAAGCAAAACTCAGATGTTCTGACTCATACAAAGGGAGGCACTTTCCCCTGGGACAAAAACACCAATGGATAAAACAGCCCATTGTGGGAAGCAGCCCTTGCTGAGCTGAATTTTATTTACGGAAAAAGCAAGCAGACAGAAGAAAGACTGGGCCCTGCCACCTGGATCTCTGTACTCACAGCTGTGCATGTTTTGTAGCCCACACCAAAGTCAAAGCGACATTGCTCATCCATAGAATAATTGATTCCTGGCAGCTCAGGCAACTTGGGCCAATCATGCTCAAAGGGATCATCCAAGAGGCAATCATAGGAGCTGTAGCATCGGAAAACACACATTGCATTAGAGGCCATATTTTTCTAGCAGCTTTGCAATCTTTATTGGGCCCCAAAGGGTCTTATATTCTTGATCAGTTGGACACTCTAGATGGGATTTTGTAATTTAATCTGACTTCAAATTATTCCCGTCTGTCGTTTCAGTGTATACTTTCCTTACCCATGCATTCTATACAGAAACAACAGTTCACAAGTCCAGAGTGAAAACAAAGCAAAAGAAAAGAGGCAGAAGACCTACTGTATGTAACGGTTCAGCTCTTGCTTGCTACATCGGGACCAGTGGTAACGGTGGAAGGCAGCCTGCACCAGTGGTGCCATGATGCTCCCCATGCTCGTTTCATCAGCGCATCGGTTACCTTGACCATCATGTTCCATACCTAACCTGTTAAAAAAGGCCCATACATTGTGCTTCCCGAGGTATATGAAACAAAAGTGAACGGTTTAAGATCAGCAGCGTTTCGAACACCGCTGTTAACACATCCCACATGTTCAATGCCACACGTACAGGACTGTCATGAAAGCAGCATGAGTCATTACCAGCTGGCCTCGCTTTCTGCATAAGGCACAAAGTGCAAGACTATCCCCCAAGGCTACCAATGAAGTTTATCAGGGAACCCATCAAGGATAGGTGCCCATCCCTCTCCAGGGCACAGTATTAATAAAATGAGCAGCTCATTTTACACCACTTTCTGCTACCCACATATATATTTATGCACACCCTGTACAGGCAAGGAGCTGAATGTTGATTTGCATAAGCCCATAGAACCAAAGTAGGTAACGTGGTACTCTGCATATGTTTTGGACTATGACTCCCACAGTTCTTGACCATTGGTCATATTGGCTGGAGCAGGTGGAAGCTGCAGTCAAATACGCCTGAAGAACAGGATGTGCTTGCCATATGGGAATGGCCAGATGATGATGGATGACAGGTCTTAACTCTCCTCTGAGATCATCCTGACAGGAATGAGTTCCAGGATAATCAGGTTCTAAAATCGAGTTATCCACACGCTACACTTACTAGTATGAAAGGCAGCAGAATGGTCTCAAAGGATCAGCAGCGCACCGTTTCCTTTACTGATTTTCAGCCCACTGCAGGACTTGGTTTGGCACAGACCCAACTACCTAATGCTCTGCAAGTACACCTGAGATTGCAAGGTGATGAACACTTCTACGACCTTACCCAAAAAGGAAAGGTTAAGAGACTAGATGGCAGATGGCCAGGGAATCAACTTCAGAAGTAGAGAGCTTTTTCAACAAAGGCCTGGTATTTAAAGTTCTCATTAAGCAGGCAGCTTTTAAGAACAAATGCATCTGAAAGCATTGCAAGCCCTACCAAGGTTCAATCCAAGAGGCAACAGTCACACGAGTTGCATGACAAGTAGGGAATAGCCTGCCCCAGCAACTTACACATGTCCGGTCTCGTGGGCAACCACAAATGCCGAGGAGAATCCGTCTTCATGATTGAGGGTGCAACTGCGGAGAGGGTGGCACATGCCCGTGACAGGCGCATATCCTGGAATAAGGCAGAGCAACCAAACAGAGAACAGGAACAAAGGCAGAGAGATAGAAAGCGGAGGGGGAAGAAAACAAAGAACACATGAGAAAGAAGGACCCAGATGCTGTAGCTGCTTCGATCGTCCTTCGCTCACAGGTCCCTCTAGAAGGACATGAGCCCCACAGCTGCCTGGGAATGCAAATGAACCCCATTAGGACAGTCCATCACTTCTGTTCAGAAAGCAATTACTCTTGGAAAGTATTAAAATGATAAATGGTTTAAATCTCATGCTCGTGCAGACACACACGGACACGTGCTAACCAATAACTTCATTTAATTCATTTCCATTTAGCATTGGCAGGATGACGCAGAAGGGACAACATTCAGACAGGCTAGCAGAAAGTCTCTCTCAAGCAAAATGCAGTCTATGCATCATCTACTGGGAGCACCTGAGCGCACTGCTATTTCGGCATTCCCAGGCAGGCAGCAAACACACAACGTTAATCGGTTCTCCAGGGGGCCACTACATTCAGTTTGATGAGTCCCAGTTGTTCAGGCTTGCAGTGGAGAACACAGGAGCTTCTCGGCAAGGGAGGGTAACAGAAGCAACACGATACTCAAGCTCATGGCCACGAGAGGTTTACAACACGTAGCTCTTAGGCTTATCCACGGATCGTCCCTTAAATAAGCTAATAGGAAATGGACACAGCTTCTTCAAAGATTAGCCACTGGATGTCACAAGGCTCAATTCCTGACACATGCACATGAATTTACATTCATGGAAGGACAGGCACAAATGGTACACTCAAACAGCACAACTGTGAACCATTAAGATCAAACACTGGGTATTAGTTTCAGCTCAACTTATACGACCCATCAGGTGCTTAACGCTCTTCAGCTAAAGCAATCAAAACGTCTTGTATGTAAATCATATATTTTAAGTTCGTGAGTGAGGAAGAAAAAAATGGGGTGGAAGGGAGAGAGAGCCACAGCTTCCTTGCTGGAATGGCTGCTCTACCTACTCAGCTCAGGGTGGAAAAGCGGAGAACATGAAACCAGAAAATCCCAAACATGGTATAAAAAGGCAGGTGTGAGTCCAGCATCCCTGGAAACACCAGCAAAGCCCCCCAGTCAAGGACCATGTTGCCTCTGTGACCACATGTAACACATATGTTGCAGGAGCGAAGGGACTAATGACCATGAGGACACACCAGTGCTCCCAAACGCACACGATGATCGACAGCAGCACCAGCCAGCAGCGCCCCCAGCCCTGGCCCAGGCACGGATGACCTCGGTGTTGACGTTCTTCAGGCAGGGCTTCAGAGCGCTTTATGCCCCAGACAAGCACCATGTCTGATGAAGGCACAGCACAGCACAGCACAGCACTCCACCCCACATACTTCCTTGTACAGGACACCTCAGAGAGTACATAGCACCTTCCTGGAGCAAGGGTTCGAGACCTGTCCAAGGAAGGAATGGCTCTTTGGTCAAGTAACAAAGAGAGAGCCCCGGACATGGTTTGCCAGTGAGATTTATTTTGCTTGTAGTGGTGTTAGATGTTGTGAGCTGCTTGAGAGCTGATTGGACTGAGAAAGTAGAATACACAATTCTAAGAAATTAAGGAATATCAGAAGTCACGGGCATTCTCTAAGACATAGGTAGGCAATCCAGTGCCCTTCAGATGTCTTGGGCTACAGCTCCCATGATCCCTGGCTATTGGTCAGGTGGCTGGGGCTGATGGAACTAACACTCCAAGATATCTGGAGGGAATTAGGTTGTCCACTAAGTTATGAAGAGCCCAAGACTTTAAAAAGTAACTGCCCACTTGAACTGGGATAAGAACCAGAGTGGAAACCAGCATGAAAAATCAGAATGGAAGAAATGAATGGTTCATCCTAAGGAACCGGAGGATGGAAGAAATCAACAGCACAAGGTTTGGCTGCCAGATCTTCAGAGGCAGTCTCACATCAAGCTTGTCACAGCAGTCTAGGGCAGAGGACACCGATCAGGGAAGGTGACCGGGGCCCTGACAGGAAGGAAGAGGCTACAGTGGGATAGCCAACTAACAGTGGAGAAAAAATGCTGGCATGGCAGGACAAGGGACACAGATCTGTTCCGGAGACTGTTACAGGGTCAGGTTTGAGCTGCCTTCGCAGCTCAGTGGAACAGCATGGAAAAATTCACACAAACTGCTCTGCAAGGGGGGCAGGGGGAGAGAGCGAGCAATGAACCTTCTCCCTTCCCCATAATGAACTACCCCACACACAACCCCAAGCCCCACATTCCATACAAACAGAGGCCTCAGCATTTTAAACCAGGCAGGCTTGCCAAATGGAACTGGAAAGTGAGGGAACACTGCCAAAGTCATGAATGGCCACCTTTGTAACTTTGATCTTTCATTTACAATACACTACATAGCTACTGGGTTTAAAGGCCCAGAGCAGTTTCCATTAAAATAAATGGTTTTACCAGGATCAACACTAGGCCCTTTTGGGGAAGGTGAGCCTCCTGCGTGCGCACTCCAATTACCGTCTCAGTTTTGCTGACTGCCTCCCTTGGCTGATATCCCCACGCTGAGCCCAAACACTGCGGACCCGCTGCACTTTCCAAGGAGCCTGCACTTGCCCTGTCCCCTGTGCAATGCCAAGGCCTTTCCAAGTTTTTCATTCCACGGATACCCAGCAGAAGAATGAATTTGAGTGAATCAGGCACCAGGCTTGATCCGCCCAATATGATCATGCCGGCAAGTATTTATAAACGAAAAGATTGGGTAGAACTGTCTTGAGCGAAGGCTACAAACGGATGGGGACATATAAAATAATTCCATAGAAAGGTTCCCAAATGCAATTCCCAAGATTGTTGGTAGCTCATTCAACTAGGAAATGGTAGTTGGCCAAGATTCCTAAGGAGGCAACTCAGGCAATTTAAATATTTAAATTCAATAAAACTATTTCCCAACTGTATCTACCACCACTGGCATGGAGACTGTGAGGGGTTCCAAATTGGCAGTATGAATTATAGTAGATGGAAGGAGCTCATTTCTGTGTATAAGGGCCACATTCTGTTGCTGTTAATCGCCTTTTGAGAGCCCACTGGCCTCTCTGAGCAGAGGAGGATGTGCATAGTCCTACGACTTCCTTTCTAAATGCCTAATATCCCATTAATTAATCCAGCGCTTGGCAATCACCATCATTTTCTTTGCCTTCCAAAGAGGCAGAATGCTCAAACTGTCCTCACCAACCCTCTCCCGTTACTGAAATAAGCCTCACGTTAAGCTCACTGCCTAAAATGCAGGCAGCATATGCTCAGCAATATTCTCCACATAGTCCATGGTCAGCTTGGTGAGTGGGACCTGTTCAATTCTCATTAGGCTAGTTTGTGTGACACATACAAACACACTTTAGGGGTTTTTCTTCATGGTGTTGGTGTAGTTCTGTAAATCTAGGGCTTCTCCCGAGCCTGTGTGTGGATGCTGCTAGTTACTGCATGCCGAGACACACTCCAAGAATGAAATCACCATTTATTTGCAGATGCTGTACAGAATCATATAGTGCTATGATGACTGACATCATCATAGCAGAGTTGGAAGGGCCAGAAGGCCATTGGGTCGAACCCCTCTGTAAAGCCACTGCTGGTCAGTGGAGGCAATACCTCTCTAGGAGGACATTAGATGCCTTTACCATTCCAAGAGATCTCTACTGCTACCAGAGTAAGCAATTAGGCTTTGGTAAACCCCACCTGCCAGTCCAGAGATAACACCCACACTTGTTTTCTCAGGGTTGCTGTATCAATTGCTCCTGAGTGAGACTTGGAGCACAAACACCTGGAAATATATCTAGATACCTTTGGAGAAGCACAGCACAGATTTGTCACAATTCTTTATCAGGCATTCAAATCACCCACAAAGCCTCTCAAATAAGGGACTTTCCAGATGTACTTCTATTTATACAAGGACTATTTAATGCTCATTTAATGGGCGGGCAGAACTCACACGATGTTTTCCCCACTAATACATCCTATACCAAGAAGCTGTTCTGTCCCCAAAGCATAAACATGTGAGAAAAGTAGACCTCAGTCTCTCACTCTCTGCAGGGACCACCGCTTTATTCCTGAGTGTGGCATCCATCACAGAGGCATTAGGATAGCTCCTGGACAGTGCCGGTGAAATTATGCTGCCCAGAATCACCCCTTCCCTTCCCTTCCCCTTTTCATCATTAAAGGACGTGCTATTTTAAAAAGCAGCAGCAGCAACAAAGTTCTTTTTAAGCCTGTCCTTCCCATAATTTAGATCAGGGAGGTGGAACATATGCACTTCCACCTATTTGTTGGACTGAATCTCGCAGGATCCCTCACCGTTGGCAGTGCTGACTAGGGCTGATGGGGAAAGCCTTTGATTGCGTGGATCACAACAAATTGTGGCAAGTTCTTAAAGAGATGGGAGTACCAGACCATCTCATTTCTCTCTTGAGAAACCTATATGCAGGTTAAGAAGCAACAGTGAGAACTGGACACGGAACCACTGATTGGTCCAAAATTGAGAAAGGAGTTTGGCAAGGCTGTATACTGTCACCCTGCCTATTTAACTTATATGCAGAGCACATCATGAGAAAGGCAGGGCTAGATGAATCACCAGTTGGAATTAAGATTGCTGGGAGAAATATCAACAACCTCAGATATGCAGATGATATCACTCTCATGGCAGAAAGTGAAGAGGAACTAAAGAGCCTCTTGATGCGGGTGAAGGAGGAGAGTGCAAAGCTGGCTTGAAACTCAACATTAAGAAAACTAAGATCATGGCATCCACTCCTCTCACTTCCTGGCAAATAGATGGGGAAGAAATGGAGGTAGTGGCAGATTTTATTTTCCTGGGCTCCAAGATCACTGCAGACAGGGACTGCAGCCAAGAAATTAAAAGACGCTTGCTCCTGGGGAGGAAAGCTATGGCAAACCTAGACAGCATACTAAAAAGCAGAGACATCACCCTGCCAACAAAGTGTGTATAGTCAAGGCTATGGTTTTCCCGATTGCAATGTATGGCTGTGAAAGCTGGACCATAAGGAAGGCTGAGCGCCAAAGGATTGAGACCTTTGAATTGTGGTGCTGGAGAAGACTCCTGTGAGTCCCTTGGACTACAAAGCAATCAAACCGGTCAGTCCTAGAGGAGATCAACCCTGAGTGCTCTTTAGAAGGTCAGATCCTGAAGATGAAACTCAAATACTTTGGCCACATAATGAGAAGGAAGGACTCCCTGGAGAAGAGCCTAATGTTGGGAACAATAGATGGCAAAAGAAGAAGGGGACGGCAGAGAATGAGGTGGCTAGATGGAGTCGCTGAAGCAGTCGGTGTGAGCTTGAGTGGACTCCGGGGAATGGTGGAGGACAGGGAGGCCTGGAGGAATGTTGTCCATGGGGTTGAGATGGGTCGGACATGACATGACTTCTCGACTAACAACAACAACAATTCAAGCAGGAGTGATGCACCTCATTATACCCAAAGCAACACCAGCAGCCCTGAAGCAATGTATCTCTTCTTGAAGAATTCATGCTATTTCTGGAGTGCAGTCCTCCCCCAAAATGAAAACAAAGAAGAGAAATGCTCCTCGAATAGCAAGATTTGCCACACAGCAGAACTAGGCAAGATACTTGTAGGAAGAGGGGAATGAATGGGTGCACATGTTCTATGTAAACAGCCAGTGGTTCTATGAGTCTCTTTTGTTCTACCTGAAAACATGAAAGAAAAATTTGCAGCATCAGATTGCAAATCCTCAGAGCAACATTTGAAAACTCCATCCCTTTTTTATATATTTTATTACAGACTATGTGGGCACATGGACCAAAAATCAAAAGTAATGTAAGAGTGGTTGGCCAAGAAATGCTGGGAGTTGTAGCACCTTTTTTCTGTCTAAACATGCACAGTATTCCTTCTGGAATCTTCTGTTGCACCTCAAAGGTGTTTTCTCAGCAAGACAGTCTCTAGGTACTCCCCTTTCCTTATTTATATGCACCCAAATAATCATGATTTTTTTTCTGTTTGCCTTATTTATATGACAAAAGTGCTACACCAAGAACATTCTGGAAAAATAAAATAAAAATTGGTATTATACCCACATGTAACCACTATTGTCAAGAAAGATTTGATGCAAAGTAAACCCAAAGGATTGTTTTCTGGACTCCAAAGAACAATTTCTTGCTATTAGATTATTCCTCAGCATTTGAGAAAACAAACATACATGAATATTCAGATAATTTTCAAGTGATCTAGTCCTATGTATATTTAAACAGACTTCCAAACCTGAGGTCCCCAGATGCTGTTTGACTACAAGAGCCATCATCCCAAGCTGGAATAGAAAATGGCAGGGGATGAGCGTTGTCGTTCTACTTTGGGAGCCCCAGATAAAAACTATTTGTAAGACACCTTTCTAGGCCAAGTCCAGTCAAGGCAAAAAGCAATATATATATAAATAAATGCAGTGTTATAACAACACTTGAAAGTACAAACAATAACAACCTAGTAAAGGCTAAGTCCTGAGATGGAAGCTAACCCTAAGATGTCTCCCCACATCGGAAGTGGAGAGGTCCAGCACTGCCACTCCTCTGCTGTTCCTGCGAAAACAATGGAAAAGACAAGAGGTGGCAGACTTTATTCTTACTTTCAAATGAAGGGAGATTGATCAGGTGCCTACCGTATATACCAGCATGTAAGACGACCCTTGAAATTGGAAATAACAAAGCCAAAATTGAGGGGTGGCGGTCCTCTTATACGCCAGGTGAACATTTTTTATCATATTAAATTCGTCATTTTAAAAGGATAGATAATAAAGACAGTTGTATTGACAAACTTGTTTTTTAATGAATAATCATTAAAAACAAAACTTCTTACTGGTCCCAAAGGAGCTTATCCTGCATTGCATTACTGCCCATGCGGACCTTCTCCCTCTCACTGCCCCCCCATGTCTGCCCCCCCCATGCCCATCTGTGGCACTGACATCAGCCATTCCCATGATTGACCACAGCCAGTCAACCCCTTTGCAGGCTGCCATCAGCCTCCAACTCAGAGAAGAACGTGTCTATTAGCTAGAATACAGTAATGTGGCATCACAAGAGCCTAGAATCATCCAGCTGACAAATACCCATATAACAGCCCAAAATATTGACCTTATTTTATATGCAAGTTGCCTTATACACCAATATATATGGTAGTTCAGTAAGCAAGCTGATACTGACACAGTAAACCAATTGCACTTTATTCTTTTTAAAGTTTTTTACATCATTTGAATTGGCATATTATTTAAGTCTTCTTGGGTGGACTAAAAGATATAACCATTTTGGATTGCTGTGCAAGTTCTTCTGAGGATAGTACAGTTAAAAGTGCAAGCTAGCATTCTTTCCTGGAGTCCAGGGCATTGCTTTGGGGAGAAGAAGGGTACAGACAAGTCGAAAATACTGACCTGCTATTGTTTACAAGAAATTTGTTCTTTGGAAAGTGGCGTTGGGGGAAGCAATGATTTTGGCTAATATTCAAGATTCTTTTCAAATACTTCACCTCTTGCTCACAGCAAAAACAGCAGCCAGAAATGAATGTAATTTCAGGCCAAGTTTAAATTGTGTTGCTCTGCTGAAGAACATTTTTCTCACAGAAGTCTTGGACCACTATAGTCAATGTTTTATTTTGCCTTAGAGAAACCCAGATGTGCTTTACAGAAGTTGGAGACTGCTCACTGAAACTTGCATTTTATATGTAAAGCCCTCCTATTTCAGAGGAACTTTGGTCAAATTACACATTAGAAGGGAAAATATAGGCTTCCCACACCCATTTCCCGTTCATAATGATAATGCAAGCATTCATTTGCAAGGCAGAGACTGCAAGGGGGTTCGGTCCTCTTCCATCTGCCAGTTTTCTCCTCCAAATAGCCCCATGACCTCTATTTTTTGAAGTGTTTTTCCCCAGCCCAAATCCAGTATCAGGCTACAGGCAAAATCAATGTGTGTGTGTGGGGGGGGGGGCACCCATACCATGAAGGCAGAAAAACACTGGGAGACTCAGAGTGGTGGGAAAGAGCTGGAAGTTTGTGCCGCATGGCTTCCCTGCACCGGCTAAGCTAGTTGTGACGGAGGACGCTGCTGTGTGTTAAGATTAAAGTTAAGATTTAATTGCCAGCTCACTAGGACTCCGTACACGGAATGGAGGGCAGGTGCAACCCTGACTTGATTCCCCTGTCTCTGGATAGCAGAGGCAGGCCTAGTACTTCCAGAAAAGAATTAGCAGGCATGAAAAGCATTAAGTGCCCCTGCTGCAGATCCTCCCCATAAATCCCTCTCTTTCGTGGGATTTTGGAAACCCATCTGTCAGTTTAGCACCTCCCCAAATGCCAACTGTCCCCATCCTGCTGCCCTCTAGATTTGTTAGACTGCTGGCTAGGAATGGAGGGCGTTGCAAGCCAAGACGTCTTGAAGACACCTGTTTAAGCAAGGTTACCCTAAGCACTTGTTTAGAGATGCGGGTTTAGTTTGTTATTCTGCATGGCTGCAATTCAGGTGGATGGGCAAGCGGGTGGGCACAACCTGTGACCAACCAAGTCAGACGGATTTCAGTAGCATATAAGACAGTCTGCCAGGGATTCAGTGAACCTCCTCTTTTTGCAACAAGTCTAGAATTGCTGTGCACTGCCCAGAGACCTTCAGCTATTGGGCAGTACAGAAAGTAAATAAATTGAAAAAACAGGGTGGCAAAGGTCCAAGGAGGCCACAATACATGATGGCAGTGAGTTGCATTTGGCTTGGTGGGATACGAGTTATGCATGTGAAAATGGAGCCGTGCCTTTCTCTTACCTCTGAAAGTCATAGGTACATGAAGAATGCAAGAGGACGAACTAGGCTGATGTATGTCTTCCATGCTTCCCACTTAAAACCCAGCTTGCATAGCCTTTTCAGGCGGCCGCTTCAGCAAAGCCCGACAGCAACCTTCCCCAACTTGGTGCCTTCCATTTACTTTGGACTTCCACTCCCATGAGTCCCAGATAGGATAGCCAATGGTCAGCAATCAGGGAACTGTAGTCCAAAACACCTGAACAAAGAGGGCTGCCCCACAGACTGTGGCAATGGCAGCTCTTTCCCATTGATGGCCCTCTCCTCAGTTTCAAAACAGATAGAAGATATTGTCAGGTGCCTGAAAAAATGTATTACAGCCAGTGCATTTCAGAAAAGAATTTCCTTCCTCAGGGGCCACTTACGTTTCTTCAAATATGCCATAGCCTTAGTTCAAAATACTGAAGCAGAAGGAAGCATCAGTAAAAGTTTCTGCAGTATATATGGAGAAAAATAAGCAACCCCCGAGGAAGGAATTCCATTCTGAAATTTCTTGGCCATACTAAAAAGGGTCTTCAGGCACCTGACAATATCTTCTTTTCTGTTTTCTTGAAAACAGAAAAGAAGGTACTGCCTTCCTGTCTCGCTGCTTCCCTCTCCTACGTCCACCAAACTGCACATACCTGATCGAGATAAATACAGTACCTTGCATACCTGCGGGACCAAAATCTTGCCTGGTGAGGAACACGGCATGGTCATGGTATTCAGCATGTTCAGGATCTGAGCGCTGCTGAGAATGGGCCCAGCGGCAGACCTGCTCCAAGCTCCGAGATGGGTTCCCTCGCTCTATTAAACTGATGGACTTCAGAAAACAAGAGAAGAAGAGGAAGGTCTTCTTTCAGGAGCAGTGATGCTGAGTTTAGAGCATGCCAGAGTTTCGCCGGCAGCTCCCAAAAGCGCAAAATCGTATTTTTGACCTAGAAAGGCTTACAGCTAATCAGAAATTTGCTCTGCCATCTCTGCCATCATCAGTCAAAGATTAAATGATAAATGGGTAGTCAATAGCTCATAAGTTTCTCAAGGGAGAGAAGCCAGGAAGATCCAGACAGGCTCTTCCATCTTTGACAAATGATGGAATGAACATGCATATCTGCATAGAGGGACCCCCCCTACACCGCTAGTGACGAGCCAGAGGACAGCCAGACTCAGAGCCCTGCATTTGCTCACTGTTCTCCCTGACAGACAGATCAGTGTATTCAAGCAGAGTGTTGTTTGTTTTTATGTATAGCATTTAGAACAGTGGACCGCCCTAGACATAATGATATTACACAGACCCGCCAAGGCTAATTCCACACAATTTTTCTGTCCTGAAAGCCATTCTGCTCTTCCCCCACCACCTTCACCACCCATCCCATCTCAGGGAAGCTTTCTTTTAAAATTAAAGTTTGTCAATAGGTGCATGAGTGAGGTTGATCTCAAGCTATCAGAAGGCAGCTTGTGTGAAAAGGGTTTTTTTGGGGGGTGGGGGGTGGAAGATCACCGATGTCAACCTCTTTGAAAGTTTATTATGTCCTCTGCCTAAATCATAGGCATAGATGTATGCACAGATGCACATTAAATCCCACTACATGGGAGGGAGGGAGGGAGGGAGGGAGGTGCTACTAGAATTTTACCTGTCTGTATCCGACCATGATCATTCTAACCAGGACAATGTTGATGTGAGCACCCAGTGACTCATCATGGTAAATTTCATCTACCTGAGGAGGAAAACATACGGACATTTTAGGCACAAAGTATGTTCCATCCCTCACCTCATTCATCCTCACACCAACACTGTGGTTATTACCACAGACAAAAATTCGCCTCTAAAAAGTGGACGACACCCAGATCTACTTCAGAATTCCATGCTGAACTAGATTCCAAGTGGGATTCCCTTGGTCTGACATCCTTGTCATAAGGACAATGACTGTAGCCTTCACAAGAAACAGAGAGGGCAATTGAAACCACCCCAGGTAAGAAGATGTTATTTTTTTCAATAGTATTCAGGGCACTGTGACTGGTTTCACACAACTCAGCACTCCATTACCCACAATGGGTTGTTGTGCCGTGCATATGCAGACTGCTTCCCACAGGGTGGCTGGCTTGAAGGCAACACACCTGATCCACTGTTCTAGGGGTTGTTGTACCCGTGATACGGTGCTGTGCCATCTGACTCCAGATGATCGACCCCAGCATAGGTACTGGGAACTGGCCAGCAATTCCCTTAGCAAAACCCCCTTGCTGCTCTTGCCAGCCTTGTCAAGACACCCACCAGTGCCAAAGAATCGAAACGGTACTTGGGACAAACTCACTGACTGGATGCCATGATCATGAACTATTTCAACTCACCACAAGTTTTTGTCATTTTAACTTTTTCCTTTTCAAAGATTGAGAAATCTGGCCTGACAGCCTATTTTTTAGTCACCACACATTGGAGGGGCTGTCAATGATTGGGAAACAAGCATTTAAAACATTTTTCCTGAAAAAAAGGCCTTTGCAGAGCTGCAGAAGCGTGCGGCTCTGTGAGTGCGGTAATTGTAAGTCTCAGCTGGGCTGATATCCTCAGAGGTGCCTGCTATCCAACAGCACAACAGGTACCAACCTGAGCATTGACCTAAGGATGCTCCAGCTGGCCCTTTTCTCTTAGATTTGTCTTGATTGTTGTCAAAGGATGAGCTATCAAGGGAAACCAAAGGCATCGGTGATATTGGCTTGCAAAAAATTGGTTCTAGAATTTACATCCACTTCATAACATCATCACAGCATGTTTTGTTTTGCTTGGTTTTGCTTTGCTTTGCTTTGCTTTGCTTTGCTTTGACTAAGGGTGAGCTCACTGTTCCAGTTGTTCCCTAGATTCTAGGTTACAAGTACCACTCAGAACATTGACTCAACCCAAGCTTTCAGTTCTATGCTTAGAGAAATATAAAACTCTGCATCCGAACAAGTACAGCAAAAAAGGTGAATTCCTAAGCAGTGGCAGCCCCACCAAGGTGTCATCGGGCACTCTGAAGGGAATTTCAGCAGATGTCAAACTGAAGATCTCAAAAGCCAGGTGTCAAACTGGCTCTCACAATCTCCAAAAGAAAAAGCTAAAGTGACAAAAACGCCACAGTGAGCTGAAAACTGATCACACTTGTGGCAGGGAGGGTCCTGTCCCAGTGTGCCGCCAGGGCCCCTGAGAAGAGAGGGAAGGATGGGAGGGAGGGGTGAACAACCCAAGGGGAGAGCAATCACCTGCTCGGCACACTATGGGTTATTCAGGCAACAACCAACCAGGCATGGCTGATTGCCCGGGTGGGTTGACATGACATGCAAGCGCATGCAATAAAAGGATCACTTCACAGGGACTTAGTCACCAGAAGTGTTGCATAAATTGGCAACTCACAGAATAAGAAATCTGAGATAAACATGAGATTAATACATTGTTCTCCTTGTAAAGTATAAAAGAAGCCCTAGAGTACAGTTATAGCCCACTCCATCTTAATAAAGTTAATTAAACCAAGTTTAATACTGCGTCCAAGAGAACTTCCCAGGGTGGTTTTACGTCTTTCCACCTGCCAAGCACAAACAACTTCCTACAGACAGTCCTGAATCCCGAATAAATGCTGGCTGATTTGTAAGCGTTTTCACCAAAGCTCTCTCCCTTCCTCTTCTTTTGCTCCTTCGCTATCCTTTTAGTCCCACTTCTATATCCTCAGACATTCAATAAGTCTTCCATTTTTAAGTAGGAACCTACCATTTGTTGTGGGAATTGGATCTAGCGGAAGGTTAAAGTAATCTTTCATCAGCTTTACTGAAGAGGAAAGGACTATTTAGGAGCAAAATGGATTGCAATTTTTTAAAAAACTGGTTTAATGCCTTTGTTTTTAAAAAAATCACATGGAAATACTTTCTATTTCTGAAGGTCAATGGAATGGTTGTTGCTTTCTATTGAAAAATCTAAAGATGTGGCTGTAGATTAAATATATAACTCATGTGCATGCATTTAGACATACATGCTTTAAATATTTTTAAAATATTCTCAGTGGCAACATGCAGACATTACTCACTGCCCCTCCTCTGCTTTGCCAGCTGCTGAAGGAACATCTTCCATTACCATAAACAAGTTAATCTTGAATTAACAAAATGTACTAATAAGGGTACAAGACTAGAATATGATATCACCAAAAGGAACTAAGAGCAGCTGGGTTTCCCATGGGCAGTCATGGAACATCCTGCAAGAATTTAACAGAGGCAGTGGCCAAGAAGTAGATGGAATTCATCCAGCCAAAGAAAACTGTTCATTTGCACCCAGCTCTGTTTAGTTCCTCCAACTCATTTTTGGGAAACCTACCAAAACCAAAATCTGAAGGTGCTTAGTAAAACTCCCTTAAAAAGAAACCTGGCTAACCTCTGTCTCACTCACTCTATCCTCCTGTAAAAGAGCCTTCAAAGCATGTGGAGGCAGATTCTGAACCAGCCAAAGGGCACAGAGGAAACAGCATCTACCAGGCGCCAAGGCCAATGGACTCAAAGATAAGCCAAGCAGTTGCTAAGAATTAGTTTCAAATTCTGTGGGAAAGTTTAGTGAGCATACTAATGTGGAGAGGAGCAGACAGACATCATTAATCTGTGAATGCAACGTGGGTTAAGAGAGCAGACAGGTTGAGAAGCATCAGACACTTCAAGTGATGGGCCTTGAACTGGGAGGACCCACCTGAAAGGTGTGCTTGTTCTTAGTTGGGAAGAGAGGAGAAGCATTGTCTGGAATCCTATCATTCTTATCATTAGGCCCCATTTCCCTAATGGCCAGTATTCTAACTTTGCTTGTTCTTTTGTTACTGTTTTCTACAATATTCTCCTTTTGTATTACAAAGTCAGCCTGACTGGTCAGCTTTAACACAATAAAACCTTTTAACTGGAAGGCTTTTGTCCAAGTCTGCTTGGAGGAAGGGGAAAAAGAATGACTAGGACACCCCCTCCCTTCCTCTGTTTCTCTCTCTTTCACACACACACACAAAATTCACAGCTGGTGGAGGACAAGAGAGAGAGGGAAACATCTTACCCTCTCATTCCACCCACAGACAAGGTCTATCCCTTCAGCCCAAGATCACCAGAACCTTACTTGGCCAGTAAGACCAAGACAAGCTTTGCTGAACATAGATCAGACGCTGCATAAACAAGAGTTGTGTAATGCACATGCTTTGACACTCCATTCGCTCTCTTTCTCTCTCTTTCAGCTGAACAAGGACATTACAGAGTTGAAAAAAGAACAGAGAAGGGCAACAAAAATCATCCGGGGGCTGAAAGAACTCCCTTATGAGGAGTGGCTACACCGACCAGAGCTGTTTAGCTCAGGGGAAAAAAAGGTGAGGCAGGGGAGATACGATAGAGGTGTTTGAAATAATCCTCCCTTATTTCTCTCCTTCTCCCATAACACTTGAAGCCGGGATCATCTCATGAAGTTCACTGGTGGAATGTTTAGGACAGATAGTAAGAAGTACTTGTCATACAATGCAGAGTGGAACTATGAAATTTGCTGCCACAGGAGCTGGTGATGGCCACCAATCTGGATGGCTTTAAAAGGGAATTCGACAGATCCATGAGTGAGGAGTTTTTCAGTGGCTACTGGTCTTGCTGACTGTGCTACGTCCTTCACCAGAGGTGGTATGGCTGCATGTACCAGCCGCTGAGGAGCTTGGCCAGGAGGAGGTCTCGCACCAATCCTGCTTGAGAGATCCTCTGGGCAGCTGGTTTCCCACCCTGTGTAGGGTGTGCTGGACTAGATGGACCTTTGGTCTGATCCAGCATGGTTGCTCTTGTGTTCTTTCTCCCCATCTCTTTAATAATTTGCCACCATTTGTTGTGATCCATACAATCAAAGGCTTTAGCATAGTCAATGAAGCAGGAGTAGATGTTTTTCTGGAACTCCCTAGCTTCCTCCATAATCCAGCGTATGTTGGCAATTTGATCTCTAGTTCCTCTCCGTCTTCGAAATCCTGACTGTACTTCTGGTAGTTCTCGGTCCACATACTGCTGGAGCCTAGCTTGTCGGATTTTGAACATAACTTTGCTAGCATGTGAAATGAGTGCAATGGTGCAGTAGTTTGAACATTCTTTGGCATTGCCCTTCTTTGGGATCGGAATGTAAACTGACCTTTTCCAATCCTGTGGCCACTGTTGAGTTTTCCAAGTTTGCTGGCATATTGAGTGCAGCATTTTTACTGCATCGTCTTTTGAGATTTTGAATAGCTCAGCTGGAATACTGTCACCTCCATTAGCTTTGTTGTTGCTCAGACTTCCTAAGGCCCACTTGACTTCACATTCCAGGATGTCTGGCTCGAGGTCAGTGACCACCCCACTGAGGTTGTCAGGGATGTTAAGCTCTTTCTTGTATAGTTCTTCTGTGTAATCTTGCCATGTATTCTTAATCTCTCCTGCCTGTTAGGTCCCTGCCATTTTGGTCCTTTATCATGCCCATCTTTGCATGAAATGTTCCCTTCATATCTCCAATTTTCTTGAAGAGATCTCTGGTCCCCCTATTCTATTGTTTTCTTCTATTTCTTTGCACTGTTCATTTAAGAAGGCATTCTTATCTCTTCTAGCTAGTCTCTGGAATTCTGCATTCAATTGGGTGTATCTTTCCTTTTCTCCCTTGCCTTTCGCTTCCCTTCTTTCCTCAGCTATTTTTAAAGCATCCTCAGACAGCCATTTCGTTTTCTTGCTTTTCTTTTTCTTT